CTAATTTAATAACCATCTATTTATATATAAAAAAAAATTGTCCACTCACCTTTGGCCCTCCGCGGGCGGTTATCCCTCTCTAAGCTCGGGTCCTCTACCAGAGGCCAGGGAGCTTGAGGGTTCTGCGCAGTATCTTTGCTGTTCCTAGCACTGCACATTTCTGGACCGAGATGTCCGAGGTTGTTCCGGGGATCCGCTGTAACCACTCATCTAGCTTCGGGGTCACTGCCCCGAGTGCACTGATCAGCACTGGCACTGCTGTCACCTTTACCCTCCAGGCCCTCTCCAGCTCCTCTCTGAGACCTTGGTATTTCTCAAGCTTTTCATGTTCTTTTTTCCGGATGTTACCATCGCTTGGAATTGCCACGTCCACCACCACGGCTGTCCTCTGCCCTTTGTCTACCACCACGATATATATATATATATATATATATATATATATATATAATCTTTCTTTATAATATATAGAAATAAATTAGAATGTTTTTACAAAGTATTTTCAACCAGAACATCCAATGTGTAACCAGTCATCTCTATGAAGGAGTTCTCCAGGGGCATCACTTGAGCTTTGGTTTTGGTCAAATGTATAAAAATCCCATATACACTGACCTATCAGGAGCTACAATGATACAAAAATCAACCAACTAATCTCTCATCAAAAAACCACACAACCTCCTTATTGTCAGTGACGTCACTTGTATTGACAGTGCAGTAGTGGTCCGTGGCGGAGCGGCCCTCGCATGGCTGTATAAGGGCACGAGGATAGAGTAACACAGGAGGAGGGGAGGAGGGGGGCCCATCTGGTAGTCCTTAAAACTGCTGGAATGCCTTTGCTTTAGTTACACAAACCAAACAAGCCAAGGCGCTCTCTCCCCCCCTCACTACCCCTGCAGCGGCCGAGCGAGGCCAACATTTTTATATTCAATTAACACATGCGGACTAAGAGGATGTGTTCGGCCAATATTAACTCTGTGTCAGCAATAAACGAGTATTTCATCAGTGCTAGTGTTGTAATTTGACCGCTGGGAAGGCTCGGCAGAAGCTAAGCAGGACTGGGACTGGTTAATACTCTGATGGGAGAACGTTGGAAGTGCTTTAGATGCTACTTCTTAGAAATTCAATTCAATGTATTTCTGTTACGCCCTTATTCGCAACAGTAGTCATCTCAGAGGACTTCACAAGGTGTAGAATCGCCAACAACAGATCAGAGAATCGCACAGTTTGAACACAGGGAATGCAATAATAACGCATAGAACTAACCTTGGGGCCTTTTACTTATACAAGGGCCTTCGTACTGCCACATGTGCGATAAACCTTGATTAATCCAAAACTTTACTTGCACATTATCACTATGAAGATCAAATGTTTGTTTTGCTTTTGGGGTCAAGGCCAATGTTGAGAGTAGTGATTTCGGCGCAAATTGTCCCAACACAAAAGTAAAATGTTATGTGAACAAATCGGACAAAAAAATGCGGTCTTCATATTATTACTTGTAAGAAAGAGCCGTGAGACACTATTTGAACTATTTTTATTCATTTTTTTTTTTTTATTTGACAGGGACAATGTAGTCATACATTATGAAAAATGCAGCTGATGCGACACTTACAGCTATTATCAGCTATTGCTGATTTTCAACTCCTGTCTAAAAATACTCAGTGAAAAACTAGTCATAGAACCAAACTGTTTTGAGAGTGAGGAACTAGATTTATTATTATATAAAATACATTTCTTGTGGTTTGAAAGTTAGCTACCCCAGCTTTACAAATCTGTCACGGTTGAGTTGTGAAGATTAATAATGGATGGATGGAGCGGCCACTCTTCCCTCGGTATCAAGACCAAGAATCCCTCCAATTCAATTAGAGCCTGGCACTCTCCCGACCCTTCATTTCCCGAGTCGATTATCAAAGCCATATTTCACTCTGTACGGCCTTCGCAATAATAAAACTTCCCGCGGAGCATCAGTGCGATCTTGAATTTACACTGGAACACGAGCGGCTCCAGCTGCTTGTCCAGATGTGTGCGAGCTCCATCCATTCTGCTCCAGACACATTTGGGTCGTCTCTTTCCCCCTACAAGGCCCTGAAGCAGTGGGGCCCGCCGGACGCTTCTCTGGTCCATGAGGGGAGGGGGAGCTCTGGTTTGGTCATCACCGTGCGCAGTCATTGACTTGCTTTCCGCCTTATTTACACACAGATATTTGGCGGTTGGTGTGAAGCAGTTTCTTTCCTATTATTAGAAACTGATTCATGTTCTGTGTTTTAGCACTGATGAATGCAACGGATTGGTTGAAGTGGAAGACTATTTTTAATTTCTTACCCGTTCTTTCAGTTCATTCAACGAAAAAATTAATAAATAACTATTATAGTTACGTTCCCTCCTCAATTCTTTACCCATAAGTCTCATTCCCACAGAGAAAACCACCTCTATCTGCCTTGTGACGTAGTCTTTTTATTTTGGTAATTTAGACAACATACCACGCCCTGTTGGTTCCATGTGGGTTAGGTGATATTTATAAAACTACAATACTTTATAAAATGACGTCACAACAAGCCACGCAACAAGAGTGAAGCTCCTACCATCACATTTTTATTAGCTTTCCCATTAGCTGCTTTTTCCTTTATAAAGTTGTCCTCATCAGAATACAAATACAAAATGTTTGCTCTTTGTGAATGATAAACATAGTCCGTTATAATGTGATTCTTTGGGATCAAATCTGTGGCTTTTAACAACTAATTTTGAACGTTTTTTTTGTTTTTTTTGCCCTAATATTTTGACACAGTTTCGTGCTGCCTGTTGTGAAAAGCCGACACGGGTCCAATCAACACACCAACCTTCCTCACTTCAACATAAGTCAAGAAACATGAGTCTGCAGAGTTTAAGAAATCCTGTATAGTCCTACATTCTGTTCAAAAATGGCTTTGGTTTTGTCCAGTTCAAACTCAGTGTCGGGTTTTTAAAACGGGGGCTGATGTTATCGACAGCTTCATCCTAATGGAATCAACAGACCCGTGACTCTCTTACTCTTCATTGAACAATATTTTCCCCATGTTGTTGATGGATGTTCTTTGCAAGCGTACCTTTGTGTCTGGGTATGCAGCTTTGGGGGGATATCTGTCTGTCCACCAGTGGATTACAGACTGAAGATTTGAGGATTTGAGGATTTCATTTTTTTTTTTACTGTTTCCACGCGTCTGTCTGTGCGTCTTACCCCCAGCTCTTGGCGTCGCCTGCTTTCTTTCCACAGGTTTTCCCCATGTCCTGAAAGATTATACGGAAAGTAACATCCTTAAAAAGATCAGAGCGCTCAAAACACCCAAATCGATGTGTGTAAAATAACAAACGTACAAATTTAAGAAATTCAGTTCTAGTTTCAATTCATATTCACATTTTGATCACGAAGAGATGTGTTTTTTTGTATTTGCCTTTTATTATGATCAGTGATTTATGCTTCTTTAATCTTAATCTCCATTTATTCAAGACAATATAGCTCCAATAATCCCAACCTTGACATATATAAACTTTTAACCCTTTTACGACATTGTTCCCTCATCCAAATATTTTAGCTCAGAGGTGTCCCGGTCCTTAAAAGGCCAGTATACCTCAAGTCTTCAGGTCAAGACTGGACTCACTGGAGGAAATGGGTGGAATCTGGTGTGCTCCTGCTTGGTTGGAATTAAAACCTCCAACCACTTTGGCTCTTTCTGAAAACAGTTTGATTCCCAGTTTTAGCTCCTTCCACACAAATATCAGGAACCCACTTAATATCTCCTGTCAAGTACAAACATTACTGTAACAACAATAATAATACTTGGCACATCCTAAAACTTGGGTACCTAACTTTCAAACAGCAAAGCAGTGTAACTGTTGCTTTTGTCTCCTGACAAAAGCCGTGGCATCAGGATGGGACAAATGCAGAGGATGAATATCCCTACGGGGATTAATAAAGTGCGTCTTTATATAACCCATGTATTTCCTTGGTGTCTCTGTCATATACATACAATACAATACAATACAATTTATTCTTGTATAGCCCTAGGTCACAACAGAAGTCATCTCAGAGGACTTAACAAAACCATTGAAATCACCAACACAGGTCAGAGAATCAACAGTTAAAACACATGAAGAATATAAAGCACACACAGAAGAAAATGTCCATACATGTTGTAGAATGCTAAAGTGTCCTGATCATCACCAATCCTTTCTGTTGGACACTAACTGTCCAACAAGACCCTCCTGCATCGACAAGGAAAAACTCTTAAAAAACCCAGTGGGAAAAAGTGAGAAACCTTTGGGTGAACTAGGGAAACCCACAGGGAGGGAGACCCATATGAGAAAGGGATCCGCTCCTCCGGACGGACAGGCTAATGATCCAGGACCTAAGCTAGCTACAGAACGTGGACCAGTGGACGCTGAACGTGGACAGGTCCGGTGCAGGACCGAAGCACTCCCAGGCGGGTCGGGCGGGGCAGTCCACAGGTGTAGATGGAGGAGGCCAGGCTCAGAGATCCCGTCATCGTACCATGAAACAGACAATGGGACAACGGGTGAATAGCAATGAACAAACTGCAGTCAAAATCCTAATAATGCTAAACAGATAAAGTAGGAAGTATCTGTGTCTATTTCACATTTTGTGTAAAATAATATGAGAAAGACCAGCCTCAATCACCAGCTCTCAGCCCCAATCGGCTCCTTCCAGTACACACAAGATGAAATGTTTTGAATGTTTCTGTTTTACGTTTATTGAAAAGTTAAAGCACCCCAGCTTTAATTGTTTAAATGCTTTTGATATTTTCAGTTTATTAGTTTATTATTAGACTTATTAGTTTATTTAGTATTTTCTAGACCATTTTAGCAAAACATTTTATAGCTGGACGTCACTCGCCTTTTTTCAACCTGGCTATGACAAAAATAAAATCTTGTTTATGTAAGGCTTCTCCCAGTGCATGAGTCCGGTTTATGCCCAGTCTGCTCTCACACCTGACGCTCTCTCCTTTACACAGACATCCGCCACCCAGAGGAGCTGTCTCTACTGCGCAAACCACGGGACCCCAAGAAAAAGAAGAAAAAGCTGGAGGAGGCGGAGGTGGACCTGGCAATGGAAGGCCCCCTGCTGACCCCCGGATCAGGTCAGAGCCACAGCTGTAAACCCGTCCACACAACACTTCATACACACTTTGTCTATGGGTTCAGTTCTACCAAGACCCGGTACTATAGCTGTGCCATTGCTTCAACCTTAACCTTTGGGAGCAGTTTGCCAAATGCTAACCCCTTCCAAAAAAGGAAAGTTATGCAAATCAAACTTATTCTTTCTTGCTTTTTAACATGGTCCATTAGCGACAGACCTAGACTTGAGTTTAGCTCCATCCACGCTAATATCAGGCCTCTTAGATGAAGATGGTGATAAGAGGTGTTGGTCTTGTATGCATTTTTGCCAATTTTCTATCATTTACCTATACCAATTTTTTTTGAGATTCTGTTCTGCCGACCAATTTTCGGTCCCTACAAATTATAACTGCAAAAAGTCAGCAAAAGATATCAATAGTAGATTATTAAGCCTTAAACATACTGTACAACAGATTACAATACAATGTGAATTCTGCAGGTGTTGAGTTTTATAATTGGGTATAACGTGTCTATACGTGTGAAGTTTAAAGTTTGTCAAAATTAGTCCATAACTGAGTGTACTTTCTTCTTTAAAAAAAAAAACTAAACAGATATACAACTCAAGGACATATGTTCAGCACCAGATTATAGACACATGGCTTGTTTCTATCTGCAGTTCCTGTCTGATTGCATGAATAAAATATAATTCATGATATTATAAGATGTATAAGATGGCATGTAATCAATCTAAATTCCGAGTGAAGCCAGTAACCTCTAATCCTTCAAAAAAAAAAATCAAAAATGGATGACACTTCTGCAGATGACAAAGGCAAACAGCTGGTTTAATCGGCCAATCGATAAATCGGCAGTTTAATTTTTTACATTACTTCTGATGGTTCTTGATGTTGTTTTTTTTACATTTCGACTTGTAAAAACATGAAATGACAAGGCAAAAATAGACCCAGGTCATGTTTTTAAGCACCATCAAGAGTAAGTGTCATGGCACTCTCCTGCTTTTGTTCAGCTTCCATCTCAATTACAGAATAGTTACCAACAGCTCAACTCAATAGTGCTATTATTTCTCCAGCCAAGAAGTCCACGTCACACCCGCCAGGCTTCATATGCCCTCTCGACGCTGGCATCACAAGGACCACTCCAGAGCCACGTCTCGCCTTCACACCTCATGTTTAGACGCCGCTTTCAAAACTCTTCTCGTAATACTTGCGCTTTTGGATACTTTCAGAAATGGTGGAGTTTTTTGCCCAGCGTTGTAAATTCCAAGTGTGCATATTGTGGTAAGGGGAATAGTACACTACGGGGAAAGTAGTGCAGTGACATCAGCCATAACTCTGCGCTGATGTAAGCCGTGCGTGTAACGTGAGTCTGCACATTATGTCTTCTGAACAATACAAGTGCAGGACGGCTCTGCTTTGGACAATCTTATGTTCTGTGGTGACCCATATGTAAGAATTTATGGTTTGAGAGTCTGTATTAAGATGGATGGAGCATTTTGGTAGGATTTCCGCAGTAGAAAGTTTAAAGGCAAGGGACTCTATAAGCTAGGGACCTATATTTTTTTTTTTGTAGAAGTAGAAAATTAGACTACGGAATGCTGTCTTCATCTTTTTATAAAACGTGTTATCTTTCGTTTGTTCTTGAGCCTTGTTAGTCTCAATTTGATGCTTTGGACTGAGAGCTGATTGGTTGAGTGAGGGTGCTCCTCTCTTTTTCACTTCTCTGTCTGACAAAAATGATGATTAAAGATGTGACAACAGCTAAACATGCGTGTAAAAACTAAAAGATGTTTTGAGAGCGAGAAACTACATAGATTTCAGTTCAAAATCACTTTTTTGTGGCAAAAAGTGATTTAGTAATTCTAAAACTCACTGCCGGCCTTGAAGGTTGTCATAATAAACTAATTGTTTTCACAATTTTAACATGGGGCCATTAAATATGCACTTTGTGTAGCCTGTCTCCATGGAGATGTCCTTGCTTTGCCTGGAATGTCTCTCTTAGATATTACATTTTTTAAATTGTATAAAATATATGCATTATTTTTGTGAATGGGCTCATGAGTAACCAATAGATTATTGCTCTTTTCAGGTAACTATTCAAACTGATTTAATACATGAACTTGAAGGTGGTGTACAAGAAATGTCCATCCATCCATCCAACATCAAAGAAATCTCTAAACTTCTCACTTTTCACCGCTTTTATTGCAGTCGGGTTTTCCTCCGTGTCCAAACCACCAGTCCTTCTCCACACGCAGCAGGTTAATAGCAGGTTCCCTCGGTTGTTCCTCTCTATAGCTCCTCATCGCGGTCGCTACGATAACATCCCGCTCCCCATGACCAAATAGGAGGGTGCGATTTTTGGGCCGTCTCCGGAGCTCCTTGGCTGCCGTAGCGGTGCGTGGCTGAGATTCCAGGCATAGCTGGTCACGGTGCCATTATAACAAACCCAACCATACTCCACTCCTCCCTGGGTGCTGTCAATGTCACACTGATCTACAGCCTCGGAGGAACACGCTGTCCCGGAACGGAGCAGCCCGAAGGATTAATACGAAAGCCCTATTTATGTTCATCTGTTTTTTTGTTTCGTATTTATATGTTAATATTTCGTGTTTTTAGAAGTAGAAATTATGTCTTTGTTGCCGGTGTAATCGTCATTGTACATGTTGACACTGAGGATGTGACAAATATTGAGATTATTTTATGTCCCGCTCACACAATATTGTTACCAAAGAAAAATCACCCACTATACTTGCATGTCCTCTAACTCTCAGCCCTTCAGAGCGCAAACTAACTAAATGCAGATAACTATTACCTTCTCTTCTAGATAAAAACTAAACTAAACTGGAAATAATTGCTGTACGGAGTCAAGCCAATCAATAAGTGCACGGATTATGCAGCCCTGCTTCTTCACACCGCCCATAGTTTAATCAGTGCCAGCATTCGAACCTTGCAGCTCGTCCCTGTCTGTGTGACTGTCTGTGTGACTGTCTGTGTGACTGTCTGTGTGACTGTCTGTGTGACTGTCTGTGTGACTGTCTGTGTGACTGTCTGTGTGACTGTCTGCGTATACTACACAGCAGCGTTAATACTAACAGTATATTGAGGCCGAGCGGTGTATTGTGCTTCTGGTCGGCTCAAACCAGTGTCTTACCCCCACGAAGGCGCTGGTTCTTCAGTCTGCTGTAATACTGTAAAACACAATATCTTCCCAGCCTGTTTCTCTTACGGCTATCTCCCAAGCTAATTTTTTCTTCCCCGGGCACCTGATGGCATGTACCCTCTGTCACCCCCACAGTCCCACAGTCACACTCACAAACACACACTTGTTTATTCAACCATCACCTATTGTGCATGTTTTTAGTGGTAGGGGAAATCTACGCAGAGACTGAGAGAACATGCAAACACAGTAAGGCCCGGAGGTTGAATCGAACCCAGGACCTTCTCACTGTGACGCATAACTTCTCTGCCTTTTAAAACTAAGTGTGAAGTACACCGCACTATGTTAGATGCTTACTAAATGCATTACATACATGTCTTTAGCTGTCTGTGGAATGCAATAATGGGTTTTACCAATGTCTATTAAGATGCATTAAGTATTTTTGTCCGTACTGTGACCTGGCAGTTTCAAAGTGCATCGTAGTGTAACAAGTTGGAAAACTGAGCTAGTCATGCCTCATATTAACGTGGATGGAGTTCAAAGACAACTGTCCTTCAAGTTATACTTGTCATAACTACACACTTAAGTCTACTTCTTAGTAGCATGACAGAAAAGTAGCTCTCCCCGGCTCAGTCCCACGCTGTCGTCACGCTGCTGGAGGAATGCTTTACTATTCCTCTCGCGTGTGTGTCTGTCCGTGTGTGTCTGTCAGTGTATGTGTGTGTGTGTGTGTGTATGTTTAGCCCTGCCCTCATGTCCTGTCTCCGTACTGGATCACTTGCTGGTGCTAACGCCGCAGATCCGGTAGTGTACGACTGGGGGCCTCATGGGGCTGTGGGGAGGAGCCGGTCCCTGGAGTCTGCTGATGGGAATCACAAGGTCCTGATGCAGTCACGGACTCTGGGAAGAACCGTTTAACTTCCAAGGCATTTTTAACTTCCTCCTACATATATCATTTAATCCTCTGCTCTCCTTCACTTGGACAGCCCAGGTCTTTCTCAAAGTGCGCTGCTTATGCCTTCTGTTCACATAACTCACAGACCTGCAAGATAAACCACTATTTCTGGTCCTTTGTCATCCGGAACCTTACAGTGCCATCACAAAAATGCAGAGTTACACCCTTAAGAACAATTGCAAGGGCTGTGGTTTAGAATAAAACATATTTTGTGGCCAAAAGAAAAAAAATGATCTGATGAACGCATAAAGCCAAAACGTCATAGATAAATAAAACATTTTGGACATCAGAGCTGAGTGTTTTCTATGTCGTGTTTTTCAGTCAGACTATGCACAAAATATAGTAAGTTGTTAGCATTCATATTCTCATGCACTAAAGTTCAAATATCTTTTTCCCCGACTGATTGTTGGCTCTGTATCAGCCAATTCTCACTCTCTCTCGCTCTCGCTCTCGCTCTCTCGCTCTCGCTCTCTCTCTCAATGTTGACTGCACTTTCTCCTTGTGTTGACTGAGAGTAATATAAAATAATTAATACATTTTACCCAATTTTTTTATTCCTGCTGGTTGTGGCTATGAGCAGTTTGCAGAGTTACAGTTCTGAGAAAGTCTCCTTTGTCCCCTGACTCCTTTTGAATAGTTAGCTTATCTTAAGCACCACCATGACCCAGACAAGGCCCTGTGTTTGGGCAGACACACCGCTGTGTGCCTGGAGCTCCGAGAGGAACCAGGCCCATGGGCGGCCACCTCCTCAGCCTGGTGTTACTCATGTGGGTTTGACTCTGGCAGTGCCCCCAGAAAAGTGTGTATACTGTATATAACTATATGATATCCAAATAACTCTCAAATTAATTAAACACCCTCCTTTTCATTAATAACTGTTGCCAATGTCTTCTTTTAACTTTTGTCATAATTTCTTCTTAAGTTTCTCCTGTCTGTCTTCACTCTGTCCCGCTGTCTCCTCTGTAGCCTCTGAGGTCATATACATCGGCCCTGTCAAAGGTAAGCTCCCTTTCTTCCTTCCTTGTTTCCTGTGTCCTTGGCTTTCTCTCCGGTCACATGACTCCCCCCACCCCTCACCCTCACCCTGGGTCAGCTGACTGCTCCTCAGCTGGTGGGACGCTCACACGCTCCAGGCCATGACATTTTTAGTATTTTATCTATTTTTTTTTTCATTTGGGTTTGACGTGGCTATAACATTGTGAACGTTGCTGCTGTTGCTCGTGTTTTGCTGAATCTGTTGCTTTTTAATCTATATTTAACAGAAGTGAATGGTGTTTTCAATGCTATAATGGCATGTTTTTGTATAGAACAATGCTATGGTTGCGTTCATGTTGTGGAGTTCTATTTCAGTGGGTGGGAAGGTGCCAATTATACTCTGAGAAATAAGCAGTTTTTTAAAAGAAATGTTCAAAAAGAAAATATCCAATTGTTTTACCAAGTCATAATTTCAGATTCAGTTTGTCATTTGCAATAAACCCACATTGGAATCCATGTGCAAAAGTACAGTGCACTATTGAACAAAAAACAGCCATATTATTCTTGTGTCATTCATTATGTTTTTTGAATAGATGCCTTTTTTATTTTCTCATAAAAATGTATCTAGAAGAGCTTACAATATTCAAAAAAACATGACACAAAAATTTGTACTGACAAAAAATGAAATCTGACTTTTTCTCTTGACATTGGACAGACTTTTCAACTTCTTCCACCACATTTTAAACTAAAGGCTCTTCGGAATGTCGTGATACCACATAAACGCAACCTATTGGGAAGCTTTCAGAAAGTCGTGGTGCGATTGTCCCCACAGTCTGACACCAAACGGATAATATTCTGCAGTAAGCTACAAACTTGGCACTTACATAAAGTTACATTCTGTTGCTTTACTGCTGACCACCGGCCCATTTGTGAGTAACATTTCCTTTTAGCGTCAGGAATGACCCCGATGATCCTCCTTCCATTCCCAATAACTGACTCCACATTCGAAACACCATTACGAGAAGACGAATGCAGCACTTAACATTTTTATAGCACGTGTCATAATTCCGTATCTCGCTGTAATCTCGCCTGTCCGTACGAAGAGGCCACACAGGAGCTGGATTTATCTCTATGGATTATTTTTAGCCTCACTCCTCCTTCTGAAAATGGGAGTATGTTGCTTGTCTACGCTTGAATTTGGGAGTAGGACATTGGAATGATACCAACTTAAGTGTGCAGTCCATTCCTGAATGCAAATGGATCAATAATGACTGCTCTCAGTTTTTTTTATGGATTGTGAAATGATGGTGTATGTCACAGGAGGGATTTAGAGGAGGGCAAAGCCTTTTAATACAAAAGTTGCCCTTCATTTTCTTTGTGCCGACTACTCAGATTTCTAGTCAATTCAATGTCTGTGTGTGTAGCCCTTAAATCACAGTAGTTATCTCGGAGGACTTCACAAAGTTGTCGAATCGCCAACTCGGATCAAAGAATCAAACCCCTCAAACACAGGAAATGCAACAATAAAAACGGACACAGAGCCATTGGTTCAAAAGGGGCAGATGACCAATGTCTATACATATTAAGAGTCCTGGATCATTACCACTGTCTTCATGGATGGGGTGGGTTATCTTGGCAAAGGGGAAGCGCTCACTTACACATATTTTGACAGATTTGTGGGTAGCATTTGAGAGAAAGGGTCTAATCTTATTAACACTGTATATGAAAAATAAGTGAACCCATATAGGCCCGTTTTGAATATAAAAATGCCTTTCAATGTACCGTCAAGTATTGGACAACTTTTTTGACAGCACAACTGGAACATTAATTATTTTTTTTGCTTAAAACATGATTGGAACATGCAGATGTCAAAATGTATTTAAGATAACGATTAAGAGATCCTTTCCACAGTGGGGAAATTGTAGTGTTGCATCACCGGTTACAGAACAGTAGGAATGAGGAGCACACAGCATAATATTTTACATTTCTCAATTAATTACTGCAAAAATTGACTGAAGCTGTTTCATTTCTTCCGCAAATCTGGTAAGAATCAGGTCACACAACCAGTTCAGTTTTTTGCATAAACCACATCAGTGTAGCAAACAAAATACAACTGATTTTTTTATTTTTAGACTATCCCCTACCCTCAAACTCTCTCTGACCTGGGTCTTAAGCTCCTCAGTGACCCTCTGAGCTGTGGGTGGCCCCGCCGGCACCCCTTTCTCATGCCCCGGGCCCCCAAACGCGACGCACACTTCCTGCTCTCGCCGTGATTTAGTGAGGAGGGATGAGCGCTGGTATGTGGAGCCAAAATAAACAACACAACCAGCCGGAAATGCAGAGTGCTTTTGTTTACGAGTTTAGTGAAACGGTATCTCCCAGGGCGAAAGACGGGAGTTTTGTATCCACATGTTTTCCAGCCGGTGAACATGTGTGAAATAGGTAAAGGTAACTTTGTGCATTTATAAGTTGTGTTTTTAGTTTTTATCACTGAAAAACTCATTGTTATACTTTTCACTTCCACATAGGGTTGCAATGTTCTGTGAATTTTCAAAGGGAATCAACAGGAATTTACTGGGAATCTTTCAAAACTGAAGGTTGGCTCTTTATAGGGGACTTGAATATAGTTGAGGAGAGCCATTCAAATGCACTTGATCATCCATGTCTTTCCTCAATCACATGCATATAGCACACTGCTAGTGCTACTGAGACAGCGCCCCCTACTGGTCCTGTGCCTCATTCATGTGTTCAGACATATAGAAGACGACCACATATTTAAGCCCAAAGCTCATTAGTCCACAGGCTCAAATGTTATCTTAAAAAAATCTATTCATGCTGTGATATGATAGAATTTAATAATATTACAATTCCCAGTTATGGAATATTTCCAAAATTCTCCATCTTAACTTCCCATGGGAATTTACTTGAAACTTTCCAGAAATTTACTAGAAATATGCTGCCCCTTTGCAACCCTACTTCCACATAATATAGATCGTTGACTTCGAAATCACAATCAAAAAGATATAATGTTTATAACTTTGAACTGTTAATGTAGATGTGACATGGATGGAGGTAGTTATCAACCATCAGGGGGCCAAACTTCAATACAATATTTATGAAAGGTACGATTGCATTTTGGATTGAAGCTCGTGTCATTATGAACTATAAGAAGGGGAAGCTTGTTTAACTCGTATTTCCACCTTTCGTCACCAACAGCCCCTGAACAAACGTAAAACAATGATGAATCTATACTGCGGTTTCGTCCACAGAATTCCAAAGGGTCTTCCTCTTACTCACACTCAGTGGGAGGTTGTTTGCTGTGCTGGAGACTGAATTCCTGCAGGTTTTTTTCACTGTGACTAAAAAAATCCAGTCTTGAGTGTGTGTGGCGTGAATTATCAGCATGGACTAAGCAACAATGTATTTTAATTTCCCACCCCTTGTTTTTGGGCTTGTTTTGAAAAGTTGAGCTTGGGAATGGAAGGTCTTATGAAACGCATATCGCTGTCTTTGCCTGCATCGTTCACTGCTATGTTTGTGAATGGTTTTTAAGTAAAACAAAAAACTGCCTTTATTTATTTTACTATTCACTTACAAAAAGGTGTAACTCACTTTTTTGCCAATAAGATCATTTTATTATTTACTTATTTTCATGCTGAATGGCATAACACAAAATGTCCAATGGTTTTGTGAGGGGCCCACTTTAGTTAAGCCCCTTGTCAAAATGAAACTGTTTTGACTGGATTCAGACAATGTCCGTAATGATTTGCATAATTTGACAAAGCTGAAGTTGGCTGAATGACAAATGGTTACTATCGAACCAGCTGCATCAGCGCCATATACAGATAGTGACATATTCATAGCCATTGACAGATATAGCATGAACAGCATGCCTGTACTCCTGGCATGCCTAAAACACGTACATATTTTATGAAGTTTTTGATCTAGCTTGAATATAAAATTAGTACGTTTTCTGCTCCATATCTTATTTTGTTTACTAATTCATCAATTAATACTTTGGCTCAGGCTTTGAATACAGTTATTATTGTTACAACCAAAATTACCAAAAATGATGCGACTTCTGTTTGTGTATACTTATTCAGCAGTAATTGCAGCTCTGTTGGGAGTCATACAACTTTGTCACAGCATGTTATGCAGGTGTTTTCAATCGATTTCCATTATTAGTCAATTAGATTTCAATAATCTATTGTTGCGATTAATCAATGAACTTGTAACAGCCCTACAGTTTACATGTGTCCCACTGCTGGTCTCTGATGCCTGCTCTTGTGTCCTCAGGGAGCATCTACTCCAGCCCAGGCCTGTACAGTAAGACCATGACCCCCACGTACGACTCCAGGGACGGCAGCCCCCTCTCCCCCACCTCGGCCTGGTTTGGGGACAGCCCACTCTCTGAGGGGAACCCCGGGATCCTCGCGGTCAGCCAGCCCATCTCCACCCCCGACACACTGGTCAAACTCTACAAGCACCAGTCACTGCTGGACAAGGCCAAGATCAACCAAGGGTCAGTCCAGTCTGCCCCTGCTGTCATTACCATTACTAACCTCCTAGCTCAATCAAGCCCTATAGGGAAGGGCTCATGGACAAGGTTTTGATCCAACTCGCTCTGGCTCTAATTGACTTGTATCGCAAAGTAAACTCCTCTAGCTCAATAACAGTTTGTGCTACACTCTCTATGATTCTGATGTTTATATTTTGACAATGTCTTTGTAAAACCAGTTCTGAGCCATAAGAATTGACCAATCAGATGCCTTCGTTCATGGGTAAAACTCTGGCTTACCTTAACATCCATGTTAGCAACTCTTTAGTTTGCATCTACTCTGGTTATCTGCGCGAAGCAACCACCTTCAAAACAAATGCCCTTATAAGGAAACTGACTCTAGCTGGTTTATGTTCAAATCTGCAAACAAACAAAGTGGTTAAACTGTTTGCAAATGAAGTTGTCCTGGCTAAAGAACTGGAGACCTAAATTGACTTGAATGACATAACTAAGTTCAGTGGTCTTCATATCGTTGAACTGGTTATGACAATTCAAACTCAACCGTCCATTTAAAAACCTGTTTCTAAAACTCTCTGAACGTCCTGTCCGCAGGTGGCTGGACTCGTCTCGCTCTCTGATGGAGCAGGACGTGAAGGAGAATGAAGTCCTCCTGCTGAGATTCAAATACCACAGCTTCTTCGACCTCAACCCAAAGGTATCAGCCACACACTTTTCTTACTTTTTCTTTTAAATATGACCTTTCCCTTACCTTGACTTTCCTCAATACAAATGCTACTTGGTTCCAGTGTATTGCTGTAAAAATCTAAATTGGAAAGTAGGATAAGGAAGAAAAACTGGATAAAAAGGAGAGAGTTTAGTCTATTATGTCTCTGGTCATTGGTCAATACATTTGTTTTAATTTCCACATTTTCAATTAACAATTTTTCATTGACAATTTAAATATCGTAAATGGTTATAGGCTGACACTTATTGTGCCCAACTCCATTAACAAAACCATTTAAAAAAGCAAATCCACAGGACAGCAGAACTCTAAACCGGTGCTTTAAAGATGGAGGAGAAGCCAATACAAAGGAGGACGCAAGAAAACTGGGAAAATGTACAGATCTGAAATGTTAAAAATGAACACGCGTCATACACTACGCACATTGCTGTAAGTAATATAGAACGATTATTTCACGGTAAAGTGGTTGGATCAGGATTCAATGGTGCGTGCATAATTACTCAAAGAAATATCACAACCCAGAAAAATATATGTATTATCAAATGCTGTTATTTTTAGTAGTGTTGGGTGGTAAAAACTATTCTGTTCAGTATCTTGATATTTTTTGCACACAAATGAATCTATACAAAAGGGCAAAGTTGCGCAATTAATTACCTGTAACTCTTTCTGAGTTTACGATTGTGATTTACATTTGTGTATTACATGCAGAAGATGGTGCTTGTTTTGTGCATTCATTCAACAAGTAGTTCAAGTGAAAAAGGCTTCATCAAACCAGTTCTACACAACACGTTTTTGCACTACCCTCCAAATGTGTCGACCATGATAAATGTGACTTTTCATTTTCCTCCTTTTTGTGATGCCTTTGAATATGAGGGACATGAATTGCAGAACCGAGTCGCAAGATTTTCTGTATCGCATTATGTTAAGAATTACCATAATTGTGGCCCAAATATTGCAATTCTATTAAATTTTCACATTTTTGTTAATCCCCACCCCTAATATTAAGATGAAAAACTCAGTAAGTGAACTCTTTGTAACATCAAGAACAAACATCTGGGTAAATAGAAATGAGAGAAAAAAAGGATTCTTTGTCTGACTTTTGCCGGTCTCTGTGTCCTGTCAGTACGACGCCATCCGAGTGAACCAGCTGTACGAGCAGGCGAAGTGGGCCATCCTTCTGGAGGAGATCGAGTGCACGGAGGAGGAGATGATGATGTTTGCAGCTCTGCAGGTCTGTGGGAGGTTTTTACTGCCGCTAAAGTGCTTTGTCAGAGACCTCTGTCAGTGCTTCCTGAGCCAGTGGGCACCCAGCCTCCTCTTCTGCTCACTAATGAATTAGAATGGCTGCGGGCCACCGTAGGGGAAAGCACAGTGAAGAGGGTGCAGCAGGTTCTCTCTATGATCAGCAGTAGGTTAAAAGTACAGAGTTTTCATCAGACAAAAAGGCAAAATGTTGTAACCATGCAACTATAGTAATGAATAGTTTCTTGATATCACTTATGGTCTCCTTTGCATAACCACCACCTGTTAGATTTTCTGGGGAAGAATAGCTGCACGAATAGACCTCATTCAAAAAATATTTGTTTCCAGTCAGATACCAAGTTTCATAATTCAAGCACTGGTTAGACCTGTCATGCTGTCTAATCAGTGCTTCTATCAACAATTTCAACTTTTTACATCAAGAAGGAGATCATCATTTATGCCATCCTGTTTTTGATTTATAAGCTCAATCTCTCGCTTTTTTTTTCATTACAGTACAGGGATGTGGGTAGGGATCGGTGGTTGGTGAGAGCAGGACTTTTCCGGACACTCAAGCTTCAAATATAGAACAAAAAAATGAAATTATAAAACAGTATTAACATCTCAAGTGAGTTTCACAGCATACTGCATATTGCCGCTTTCATAGGGGCTTATATTCAGAGGTGGAAAAAGGACGCAGTTCAAGTCTGTTGTATTCTTTCTGGTATGGACGTGCAATGTGCCGAGCCCATTTTGGTTTTGGAAGAAGACGCTTGCCCCTCACGCTGTCCTCTGACCTTGCTATTTTTTCCACCTCATAAAGCCCGGGTGTCAAGACCTGGGGACGCCACACTGTCCTCACCACAGGGGTAATTATAGCGCCAGATCGCACCTCCCACCACCCCAACACAGACCACCCACCCCCGCAGACACCCCCAAAGACCCACAGTAGCTCCCGTTACTGTCGGCTTCACAGAGCGGCTAATCCGGCCTGTTGCTACCTGTCTGTTAGCACGCTGGTCGCCGCGGTAATTCGGTTGCGATCATGTTTCACGAAGGACATAAACAGGATGTGAGTAAACATGCAAAAAGGCGTAAGAGGGTGACGTAAGACATACCTGCATGTGAAAGCCAGATCCCCATCAGAGCAATGAAGATAAGCAGGGCAAGACCTGGTTTGTACTGTGATGGGAGACCTCTGGGAACGGCTGGTGCCACGATGGTGGGGCTGTAAACTGCCAATATGTCATTGTGTCCTTTGGCACGACACTTCTCCCGGATTGCCTAGAAGGAGTCTGGTGTGTGTATGTGAATGGTTGGTGGTGGTCGGAGGGGCTGTTGGGCAGTTTGAGTATTTTATAATACAGACAAAATTATAATGGGTCTTTAGGAGGATTTCCACCAGATAGCGGTTACTAAACGAGTATCGGAAAATGCCAAAAGCTGAGGTATCTATACCAGTCCAATTACCAGGGGGGGTGAAGTTTCCAGACCTACATAGATGTGTGAATGAGTGATTACTGAATTAAATAATGTAAACCAGTAACATGTTTCATAACTCTCTCCCCCATTCAGGCGGGTCACAGCGTTTAATGTTGACACGCCGGTCACTCTCACATGACGAGGTTAAAAATAGATGTTGTGATCACGTATTTTCACCACACGTGTCTGCCTCTAGTAACAAGCTGTAACATGGCCCTTTGTCCCACATCCTGCTAGAGTAACCTGCCGTTAGCTTAGCGTTAGCCGCATGTATATCTCTATCCACCCTCTCACACTGATCCGCAGCTGTTCAGTGGCATATCGTCGCGCTGGGTGAGGGGTTGACATTATAAATACCATTTGTCAACAAGTCTTATTTAGTGTCAGACGCAGCAGGCAGGAAGTAGCCCAGGCTAGCCTCCGCACTCTGAGTTTCCCTTTGTTAGCGCCGCACATGTTGCTAGTAAAAAACATTTATAGCTCATTAGCGTCCCGTGCCTCGTACAGCACTTGCTTGTGTACCTTTTTTCTGTGTGTCAGAAAAAAGGTGCAAATGCTATTCGTAAACAATAGCAACGAATGTTATGGGTTTTATTTGGCAATTATCACTGTTTAATTGTTTTTAAAAGCCCAATTAGCAGAAATATTAATTTAATAAAATTGGGAGTTTTGTTGACAAAGCTGGAGTGTGGCTTGTTTTTGTTGACTGAGCTCATTTTTAGACTGTTTTACTGTGACGGATTACCCTAGCTTGCCACTTTAGCTGTTTTTCTCTTAATAATAACCTCTACCTGTTCTCTTAAAGATGGGGTTCACTAACTTTTCTGTTTCATGAATAATAACATATAGAGTAAAACATGCTGTCTTCTTCCTATTTGAAAACATGTTATGTTTACATACTCATAAGAATGTGACTTTGATGGTTTGGGCTGAGATTGAGCAGAGTGAGGCTGGACCTCTCTTTTTTTACTTTTATGTTTGAAAAAGTTGATCTCAAATATATATATATATGTGATGGAAGCAAACTACTTTGAGATGATGAACTACACTGAACAAGTGTATTAACAAAGCACTTTGCTGCTGTGCAAGTTTGACATTTTTGGGATGCTCTGGATCAGGGGTGCTCCCACTTTTTCAGCATGCGAGCTACTTATAAAATGATCAAGTCAAAATGATCTACCTACTATAAAAATGCAAAACATATATATATTTCTAAATATATTGAGGATTCTTTATATCTACAATGTATGTTGATGTACATGCAAAACCGCATGATTTATGAAATAATTTGCATTTAAGCACCGCCTCTGGCGGTCATCCAGGATTCATAGAACCAAAGTTACATTCGTAACTTTTGTTCTGTAGCGGCACTGTCATAGTAGAAACTCAGGGTGAAGACGTGTTATTATAGATCCATGGTGAAGACATATGTTTACAATGGCGGCACGGTGGCTGAGTGGATAGCACTCTCGCCTCTCAGCAAGAAGGTCCTGGGTTCGAATCCCGGTCGGACCAGGGCCTTTCTGAGTGGAGTTTGCATGTTCTCCCCGTGTCTGCGTAGGTTTCCTCCGGGTACTCCGGTTTCCCCTACCACTAAAAATATGTCCAATATTTCTAGCATGCGCCTCCTGTACTGGCGACCCCGCTCCCATCTCTGTGTGGAGTGAGAGACAAATGCCCAAAATTAACAATTGTAAACCGCTTTGAGACTCAGATCTGCAGTGAAAAGGCGGTATATAAATAAAAACTTACTTACTTACTTACAAGCATTGACCCCAGTCCTCAGCCCTGGTTTGATCCTGGTTTAGCTCCTGTTTTGGTTGTTTTCGAGCGTGTGTGATCACTTTGCTGCTCTCTGATGTGGAGCGAGGATTGCTGCTGTGAACCGCTGTTAAGGCAGTATGATCCATGCTTTAGTGATCAGAGGTCGCACGTTTTGTTTGTTGTTGTTGTTTTGGGGGCAAACTGCCGTGCAAAAACGCAAAATCCGGTTATCTCTGTCCACACGCAAATGCATAAACGGATTAAAAATATATATATATGTAATGCAATCTTCCAATACTACCTTTGCGATCAACTGGTAGATCGCGATCGACGTATTGAGCACCCCTGCTCTGGATTGCCGTATACAACAGCATGTTCCAGTTCCTGCCAATATTCGGCAACTAAAAGTCATTGGACAGGAGTGGACCAACATTCCACTGGCCACAATCATGTCAGTGGTTTTCTGACACCCCCCAAAATATCAAAAATTGGACATTTTAAAATGACCTTTTACTGTGGACAGTCCAAAAGCACCTGTGCAGTATTCAAGCCGTCTGATCAGCATCATAACACCTGTAGGGTGGCATGGATGGTCGCTGCAAAGAATAAATGCTCACTGAAACAGTTTTATAGTTTTAGGTAGAACTCATGAAAAATGGGATATATTTTTATAACATGGTTCACGTTTAATGGTTTTAAAGTTAAACACCAAATGTATTGCTCAGACTTGGATTATTTTAGCAGGTATCTAATACAAATAAACTATATGTTGTATGTTTAAAAGGGAGTATGGCTGAGATTTTATTGTTTTGGCAATTTTTACTAAATTATAATAGAATTGACTACACAACTTTTTCCACTAATTGTGTATATGGTCTAATACATGTGGTGTCTATGTTCTAATTCTTCCTGCAGTTCATGCAAGGCAGCCCAGGAATTTGCTGGAACTGGTGGCTTTTCCCAAGTAGAAGGGCCAGCTTTATCAAATCTTCATGTAACAATGAAAGTCCCCTGAAAAGGAAATCCTGTAATTTCAGTGGGAGGGAGTCCTGGCCTCAGAGAGAAGGGACAGGACTCAGGAGTGGGGTCAGGGAGGGGTGTTATGGGGAACTTTTGTACATGTTTTTAATGGTAGTGGAAACTGGAGCACCCGGTGCTCAGCACCACTGAGCCACCAGTCAGAGAGATAAAGAATGTCATCCACAGCTGCCATAGATTTTACAGAGGAAATACACACTTGTGAGAACTGAGGGTTGGATACTTCTGATCAGGGTCAGAAGAGGAGTTTCTGTTTCATTATATAGAAGAAGAAATTGGTTATTTGAAAATAAAGGGTTTCTCTAACAACTGAAGTGTCTTCCTGGGGCTATAAACTTTACAGCATAACTGTACATACTTTGTACTGTTTCTCCAGTTGAACCAATTATGAGCAAAAACTTTCATTCTGCAGAATGAAATATCATTAGTTCATTTTTAGTCCAAGCAAAACGCACTGTGAAATTATACATAACTCATAAACTATATTCTTGCCTTTCCACAGAAGAAAAGTTTTAGCATTAAACTGGATCCTCGCCACGATTTCTCAGTTTTATTGTAGTTGCATTTGTTTGTATCCATTATTTGAAGCATTACACAAAGAAACTGAAGTGTTTAAATTACATCCAGGCTGTGCGCACCCAAAAAATGACCTAATGTCGACCACTCCTGGAAATGTCCTCTGTGTCCAAGCGTCTCTGTGGAGAGGAGTCACTAACACCAAAACAAAACCGCAAACAAAGCTACGCTGATGTCATTTAGGCATGGATTATATAACTATACACTCTGGGCACTTTTTATCTAATGTATTCAATGAAACAGCTAACCCAAAAAAGACTATTTGCATTGTGTTGCAAACAGTTGTGTGTTTGTGATTGCAGTACCACATTAACAAGTTGTCCATCATGTCCTCCGACAACCACCTGAACAACAGTGAGAAGGAGGTGGACGAGGTGGACGCCGCTCTGTCCGACCTGGAGATCACTCTGGAGGGAGGGAAGACGTCCAACACCCTGGTACGAGCCCACGCTCTCTGATCTAATACTTTTATTTATGATTAAAAGATTTATTATGTTTATATAATCCTGAATTACCTCTACGGGGGACCAATTTATCTATCTCTCTATCTTCATCATACAAGGGAGGGGACAGTGAGGGAACACGATAAAACAAAACATGGAGGCAGGGATGTGAATATATTAGGGCTGTCAAACGATTAAAATTTTTAATCGAGTTAATTACAGCTTAAAAATGAATTAACCGTAATTAATCGCATTTCAAACTAATGATGGCATATTATTCTGTAAATGGTTGTTTGAATGGAAAGATAAAGGACAACATAGTGTACATATGTACAGTATTTGTTTATTATAACAATAAATCCATATAAAATGGCATTATCAACATTCTGTCTTTCTGTTTAGACTCAGACCAAAATTATTGTTTGTTACAGATGAGGGACATTTCAAAACAGTCTGAAATGCAGAATGTCATTAAATCTGTCATGACCTGGTAGTGGAAGGGAAAATTAGGTACCCGAAGCTTTAATTTAGCGAGTGCGCTTCGGGAGAAGACACGGAGGAGTCTGAGACTCCATAGTCCAGCTTCTGCGCTGTATTTTTTGTGTGCACCAGTTACGCAAAGACACGCACATTACAATCAGAGAATAGTTCTGTGCGTGGTCTTGGATATGATCACGTTACGCGGCGCCGTTCGCTGTGATCACAGCCGCTGGAGGACCTGCTGTCCAGAGACGCCCGGAGCTCAGCTCGCAGAGTTCATACAGGAAAACTTGAATTCCCAGAGACCTGCTCTGTCACCATCTCACACACACGTGTCCGTGGCATTCTGAGTGTTATTATGGGATGCATGGGCATGCATTAATTATGTACATTTTTTAAACGCGATTAATATATTTTTTTTTAATTAACGTTTGTTAACGCAATAATTTGTACATTGGAGATTTATGCCTATTCATAAAAAAAATAAAAATATGAATACAAAAATCAAATAAATAACAAGAATTATGATTCTTACACCAATATCTTTGTTAATTTTTCCGAAATAAAAAATAATTATTATTAACTGTTGTTGCGTCCTTAGGTAAGACACTTCACCCACATTGCCTAGAATGTGTCTGGTGTGCGCGTGAATTATTATTGGTGGTTTGAGGGGCCGGTGGCACACATTAGTAGCCTCACAGTGTGCCCCAGGGCAGCTGCGGTTGCCATGTACCAAGTGAATAAATAATGCCACGTGAACCGATGCGATATCTTCCTTTTACATTTCAATCTTGCAATGGTAGAACTTCATGTTACTTAAAGGGGCAAGAAGGTTGTGGGTTTGATCCTGTCTCAGTCCCAGCCTTTCTGATTGGAACTTTCATATTTCTCCCTGTGTCTGGGTGGGTTTCCTGCAGGTGCTCCGGTCCCTCAAAACAAAACATTCACTGCAGTGACTAGTAGCATTGCAGGATGGCTCAAATTCATTTTGTTATGGGAACAACAGAATTTACCATTAAACCTTAATGAACCTTAATTTATATTGGAATTTATGGTTTGAGGCTTTGTCAGATTTTTGTGTTTGTTTGGTCCTCTGTAGTGGCACCAGTGCTGAGCTAAATTGTAACCATGAAATGCAGCTGTGGTGATTACATGGGGATCTTGGAAAGGAAAAGACACATGGATTATGTACAAGATTTTCACTTTTAACCGAGGTAGTGCTGTGAAATGCAACCTCCATGAGCCGATTCAAAAAGTTGCAACAAAGTACTTTTTTAATCCTTCCGCACTTGACTAGAGTAAACAAAAGACGCAGCACGGTAAGTCTGCTTGTGGAAAGTCTGTGCGGTGTGACCTGGCAGGCATCACGTCCTGCTGCAGTGGAAATGAGGCTTATGATGATTCAGCCCTCACCACAGTGTAATAACGTCTTATTTGGGCTTTTCTCTCTCCTCAGGGTGACATCACGGCTATTCCCGAACTCGCAGACTATGTCAAGGTCTTCAAGTAAGTCTCCGTTCAAGTGCTGCAAGTGAACTGTCCTTGCTGCAAGTGAACTGTCCTTGTAAATAAAAGAGGAAGGCAAAGGTTAGGCTGCTCTCCAAATCTGTCTGAAGGAGGCAGGAAGTTGCATTTTATGTCCAGTACAAAGGCTGTCTGGTTTGTTGCAGTATAATAAGCATTAAGTGATTGCCAGAAAAGCTTTAAGCAGTGGGTTTCGCACACTTATCACTGTTGATAAAGTAGATGCATAAACTTTGAACAATGAAAGATGATTTCAGAATATGTGTGCGTGAGTAATGGATGTGTAGAGATTAGACGGAGCAAACAAAGCTTTGCAGACTCGCATTTCTCTCGGGTTATTCGGCAGTTGTGTGGAGAGGAATGAGAATTAATCTTTTTGTATTTCAATATTTTCTTTGTTTCCACCTCTTTCTTTATAGTTTCACCCCCACAAATATTCAGATTCAGATTCATTTTATTCGCCATTTGCAGTAACACTACATTGGAATACATTAGTAAAAGTTCCCAGTGTGCACAGGACAAGTACAGACATAAAACAACATTAAAAGTTGTCACTGTCACTAAAATGTCACTGTGAAGTTGACCAACTAAAACAGATCTATACAAGTGCAAAAACACTAAAGTGCTCTATTCAAACTGATAACAGCTCGTGGAAAAAAACTATTAGCATAACGAGATGTCCTGCATCTCAGAGAACAGTATCTTCTGCCAGAGGGAAGAAGCTGGAACAAGGCTTTTCCTGGGTGGCCAGAAGAGTCATTGATAATTCTCAGGGCACTGTTAAAAAGTCTGGATTGATAAAGAGCCTCCAGGACAGGAAGTTCACAGCCTACAGTCCTCTTAGCAGAGCGGAGCACCTTGTTTAGAGCTCTCTTTTCTTTATCTGTGATGTTTCCAAACCACACAGACACAGAACCAACAAGTAAACTCTCAATGGTGCAGCGATAAAAGTTCAGCAGAATCTTAGAGTTAGTGGTAAATTCTCTAAGTTTCCGCAGGAAGTAGAGACGCTGACGAGCTTTCTTTACGACCCGGTCAGTGTTTTTAACCCATTGCAGGTCATTAGACAGAGTTAGACCCAGAAACTTACACTCCTCTACAATCTGCACTTGGGAGTTATCGATTGCGACAGGCAAGTGAGAACTATTGCGACTAAAATCAAAGACCAGTTCACATGTTTTGGATGCGTTCAACTGGAGGTTGTTAGCCTTACTCCACTGAACCACGTTTTGGATCTCGGCTCTATAAGACGATTCATCGTTATTACTGATGAGACCGATGATGGTGGTGTCATCAGCATATTTGATGATCAGGTTAGAGTCTGAGGAAGACACACAATCATGAGTGTACAGTGTAAAAAGTAAAGGACTCAAAATACATCCCTGAGGAGATCCAGTGCTCACAGAAACAACATCTGAAAAACAGTCATTGATTTTCACTCTGAGATCTGTCAGTTAAAAAGCTATAGATCCATTTACACATGGCAACACTTAAGCCGAGAGACATGAGTTTTTCAATCAGTTTACCTGGGACAAGGCAGTTAAAAGCAGAGCTATAATCAATGAACAGCATTCTTGCAACAGATTTACTAGTGTCCAAGTGACTGTAGACAGAGTTCAGAGCAAAGGAGATGGCATCCTCCACACTCCTGTTCTGTCTGTAAGCAAACTGGAGCGGGTCAACACTCACAGGGATCTGGCTCTTAATGAAGTCCAGCACAAGCTGCTCAAAAGTCTTCATAAGAACAGACGTGAGGGCCACAGGACGATAGTCATTCAGGCATGTCACAGGAGTTTTCTTAGGAACTGGAATGATGGTCGACTCTTTGAAGCAGTTCGGCACAGTACAGTTCCTTAGCGACAGGTTGAAAATGTCTGTTAGCACAGGGGCAAGTTGCTCAGAGCACAGTTTCAGGACACGGGGTGGGATGCCGTCCGGGCCAGGGGCTTTCCGGACAATGGTGCTGGACAAGACCCGCTGGACTACCTCCTGAGTCACGGTGAACGCACCTTGATTGAGACAATCAGGAAAGACAGTAGGACAGGCATCGGCAGATTCGAAGCGGCAGTAGAACGAGTTCAGCTCGTTTGGCAGAGCTGGGCCAACAGATCCGATTTTCCCAGCACTAGGTTTCCAGGACGTGATGGCTTTAATACCGCTCCACATGCGCCGAGGGTCATCTTCCTTGAAATAACCCTTTAACCTGTCCCCGTAACTGCGCTTTGCAGATTTAATAGAACGTTTCAATGCGTAACAGGATAGCTTATAGGCAACTGTATCGTTGGATTGAAACGCCAGAACACGCTCATGAAGTTTTTGTTTCACTTCCGCGTTCATCCAAGGGTTTTGACTGAGATGTACTTTAATGACCTTCTGTGGGACACAGCAGTCAATACAGAAGCGTATGTATCCAGTCACAGCGTCACAGAATTCATTAACATCCTCTGACTGAAACACAGACCAGTCAGTGGCATCAAAACACCCTTGTAGCTTCATGCTAGCCTCCTCAGACCAACACTGCACAGTGCGAGAGGTTGGTTTATGTTCCCTGCTCCTCTGAGTGTATGAGGGAAGAAGGAGAACAGAGGAGTGGTCGGACTTTCCAATGACATTTAAGTATATGATGGGTCAGGTTTTGCTCCTATGACTCTGGTTAAGCTAATATCCTGAAAGGACCTTTTAATTGATACAATGAGGATAGTTCAATCTGGGAAGACTCAATGAATAGATTATGTTTATTGAATAACACTTGCAGTAAGTAATTGGCTGCTGTATGATTTGGCAGGTACACCAGGTACTTTGCTTTGAGTTTATTTAACGCAGAGGTGTCCAAACCGGTCCAGAAAGGGCCGCTCTGGCTGCAGGTTTTCCATCAGACCCAGCAGGAGCAGAATAGACTCCACCCATTTCCTCACGTAAATTCAGTCTTAACCTGAAGATTTGAGGAAATAGGTGGAGTCTATTCTGCTCCTGTTGGGTCTGAAAGAAAACCTGCAGCCAGGACCGGTTTGGACACCTCTGATTTAACAATTGAAATGGAACAATGGAAGGAGCGTGAATGTCCCAACAAGTCTCCCACACGTCCCTTGGCTCAGCGTCTGGTTTTTATATTCATTAGCAGCGTTAGCTTCCTGCCACATCCCGTATACAAAAGCCACCATGTGTGTCCTGTGTCCCCCCCCAGACCTAAGAAGCTCACCCTGAAAGGCTACAAGCAGTACTGGTGCACGTTCAAGGACATCACCATCTGCTGTTACAAGAGCAAAGAGGAGTCCCACGGCACGCCCGCCCACCAGATGAACCTCCGAGGTACATGCGCTGGTCCAGAGGGGACTGTTGCTCAGTGATGCTCCGTCCAGGTTTAACTGTCCCATGTTTCCCGCGCAGGATGTGAGGTGACCCCTGACGTCAACATATCGGGTCAGAAATTCAACATCAAGCTGCTGATCCCGGTGGCTGACGGCATGAACGAGATCTGGCTCCGCTGTGACACGGTGAGGAGTGACTTCACAGAAAAAGGCTTTAACTGTGTGCTAACAATAATACTTTGCTTTTATGTATGCTTATATGGACATTGAAAGACTAATCAGTGTCATTGGCTCCTCCGATCAACGCCATTTATTCACCAGACTAATGTTAGATTTGAGACTTTTTGGTCAAATATTAAAAATAAGAGACACAGAATAAATGCAAGTAGGACTTTTTACAATCCAAGCCCCAAAATTAAACTTTAAAAAACGTCAAGGCGAGTGTAAGGGGAGTGTAGGGCGAGTAAGGCGAGATTCTGATCTACACTTCTAAGCCGTATGTGTTAGATTCTCTGATTCCGGATGAATGAAAACTACCCCATTTTGATGATAAAATATTATAGTTACACACATTAATTACAATGGTACACTATTGTAATAATGAAAGCAATGTTAAATTTTTATATATCCCATATTTGCTTATTCTTCTGAAATTACAGAGAGGGCTTGCCCATTGATACCAGCCATACGACTTCTGCCGCTTGAATGCAGGAGACAAACTTGACAAAAACGTTCTTGAATTTCTCTAAATAAACACAATTTTACATTACCTCAAAGGAGGATTTTCTCTTGAACACGTCCCTCCACTGTCCTGTATAGAAGTATATCAATAAAGAGGACTTGCTAAACCCCAGTGTGTGTTGTCTTTCCTCTGTGCAGGAGAAGCAGTACGCCCACTGGATGGCCGCGTGCCGCCTGGCCTCCAAGGGGAAGACCATGGCAGACAGTTCGTACAACCTGGAGGTACAAAACATCCTGTCCTTCCTCAAGATGCAGCACATGAACCCGGACCCGCAGTTCATCGAGCCCATCACCACCGACATCAACCCCGAGTGCCTGGTGTCGCCGCGCTACCTCAAGAAGTACAAGAACAAGCAGGTACCACGCAAACGCCACAATCAGAGTATCAGCTACAGTGTATCTATAAGACTTTTGCCACAGCGGCCCTGTGTAGAAGTGGCATGACGACCCGGGACAATAGTGGGAAACTTGTCGACTTAATCACAGAGAAAACAGGAACATGTCAAAATAAAAGGATCAAAACTAACTTCAGACTTTCGAAATACGTCTTCTAAAGTCCCAGTGCACTCAGGACGCATGGAATCTATGCTGGACTACAGAAATGTTATCAATCCACGTGGAGCAACAGGGCTTCACTACGCTGTTATTATGTCTGTGGTTTATAATCTTTACCCACATGTAAGCGATTGGTTTTATTGCTGTCTAAATCACCGCGATATTACACTGAACCTACTCACCTCGGCAAAAAGACTAGGTTGCTCAGGGTTGTCTGTTTTGTTTTGGGATCAGTGAGGCTGCTGATGGGCTTTCCACACGCCTACACACAGCTTTAAAAAGGCTTGTGTGGTGTTTTAAATGAACCCTGTATAGTTTGTCCCTCTTGCTGATTTGATCATATCTCTACAATAAATCCCTTTTGCAGCTGCTGGGGTTTAGGTAGAGAGTTGCTACTACTTTTTTTGTTGAGAAGAATTAGTCTTATGATGTGCACATGCTCACCTGTATAATGTAAGAGGATTTTAAGATGTTACTTTAAACAGGATTGATCTCCAGATGAGTGGTACATGCTCAATGGGAAGTGCTTAAAAAGGGTTGCAATGGGTTTAGAAAAAGATGGGACTTTTTCTCATGATTTTTCCTCTTGGAGATGACTAAGAGGAGGAGGAGGATCTCTCTGCCTCTGCTGAAGCTCTGGTCTCTCTGCTCAAACAGCGCACAAATGTGTCTTCAGCTGCCCAGAGACCACAGCCGGAGCACCAGTGTTGAGACCTTTTTCTATTACAGATGCCTATTATGGTGATCATTTCTCCAGTCTTCATGGCTTCTATATTTGCCATAGTCTGTGTTGTTTGCACACTGCTGGCCACATGTTTTGAGAGGTCTGTAATGTTAGGTGTGTAGCTGGGCAGAGAGCGTCTTGTGGTGGGAGGGCATCAGGGCTGTACCGGGATGGAATGTCTCCTCAGGACTCGCCCTTATGTCGAGAGGAAACCAGGACAGGCCCACCCCCAGATCACACAGGCCTTAATGCAAAACAAAACTGATACATTATTGATTTTTTTACCTATTGGTCGATCGGTCGTGGATCCAGAGGTGGTGGGGGGAAGGGCACTATGATACATGTTTTTAGTGGGAGGAGAAACCAGAGGAAATGCAGCTATGGGGAGAATATGCAAACTCCGTTCAGAAAGGCACCATGTAGCCTGTGAGTCTAAACTAAATCCTTCATGCCGAGATAATGCCTTGAAGTGATAGTCTGTAACTCTAAATGAATTACAAATTTTAGGAAATGTGTTAAATTGACCTCCTGGCCCTAAATGTTGATATAAAATAAGTCATTTTATTAATTCTAATATTACGGGCAAGTCCCGCCTTCCCTGCTCTTAGCTATAGTTCAGAATCTACGATGCCGTCGAGGTTAACCAATCGAGTCATGCCAAGGGCTGTCAATCATTGGCGCTGATGCTCGCAGCTGCGCATGCGCAGTTGTTTGTTTTCGCGGAGCCTCTATTAGGCTCTGGAACTACATGAAAACTGAACAAAGAATTCTGAACATCCCGCTGAGGTACTTATGTATATACTGAACCTATGTCCATAATCAGATCCTCTGCAGATGTGTCCTATACTGTGCAATTCATAATAATAGCACTTCCTGGTTTGCCGCGATCGCTTTTTTGTGTGCATAAAAACATATTTTTTTTCATTAAAACGTTCACAAATAATTCTGAAAACCTCTGTGCATGTGTATTAATTATGTATATGTATAATATGTTCTGATTAACATTTTAAAGTGTTACGGAAACGTAGGTGTAGACCAATCAGAAAGGAAGGGGGAGGGAGCTTGCGTCGTTTTTTTCAAATCAAGTGTCTCTCTTTCTGACAAACTCCAGACAATCACTTTGAGGCCTTTTATTATCTGGGTACACGTCAAAAATAGATGCTAATAGAGGCTCCTCGATGGTGGTAAGTTACTATTATGATCCAAAGTTTACCACCAGCAAAACAATGGTCACAATCACACTGTGCAAAGAGGCACATTGGTAAACTGTTACTTCAAATTATTAGCGGTGGGGGATCACAAGCAGGGTAGATGGACCGCTGCACTGCGCTGTGACTTTAAAAGACTGATTTTGAAAGTGAGAAGTTTGTTTTGAACCTTTTTTTTTTTTTTTTTATAGGAAGAAAAAAACGTTTTTTTTCCCCTTTTTATTTTAACACACTTCAATCTTCCTCGTGGTGAAAAGCCAACACGGGTCTAAGCAACATGCCAACCATTCCCAGTATTGTCCCGGGTCAGAAAAATCTCCCTGAAAACGCTAAACATCTCACAAATGTCTTCGTCGTGGCCATTCTCTTACATATCAGATTCATACTAGGCTATGTGGGTGAAGTGTCTTGCCAAAGGACACAGCGACACTATGGTATGGTATGGCCTCTCAGACACCATGTGTGCTTCTCCCACTTTGCCTCCAGTGGACTTCTGGCCGTGCGCGTGGCCCCTGCACCAGCTGAGCACACATGCAGCTGTTACAGAGGAGGGGAGGGCGCTTTTGTTGAACTTGTAGTACGGCTGTGGAATGGAACCCAGGCTGCCGGTGTGCGTACAGTCACTGCCCGCATGTCCACAGTCAGAAATAGCCTCGGGTCAAACATATTTAGACTGTTACCGAGCGCATGGACCGTGTTTGAGTCAACATGGAGAGAGTGCGTGTGTGTGTGTGTGTTCAAGCCGCGGTGACTCATAGGAAAGCACAGACGGACTGGTTTCATTCATACAGTTTGCTGAGGTGCTGTAAAAATCATGTGTCCTAAAAAATACATATACCTCTAAATGGTCTTAAATGACTTCAAGAATTTGGTGATGGAATTTAATGCAAAAAAACAAAAACAAAAAAAACAAAACCAATCTATAACATCAGCCCAGGGACTGCAGGTGGGAATTAGCATCGTTGCTATAACCTGGTACAATGCATCTCTCCTTTGGGTTAATGTTAAATTGTACACTGTCCCAGTTTCAAATAAAGTAATACCATACCATACTAATTAAAATTGAACCATACTTGTAATGAAATCCACCAAACTAGTCCTTCGCACTAGTTTTCACATGCATGTAATTTTGGTCACATCTTTATATCAGCTTTTTCAGACAGAAAAGTAAAAAAGAGAGGACCTCCCTCACTCAGCCCAATGCAGAAGATTACTTAGTTCACAAAATGTTACTTTTACAAGATCGGCAGAATGTCATTTTTCCTCTGATTGCTCAATTTAAAGATTTTTTAAGACATTCACTTTAAAATCTAAGGCAAAAGTATTCTCAAAGCTTTTTATGTTGTTTGTCCCAGCAGTAAGAGTCTTGTGAAAATAAACTGTGGATACATAAATAATAAGAAAAAAAAAAAAAAACTTGCTGTCTTAAACATAAATTGTGCGTACTTGGAAGAGCCCTGTGAGCCACGATACGACTGTTTGGCCTAAGATCTGATTGGCTGAGTGAGGGCTGTCTTTCCTTTTTCACTTTTCTGTCTGAAAAAGATGAACAATACTAGTTATTGGACTAAACTGCTTTGACAGCGACAAGATAAGATGGACTTTTGATCTCACACTGGAGAAGTTTACAAACTACTTCAATGGATTTGTTTAGAAATCTGTATACGTGGTGGTTTGAAAGTTAGGAACCCTAGCTTTAATCAGTGTTGGATTAACCCTTTAAGTCCCAAAGGTTCTGAATGAATGGTGTGCAAAACAGACTAAAATACTAGGGATAGTAAAGATTATAAGGGAAAGAAACTGGAGGGAAAAAAACCAAAAGTCCTGTTCCCAGTTGCCTCTCCTCGCTCGTCCGTCTTGGGGGCATCCCCGGGTCACTCGCCAGCCGCTCCGCCCTGCTCCCCTCCCACTGTAATAACTGTACACACACACACACAATCACGCTGGAGTGGGCGTGGGAGCCGGAAACCAACCTCTGGGGGGACTGTTTACGCGGGAATACATTGCTCCAACTCTGCTCAGCTGCTGGGGCCCGCTCCGCTCCCTCTTCCGCAGCAGATGAGCGACACTTCCACCCGGTCAGGAATCACGCTCAGGAAATGGGACGGCCGGTGACGGGGCAGATCTGATTTGAGAGGGTGAAAAAAAGAAGTCCTGAGTAGCAATAATGCGTGGACGTGCGGTGTCCTCTTGTGGAGAGAAAAAGCATTACTATTGTATTTTGCTTTCAGAATTACATACACTACTGTTTCAATCCACAATGGGAACTAGTTTAGAGCAAACGTTTGGATGACGTGATGGAATGTGTCAACAGGACATTGACAAGCCAAACTGCTTTATTTATATATAGCACAGAGATGGCCGTGTCACCCCAGGTTCAGGACCACAAAAAGGCCCCCTGGGTTTAAGACCACAGAGAAGATTCAGATTCAGACTTCATTTATCCCACCAGGGGCAATTCAATTAAGCAGCACAGGGCAGAAAAACACAGGAAATGTCAATGTCAGACAGTAACATGATAAATATGGTATGAAGGGGAGCCCCATACAAACATATATGAACATAACGCAACAATACAAGCTCAAACACCACAGAGAAGGCCATGTCCCCCGGGTTTAAGACCACAGAGAAGGCCCTGACCCCGGGTTTAAGACCACAGAGAAGGCCCTGACATCTGGGTTTAAGACCACAGAGAAGGCCATGTCCCCGGGTTTAAGACCACAGAGAAGGCCCTGACATCTGGGTTTAAGACCACAGAGAAGGCCCTGACATCTGGGTTTAAGACCACAGAGAAGGCCATGTCCCCGGGTTTAAGACCACAGAGAAGGCCCTGACATCTGGGTTTAAGACCACAGAGAAGGCCATGTCCCCGGGTTTAAGACCACAGAGAAGGCCCTGACCTCTGGGTTTAAGACCACAGAGAAGGCCCTGACATCTGGGTTTAAGACCACAGAGAAGGCCCTGACCCCGGGTTTAAGACCACAGAGAAGGCCCTGACCTCTGGGTTTAAGACCACAGAGAAGGCCCTGACCCCGGGTTTAAGACCACAGAGAAGGCCCTGTTCCCCGGGTTTAAGACCACAGAGAAGGCCATGTCCCCGGGTTTAAGACCACAGAGAAGGCCCTGACCCCGGGTTTAAGACCACAGAGAAGGCCCTGACCTCTGGGTTTAAGACCACAGAGAAGGCCCTGACCACTGGGTTTAAGACCACAGAGAAGGCCCTGACCTCTGGGTTTAAGACCACAGAGAAGGCCCTGTTCCCCGGGTTTAAGACCACAGAGAAGGCCCTGACCTCTGGGTTTAAGACCACAGAGAAGGCCCTGACATCTGGGTTTAAGACCAGAAAAAAGGAACTGTCTCCAGCACGGTGGTTCATATTGTCTTACTTATTTTTAGATGTAAAGATAAAGTGCATATTAAAAGGTTTTCAGAAGGTCTTGATCAGTTTTCCTTTGATTCTCAGTATTTTCCTGCCCCTGCTGTTGCTTCAGACACACTGTGCACGTGAATGTGGCCCACGCTGCTGCACCTTCTACAGTCTGTGCATTATTTTAACATTGATTCCTTCTTTGTTTTCCATTTGGCATTGACTTGATTTTGCTTGTGCTTTTGTTTCTTTTCTCCTCTGCCCCATTTCTCCCCCTTCCGCTCCTCAGCCAGGCTTTATCAGGGACCTGGTAAGTCTCCCATGGGTGCCCTCTGCTCCTCACTCAGTAGAATACATGCATGCCATAGACTTGGATGAATGCTTGTGCTTGTAGTGAAACCAATTAACAAATTGTCTCTTTTTCCTCCTAATATTATGGATTTTGTGGTCAATTGTGTCCAAAGCTCACATTTCAGGCAAAAATACACCCCTTCTGTTTGAATGCTCTGTTTTCAAACTTCTTACACTATGACAAACCTATAGAGCAGTGTTTCTTAATCAGGGGAGGTGCTGAGATTTTAGTAATATTAAAATACTATTATTAGTATTGTAAAAGATTTACAGTACAAGGTGTATTGGGCTACCTATCCTAATATGTTCAACATTATTTTAAAGCTACTCTCAAGAAAACAACCGTATCATTATATTAAAGTTTAAACATTGAATCCATGCAATTAATAATAATTGGTCCATCAGTCTGCAATAACCAGCCTTTTACTTTTGGACCAGTTTTGGCTCAGATAAAGCATGCTCTGATTTTGTCCAGGAATCTCATTACACCATTTGATCAAAATACCTGCAAAAGGTAAAATAATAATAATATATTTCAATAGAATGTTATAACCAAAAGATCCCAAATGTGAGCTAAAGACAACTTTAAAAATAAAATAAATTGTCCTAAAGCCTTTAAGTTAGTTTTGGGGATGTGTCCAGTTACATTATTAGTTCCTTCAGTTGGTTGCTGGATGCATGAGGAATACTCACCCGTATATGAATGTATTTGATAAATGAGAAATCTAAAAGGGATTTCTATGAAGTGTAATTTAAATGTGTACATTGGACTTCAGACACTGGCACACGGAGTTCTAACTACAGTGTGTAATGCTTAGATAGATGTGTAGTAGTTTGTGTAGTGACTTGATCCTGTTTGTGGTGAGTTTGTGGTGGTGGGACACACCTGCTTCTTGGTTTGACGGGTGGATGTAGACTGTTTGTTTAATGTTAAAATCCTCTTATCTGAAATGTCTGTTGTTGTCAGATTTCCGCCCGGATTCTGGAGGCGCACCAGAACGTGGCCCAGATGAGTCTTATTGAAGCTAAAATGCGCTTCATTCAGGCCTGGCAGTCGCTCCCAGAGTTTGGGATCACACACTTCCTGGCCAAGTAAGTTCTCCTGGTGCTGCTCACACCTGCTCTGGGAGACACACACCTACTGTACATCTTCCTGTTGTGCAGGTTCCAGGGCGGGAAGAAGGACGAGCTGATCGGCATCACCTACAACAGACTGATCCGCATGGACGCACACAGCGGAGACGCCATCAAGACCTGGCGCTTCAGCAACATGAAGCAGTGGAACGTCAACTGGGAGATCAAGATGGTGACTGCACTCTCACACACACATTTACACACACACATACACGTTCACACATGCATGTACATACATATACACACTCACACACATGCATACGCATATCTTCTCTTCCATGCCCCCAAAACCTATAACAAATCAAACTGAATCTTTTTGATAACTCTTTGAGGACAAATGAATGTACAATGGACTCTTTTTGAAGCTAATGCCCTATTGTTTTGACCTCTGATGACTTAATCACTCTAATTATATGTGGAACATTCTGTACAGAGACAAGTCAAATCTAAAGTCTGCCTACAGCTTCCATGGTAAATACCAACTGTCTGGAGGAGGGATCTATTTGACTTTTTACTTTCAAAATGTCACTGGAGATCAGATTTAGAGAGCTGTATTAAAGCAAAGCAGTGGAATACATGTAAAATCCTTTTAAACTTTTTAGCATTTTTTCATATATATAAACTGCGAAAAGTGAAAATATAGACTAGTGTAGTTCACGTGATTGCAGTGTGTTTATGTGATCAGTTTTTTTTGTACATTTTTACTCATGCAGGCAGAAGATGATTAAGATGATATTACTTGTTACTAACAAATGGAAAAATCATGATCCACTGGCAGATAATTTGCTTGAAACCAGTACATTTCCTCTAATAATAGCTATTTTTTCTTGTTTTTTGGAGCCACTTTTTTAGTGTTTGTAAGTTCAAACTGGCCCAGGATCATCCCTGTCAATGTTCGATTAAATGTATTCTTGTAAATCACAACAGTAGTAGTAGTTATCTCAAAGGACTTAACAAAAACGTTGAATTCGCCAACACAGATCAAAGAATCAGTTCAAACACAAGAAATTCAATGAATCTTATTCCCGGTATTGTTATGTTTTTAGGCTTTCACGTTTACAAGAGTTTGAGGGTTGTATTCAAGATTAGAGAATTTCTTTGCCATTTGCAGTAAAACCACATTGGAAAAACTGCTCAAGACTACCCCAATGTGCACCAGAGCTCTTGCCACAGCACACTAACACTGCTCCGTTGCCTAGGTGACGGTGGAGTTCGCCGACGAGCCCAGCCTGTCCTTTATCTGCGCCGAGGTGGACTGCAAGGTGGTGCACGAGTTCATTGGAGGCTACATCTTTCTGTCCACGCGCGCCAAGGACCAGAACGAGTCCCTAGACGAGGAGATGTTCTACAAGCTCACCAGCGGCTGGGTCTGAGCAGCACCCGGAGGAAACCCAGCCACCATCCCCCCCATCCCCGCCCCAGCCATCCGCTACTCAGCCATCACAGACACTTATGTTGTTTTGGGTTTTATTGTCGTAAGTAAACGTCCATGAACGCAAACCCAAAGATGATATCGCTAATTTATTGAACGCAGCTCGTGTAGCGCAAGTCCACCTTTTGGTTCTTTCCGATGTTGCGCTATTGGACTTCAGATACGTGTACAAAAATGATGATATATAGATATTTAGACACAACTGAATATTTGAAGCAGTTAGACGTGTCTGTGCTTTTGCTGGTTTTGACTTGGATGGATTCTGAAACACGACGTAAACTATGCAAGTTACAGTCCTAAGCATTTAGACTTTCTACTTAAGTGAGGTTTAGTCTTTAGACATAATTTGTCACTAAACCTAAATTGTCCTTAAAGGTGGAGTACCAAACTTAGGAAACCACAAACAAATATATACCGTGATCCATGTTATTAGTTATAAGGTCTTCACATGTGTTTGGCCTCCGTCACAGATGAGATCAGATTTGTCCGACGGAAAAGCGATAGAGGACCACCCTCCCTCAGCCAATCAGATCTCAGCCCAAAGAGTCTAATAGTGACTCACAGGGGTCTGCATGTTGTGGCCTATATTATTCACAAACCGTTACTTAAACCAGATTATTTTTATGGGACAAAAATGTGTTTATTAAACCCCAAAATAAAGTTAGGTACTCCAGCTTTAAACCACACACATTTAAGACGAGGATTCTACACAAAAACTAGTCCAAACTTCTCAAAGATTCAAGTTGGTTTTTGGATATTTTGTTTTTGCTATTGTTGCCTCTTTATACTGACAAACAAATGTTTTAAATAGTGAAGGAGAGAATCGCTGGTGAATGAAGTCCATGAAGCGCTTGTACACTACACAGTCCTGTTTGAATAAGCTTCTTTAAGTTCATGAAAACACTACGTTTGTGGTCGGAGGAGCCGGTCATGACCAGTTGCTCATGTCACACCTGGTGCCTGGGTTCTTCTCAATGGTTTTGACCTGGAATATTCCATTTGGTGCTAAACCATGTGGCTTCACCACAGGCCAAGTTAAGCTCTAAAGTCATCCACAGTTAAGGAAAAGCAAAGGAATAACGTCACTATGACAACAAGCATGTAGCAGTGCACCTAATTTACAAATATTTGATAATTATTTCTGACATTTTTTTTTTCATTTGTCCATATTTTCTATTATTTATAGATGTACTTTAAGATGCAATTATCCATTTTATTCAAACATTTAATGAACTAAAAGCTATTTGTTTTTACAATAGTTTTTTAAAAATTCAGTTACTTTTTTTAAGTTAAACATACAATATTTCAAATATATTGTTAAAATATTTTTTTATTTTTTATCTGGTTCATTTATGTGACTTAAACTAAATCTTCCCCAACTCCAGACTGCACCAGGTGTCACATGGTGTCACATCATACAGCTCTATCAACATTGTTGACCACATAGTTTGTTACATGTTTAACAATAGCATTGTTACATTATTATTATTATTATTATTATTGTTATTACTTTTGAACCTCATGCCTCTCCCGGCGGCTCGGAGCTCGGGGATCCTGCCTTAACTTTATTTCAGTTTCGCTCACGCCTTTATAGTATTATTCTAATTCTGTCTGTGTAGTCACCAGCAGAGGTCACCGTTTGAAGATGAAATATGCAACTGTGTTTTCTGTCCTCAGTTTGAAGGAGCAGCAAATGAAGTATTGTTTTGTTTTTTTGTAACTATGTAAAAACACGAGTTTTATAGAATTGTACAGTTTTGTTTTGTTTTTTTGAAGGAGAATAGCTTAACCATCGGCCTATATCAGATGAATGATCCTTGTGCTCACGTTGAAGATTTCTGAATATATATATGAAGAATAATCATGCCTGTCGACGCCAGATGTTGTATTTTGTTGTTCGGTTTTAAAACGTGCCTCATACTTTAATGTTTATGCTTTCTCCATTGGTCGTCACGGTGACACGCTGCCTCGAGGGGGGCCTCCATCGTCTATGTCCCCTCTCCCCATCTGTGTTTGAAGGAGCGCCTGCTAGCTTTCCTGTGGGGCTCATAGTCTGTATATAGATGGACAATCCTAACCCCTATAGCTGAGTGAAGCCCCATAGGGAAGCGCTCATGGGCGAAGTTTTGCTCCAACTCGCTCTTCCTGCTTACTTTTTTGTCACATTCACCATTTTGGGCTTAAAAAATCCATCGTTTAGCGCTCTGTGAGATCCTGTTGTTAATATTGTGATAATGTCTTTTGTAAATTCAGATATGAGCCCCAACAACTGACCAATCAGGAGCCTTATCTAAGATTGCCATAACGCTGAAGAGGCCAATTAGAACTGACGCTGTCCACTCCTAATGTGCCGTCTATGGGGGAGATCTGCTTCCTGCTTGGAATGTTTCACAGTATGACATTAAACTTTGATATGCACATCGGTAACAACTCTGGAGACTAGTTACAGGTCACATCTGCGGAGAGGAGTCGACCAATTTGAGGTTTTCAGCAGTAAAACATCTGAAAGAACGTACAAGTTTATATTGTACTGAGGAACATTCAAAGCAAAGGCAGCAAGTTGGTAGCGGACCCTGTTTGAAAAGTTACAGAAAACCTTGTATTTTTCTTTGCCAAGATTTAAAGATATTCCCAACATTGATTGATGTTGAAATGGGGCGAGGAACAGGTAACATTTTGGATATGAAGGATTATTTTCTGTTTAAAAGAAATTGATCTGTGGCTCTTGGAGGTCTGTGCTCTACGAGTGCTTGTCCAGTTATTTTCCCCCTATAGCAAATCTGAGGCAAAAGACAATCCTTCCAAATTGTAAACTTTTAATTTGTCTCCATTTTTTTATTTGCTAAAAATGTTGGCGTTTTAAACTCAAACCAGCAGCTTTTAAAATACATAGAATTATAGTAAGTTCTCTAACTTTTTACAATATATTTTCTAGAATTATTTTGTCAGCAGTGAAAAGCATAGAGTGATACAATCTAGTCTCAAATCTTCTCAATGTTGTAAAGTATGTTCGTTATAATATTTTTGGACTTTTAGATGAAACTTGCTCCAACAAAAACTAATAATCATAGCTATTTTACCAAAAAACGTAATTACAGTAACTGGTTCTAGTTGTAATTCCTTTCCACTCCTGTTTTAATCACTGAAGTCTAGTTTTGAAGGAAGAATTTTGTTTACCTCTTTGGCACATGATTTTTCTAATTTGTAGAAACCAACTATATTTCACATCAAGGACTTTGTTGAATGATTAAGTCAGTAAAGTGAATATTGTTGCTGCTCGTGCTGTCGGAGAAACCCGTGAGGCAGCTTGTCCCGTGATTTGATGAATTGTCATTTCTAATTCAGTTCAAACTGTTGGAGGCGATTTGATAAGAGGCGGACAATACTGACAAACATGAATACAAATGTCTTCTTGTTAATGCTAACCGCTAAAGTACAAGTTTGCATGTTTTACTATTGATCTTTGACAGTCGCCTTAGTTCACTTTTTTATTCAAATTAAACCAAATTATTTTCTCCTAAACGACTTATTCAATTATTCATTTGTATGTATTGTCCGTCTCTTTGACTGCATAATTGTGGAAAAGCGTTTGGCCTGAGCATGTCCTGCCAGCCCCCAGACTGTAAAAAATGCATTTATTTTAAAAAATAAAGTAATTTTTATTTAAACTGTGTGCTCTTTCTTGTATGTGTGTGTCAGGTAAATGTGGTATTATGTGAACTGTATACTGTAGATACTTCAGTTGAAATAGCTTTACTGAAACACGCAGGAAATGTCTTGCCAATGGTCATCTTCGACAGTTTTATGATAAATATCCCATTAAACCATGGAATACATTACATCAGCCAGTCTAGCCTTTACTAGTGTTGGAACAAATTGTGCTTAATTATATTTCAATAAAACCACTTAGTCTAGACTTTAGATTACTCTATTCTTTTGCAGCCCAGAGTGTAGGTGTGGGCTGGGGACATGTGCAGGTCGAGGTAAGGACTGATCAGTAATAAGGAAAGTATGAAAGGGGCCATGGGGTGATAATCTTCCATCAGTGTCAGCGTTGAAGATGAAACGTGGCTGGATCTTTCAGAAAGACAATGGGCCTCATTCACGAATAACTTCGTAAGAAACTACTCAACTTTCTTCTCAAGTTGTCCTTAAGTAGATTTCTAGGAAGTCCCCACGTGGGATTCATCAACGCACTCGTAAGCCGCTGAATTGTTCGCAGCTGTTCTCTCAGATTGATGAATCCCATTTCCTCGTAAGTACAGCGCGCGTGCCCGGTGCTTCATTACCATAGGTACTTAGCATAAGTAACCGCCCACTAATGCCCATATAAGGGACTGCAGGGCCGTGTGCAGACGCCAGAGGAAACAGCAACAGGCCTAAAGCAGGCTTTTGCCAGACTGAGAATAAAGTTATAAAATGTTGACTTAAAAGTCGAAATATTATGATTATAAAGTCGAACTAGCAAAATTATGAGATTAATCTAAGAATATGATGAGATTAATCTCAAAATGTTATGATCTTAATTTAAAAATATATTATGTATTATTTTAAAGATGAATCTCAAAATGTTTTGAGATTAATCTCAAAATATTTTGGACCCTGGGAGGAGATCCAGCGCGGACCAGCGCTGAGACCAATGCAGACCCGAGGAGAGACTGGAGTGACCAGCACACAGAAACCAGCGCGGACCTATAGGAGAGACCGCATAGACTGGAGTGACCTGACTGGAGAGACCGCATAGACTGTAGTGACCTGACTGGAGAGACCGGTGCGCAGAGACCAGCGCGGACCGAAGAGAGACCGCATAGACCAGACTTGAGAGACCAGCGCGGACCCGTATGGATCCATGGGAGAGACCAGCGCAGACCCGTATAGATCCATGGGAGACACCAGCGCAGACCCGTATAGATCCATGGGAGAGACCAGTGCAGACCCGTATATGGGAGACACCAGTGCAGACCCGTATAGATCCATGGGAGAGACCAGTGCAGACCCGTATAGATCCATGGGAGAGACCAGTGCAGACCCGTATAGATCCATAGGAGAGACCAGTGCAGACCCGTATATGGGAGAGACCAGTGCAGACCCGTATAGATCCATAGGAGAGACCAGCGCAGACCCGTATATGGGAGACACCAGTGCAGACCCGTATAGATCCATGGGAGAGACCAGTGCAGACCCGTATATGGGAGAGACCAGTGCAGACCCGTATAGATCCATAGGAGAGACCAGCGCAGACCCGTATATGGGAGACACCAGTGCAGACCCGTATAGATCCATGGGAGAGACCAGTGCAGACCCGTATAGATCCATGGGAGAGACCAGTGCAGACCCGTATAGATCCATAGGAGAGACCAGTGCAGACCCGTATATGGGAGAGACCAGTGCAGACCCGTATAGATCCATAGGAGAGACCAGCGCAGACCCGTATATGGGAGAGACCAGTGCAGACCCGTATAGATCCATAGGAGAGACCAGCGCAGAGACTCAGCGCGGACCCAGTAACCTCCTGCAGCAGCAGTATATATGCCGTTGTTCTGTGGCCCGTGGATAAAGAAATGCCCCCTATAAATAGGAAGGGGTCACTAATACACGGCAAGATTTCCAATGTATTTGATAAAGCGTTGGCACATTTCATTTCAAAATGAATTAAAAAGTAGGCCAGATCTGCAGTGAAAAAGGCGGTATATAAATAAAGATTACTAATAAAGATTACTACAAATAAATAAATACATACATCGATATGACGGACATATCACTGGAATGTTGTATTTTTATTCAACTTCACCAAAGAGGACAACCCCAGCGTGTGAACATGTCGGCACTGAATGCGTACGAGTGCTCCTGAGGACTCGTAGGATTTGTACTTGCCCAAGAGAAATTCTGGTTACGAGAAATATTCGTGAATGCCACTTTCTTCGTAAAAACCTCGTAAGTAGGATTTACGTACAAATCTGTTCCTAAGAACCGTTCGTGAATGAGGCCCAATGATCCCATAAGGCTCAATAAAAAGCAAATCGGGTCCTGGAGTGGTCCAGTCTCCAGATCTGAAGCACATGGAAAATCAGTGGAGAAAGTTTGGCCAGCGACAGCCCCAAAACATCACTGCTCGAGAGCTCTGCATGGAGGAATGGGCAAAAATAACAGCTAGTGTGGCAACCTGCTGAAACTCTAGTCATTGTCTGGATTGACTTCCTGGATATTTTTTTCACATCTTGTTGCTCACAGTCAAAGTGCACCAATGATACAAACTATAAACCCATCTTGTTTTATTCATGTGGGACGACAAACAGGATCTGTAACTGCTTTACGTTTGTGTAGTGTTTCGACTGGACTCAGCAAAACAACTGTCATGAGAAGAAACCATGAAGTCTGCACGATTCAGCACAATCAAAAACACAGCAAATAAAAAATATATATTAACTTTGAAAATAAATCAGAATTTTTTACCGTTTTTTTCACATTTTCTCAAAAGTCCAGTGTCATTTACTCTTCATTATTTTGAGTCGCACATAGTTTCCGCCACTTCCCTCTTGGGTCTTCTGCACAAGTGTGATACTTTGAAGAGCATCTACTGACCAAGTCCAAACCCTGTACGTTGTTTAAGTGTTGGGATGTGCTCTCTGGTCCACCTCCATGCTCTCCACACACTGCCTCTTGCTCTGAGCCTGGTCCCCCGGCAGCAGCTTCCTCTTGTGGATCCTATAGGGACTGGGAGATCCACCCATGGGGGAGAGGCCAGAGGAGCCGGAGCCAGGGCCCGCTCCGCTCAGCTCCATGCAGGCGCCGTGGAAGGGGCCGTTTGAGTTCAGGTCCAGGGTGGAGGTTTTGAGCAGGACTGGAGAAGGCTGGAGCTGATCGGAGTGGGAGAAATAGAATTAAAAAAGATTAGGTATGGCACACCAAAAAGTTCTTCAGGTGCAAATGTGAAGGGAAAAATTGCAAAAAGAACACATTTATCACTTGATGACGTTTAGACCCTTACAGCCTCCATTAGATCGATCATTGCCCTTTCCTTGGCCCGCAATACATCAACGACAGAAGAATGATCTGACAGCTATCCAACGTCATCAAATAAATAATAAACATTTATTTCATCTATTTTGAGATGTGCAATACTTTCATGGTTTTTGCGAGATAAATCTAGAAAATGAACCAAATGTAGTCGTATAAACAAATCACAAATAGCCCCTTGAGTTTTTAACAATGCTATATGCGTTTTGTCTTGTAGGATATTATGCTGTATATGACGGATTTACAGTGAACTTTTCCACAATTTTTCACAATCACAAAAAAAGTCATTTTAATTTCTTTGTGAAAGACCATTGCAGAGTGCGGGAAACTTCTCCAAACCTTCATCCCTGACCTCTCTGGGGGGTTCTTGGACTTCATGATGCTGTTTAATGGCCTGAACTCTGAGGCCATCACAGAACCAGTATATTTAACTACCCCTGCTGTTTTTATGTCTTTAAAAAGTACCCAGGACATGGTTTAAATGCGTTGGTTTGTCCAGAGGTTGAAGTAAACATGTATTTTTTTTTTTAAAGGCACAGTACTTAAATATGTATTCCTTGTACCAATATTTATTCGTCTGACATAAGAATACAGAGTAAAAGTAAAAAGTTGTCATTAAAAATCTGCTCATCTGTTCTGTTTGATCTAAGAATGTACTCAAAAACTTGAACCATGAATAACAATAAAGGGTAATATGTTCGATATCACTTCAGACTGGCAGTGTTTACCAGCTGGTGGAGGTCTGGGTGGGCTCTGCGGCCGCGGCACCAGCTGAGCTTGGCGGGCGGCCGTGACCCCCGTCTGCTCTGGACATCCATGGAAGCATCAGAGTCCTCAGAGCTGCCGTCGTACGGGTCCAGGAACTACAGGATTAGGACTGGGTGAGTATAATACTGTAACAGGAGAGACAGTAGGTGCACTGCAAAAGTGATCAAACATGAGGCCATTATTGCTTAAATCAAGTGTTTTGTCTTAATTTGTGTACATTCTGCCAATGGAACAAAGCCATTTAGTCTAATTTCAAGTCCAACTCTGTAAAGCAGAACACAGAGGAGGTTGACCTGAGTTTAAATATTGTAATTTCATAAAGTGTTAATAAAAATATATATTTAGTACAAAGAAAGTAGTTGTCATTTTGAGGATTGTCACATAGATAATGAAAGCCACAGTCTGAGTAAATCAGAAATTAACATTAGACTGTGGCGCCACCTGCAGGTGAAAGCCAGATCCTGTCAAACCTCTGAAGCTAAGCAGGGCAGGGCCTGGTTAGTACTGAGATGGTTGTATCCCTAATCAAGACACCCACATTGCCTTGTATGAATCTGCTTGGTGTGTGTACATCAGTGTAAACTACAGAGAAACTCTGTTACCAAAGAGTGAGCAGGGACTCTGCAGCTGGGACGGGGGAGGAGGGGGAGGCTCCGCGGGACACTGTCGCTCTCTGCTGCACTGCTCACACAGCCCTCACACGCACACACAAACACGCACATAAACATTACACATAAAAACAGCAGAGTGACATAATTCCAGACGAGGTGTTCTGTATTGTCGCCGTAAAGAGTGGAAAGGCTGAGCTCCACAGACAGCTCTCACTGCTCCCATCAGGGGCGTAGGTTCAGGTCCCTCCAAACAAAGAGGGCCACATCCCGCTTCCTCCCCACCACAATTCACCTTTTAAACAGCTGATTTGGAGAGGGGCGACAGTAGCTCAGTTGGTAGAGCATTGGCCTTTGAGCCTGAAGGTCGTGGGTTCAAGCCCACCGTAAGACCTACTTCACGACTCCCACTGATGACTGCTGTCGTTGTGTCCTTAGGCAAGACACTTAACCCCACTTTGCCTGAAGCCCCCACTGAAAGATCTCAGCTCCTGTGGACTCACCACCTGCAGGAGGATCAGTGAGGGGCTGGTGCTCTGTGGACTGGGTGGCATCTCTGGCCACCCCCCCGACCCAGAAATGGATTAAGGGGAAGAAAATGGATGGATGGATGGATTTGGAGATCTGTTTTATTTCATATTGCGTTTCTGCACTTTTATTGTATTTATTTTTAATATCTTGTGTTTCTGTGTTTTTTGATGTACCCCCACTGGTGCGCCATCTGTAAATTAGCTTCTTCATGGATAAATAAAGCTATTTGAATGGTCATAAGCTCTGTGGAATGACCCAAAGGACATGATGGTGGATACATGTGCTCCACATTCGTTTCCTCCATACAGTGGCTGAGTCATTGGCTTACATGGAGAGGAGGCTCTGTTTGGGACGCCTCCTGAGGAGGTGTTGGGCATTTCACACGGTGAGGACTTGGAACACACTAGAGCGACTTCCTCCCTCAGGTGGCCTGGGAACACCTCAGGATCCCTCCAAATGTGTGGAGAGGAAAGTCTGGGCATCAGACTGTTGCCTCCACAACCGGCAACAGATGAAGTGGAACAAATAGATGGATGAAGAAGAGGACTTACCATCGTGCTGGTGTCGGACCATCGTGGGCTGATCTCAGACTCCGAGTCAGTGCTGGACTCCACTTTACACATCTCCGGACCAAAACACACACACACACGTTAAAACATCTTTCAAGAAGCAAGGCTTTACTTCAGGTTTGTTGTGTCTCACCATGTACTTGAAGGACAGGTGGTCCACAGAGCTGGGCACACAGCGGCCCCTGGGATCTACACAGTGATGACAACATGTTACTGACCACACATCCTCCTGTAGGGACAGGGCCGACTGGGGAAAGGTCACATGCTTTAGGCTTTGGCAACAATAAAAAGAGCCAGTAAGAATATGATTGAAAATGCATAAACACTTTGTGTCCTCAGTGAGAAGTGAGAAGTCCTCAGTGCTCACATCAAATTATGGTCAGATTACTGTTAAACTAAATCTGTATTCTTAATTACAAAACAACATTGCCATAGAGTTTACAATCAGAGTTCCAATAGTGAAATCCAGTTATTATTTCACTCTAAGCACCAGCACTTAGCACGTCATGAATCAGTCAGCAGCAGCTCCAGTCCTCTGACACTGGACACACATATGCTGAACCAGTTTGTGCTTTGAGAACACAAGAAATATACACAAGAAATATAATGTAAATATTGAGAAAAGTAATACGTTGTAAACTATGTGTTATGGGTTTGTACAATAGAACGCTTTTGCCAGAAAAATAATTCATGTTTGTTCAAATATAATTAGCCACACTTTGGGACCCAACTTTTAAGCGAAAAACAAGAAATTGAAATCCATTAAAATCCAACAGCTCTGATTAGCGAGATCAGCTTTGTCAGAATGACATCGTCAAACGGTGACTTCACAATGTTAAATGTGTTTTCTATGAGGAAAGGATAAGGTACCCCAGCTTTAAGGATTTGACAGTTTGAGATTGTTAAGATTGTGAAATGATGCCGTTGGGGTGGTTTACCCGCGTGTCTGCGCCTTCTGCACGCCATCAGCACACGTGCACCTCCAGCTGCTGGAGCTCACACTAGACCTCTGCTCCCTCTGCAGGGGGTTCTGTTCCTCACTGCGGGAAAAGAGACTCATGCGTGCGGATGAACCATGAGGACGGACTAGATTTGAGACTGCTATCAGCTGCTGTCACTTTCGCAATCAAATCAGTAAATGAGTCAAAAACATTATGGAATCAGATGACGCAATTTCAAGATAAACATGTAGAGCATATCCAATGGGTATATTTATGATGAAAATATAGGAAGACGTCTGATAATTGGTGTCTCTGTAAGTGCATGTTCTACAGTGGCCACTAGAGGGAGATAAAGGGCCGTGTTGATGCAACAGGTAAACTCCAAAACAAATACAAAAACGATCACAAACATGACAGTGTCGTGGAAAAGCCTGAGGATTCACATTTAGATAGATTTATTAAGCTGTAGTTCAAAAAGTAAGTATTTGGCTGCCTACAAATTTAATAACATCCCTCCTTTGTCCTTTGAGCTGTGATCAATTCAATGTCAGACCTTTTCAGACTCATGTAACAATCTTAAATGCCACCAATGTGAAATAGAGAGAGAGGAGAGAGGAAGGCGTTTATATGAATTTGGATGCAGCCACTGTGATCCAATTAAGATGTAGATTTTGCAAACGCATAAATTTAACAATTACTCCAGTTTATTTAAACTGGACCTTTGAATCCTCATATCAGTTATGTTCAAGGAATATAACTGAGGAGTGCGTTAATCAAACCATATCATATATAAACATTGTGTAACTTGCTGAAAGCAAAGCTCAGGGCTGCAGAGAACATTCAAGCTCGAACACATCCAACTCAAACTCACCTTTTGAATGGTATTTCTGCAGGGGTCTGGCTCACGGGGCCCGTAGGTTTGGAGAATCGGCTTCATCTTGTAAATGCAGTCAACGCTCTACTCTGGTACAGACAGCCCTTTGGGTGGCCCTGATTTAATTAATTTTCAGTTATTATTAAAAGTGGGGTATCTAACTTTCAAAGCACAATAATTAGAACCATGCCATTATAATACAATCCATATAGTTCAAGGCTCTCAAACCAGTTTGGTTCTGTCATGAATTTCCACATGCATGTATTTTTGGCCTTTGACGCATCTGAAGATTAGCTTTATCTAAGTGAAGGAGGAAGTGAAGGAGAGGACTGCCTTCACTCCAATCAGGTTCCAGCTCAAAACGTCAAATTGTGACTCACAGGGTTATTTCTTATACAACAGATTTTAAATTGTACAACATATGTGTGTTATTGTCTCCCACTGACTTCGGTAACTGAAATAATTTTAAAATATGTATATTAAAAACAATTCGTGGGTATCGCGCTCCGTCACTTCCGCCTGCGGGGGGGTACAGGATGAATGTTAATTTCAAAGATGGCGGCGGAGGGAGGAGGGAAGGAGATGAACGAAATCAAAACTCAGTTCACCACTCGGGAAGGCGTCTATAAGCTCCTCACGCACTCCGAATACAGCCGCCCCAACCGGGTGCCTTTCAACTCGCAGGGCTCCAACCCCGTCAAGGTCTCCTTCGTGAACGTCAACGACCAGTCCGGTAACGGGGACCGCATCTGCTTCAATGTGGGCCGAGAGCTGTACTTCTACATCTACAAAGGCGTGCGGAAGGTACCGTGTGTGTCCGCAGTGGCTGCCCCGTGTGCGCGCGGGCCTGGCGGGGGGCTGTGTGCGCGTGTGTTCGGTTAACCGTAAACGAGTGTGTGACAGCTGCGTGACTTTGACATGAGCTGAGTGATAGCTGCTTAGCTTTAGCGGCGCTGTGAGGCTAGAGGGAGCAGCGCACTGGGCACCTGCTCCAGAGACCAGTTTCAGAAATTACTTTGTAAAGTCATTTCTTAATATATCTGACAGACATTTTGCAAAATCGACTTTAGTTGTTGTTGCTTTAAGCCATGTTACAACGTTGTTTCCACATCGAAACTGATCTGGAGTTTTTAGATTCATCCAAACATATCAGGAACTTGTGCACATGTATCTCCCATTCTGTCTTAAAGCTCCTGTCTCAGTCCTGTAATAGTATGATGTCATTGTACCTCTGACGTCTCTTTAAAGGAACAATATGTAAAAATCTGGCCAAAAGTGGTACTGCAGTCACAGTCAATATTTTGTAGTCCTCTCCCACTCTCCCTGACTCAGGTTGCCAGATTCACACCAAATCCAGCAGCAAACACAGGGAATTATTTTATCAGTTGTTTGTCCGTCTCCATTCGCATTGCCATGACAGCCGTGCTAATGCTGAATTAATGTTTTGATTCATGTTTTTTTATTATTATCATTTGGACATTTGAGATAAAAAACAAAAACAAAATAAAAGCAATGTAATTATACATAGTTTATGCAAAATACATAAGCAATTGATGTCCAAAATAGGAGTGGGAAGAATGGATGTTGGAACGTATTTCTTCAGCGTATCAACATCAGGGTTTGCTCCAGAGGATATCACCTTTCAATTTTATTTATTCCCTATTTTTTAGACAAACATGTAAAAGTCCCACATCAAAAAGAGACTAACATTATTTTAATTGGGGTACATGTGGTCTTAAATGATTATTTTTACAATTAAGCTATAATCTGCAAAAAAAATGTCTTGACCTTCATCTTTTACCGTTTTTAGAGTAATCTGTCATAGAATGTGATAACATGCAATAAATACAAAAAGACATAGCCCGGGATCGAACCCGGGTTCCTGCATCGTAAGCGCACAGTTTAGACCACTAGACCACCGAGTCACACAGTTAGAGTCACTGTGAAGAACGGACTCAAACTAGCAAATTCTGCATCACACGTGAACTTTTATCAGCTGTCTCAATTGTTCAAAGGCGTCCCGATATAAATCCTCGTTTTAGTCTTTGTTTTGTCATTAATGATTTGAGAGTCATAACAAGGCCTTTTTTAGTTCTGCGCCACATGTTATTTTACCACTGAGATTAATGAGCCGCACGGAGTTCTGGCAACCCGATCACGGACTTCCATGGGACTTCCTGATTGGCGAAACAGCGGAGGGTAGGACCGTGCAGGACCGTGTGTTGCCCTGTGCAGGAAAAGCGCCCTATAAATAAAGATTGATTGATTGATTGATAGGACATCAAAATCAAAACAATAACAAACAAAACTAATTTTGATAATCAAATATCTCGGCTGAACTACTGTAATCAGTTAAAGATGAATTCGAAAAGAGTATGATTTAATAACGCCTTTTGAAATATTCGGGTAATTTAATGATGACTTGACATGCAAATATTACATATTGCTCCTTTAAAACAAAAGTATTGCCATAAGTTAGTTTTAATGTTTCAAGTGAAATGATTATAACATCTGTGTGTTTGTGGCTGATCTTTTGTAGGGATGCACTTTTTTGCATCCCTAACTTTGTGTCTTGAATTTAGGGTTAAAATGAAACTATTTTAACTCCTCCCTCTGCTGGTGGTACAGGGAGTTGCAGGCAGTTAGCATTCATACTTGTTTCACCATATATTTTCTACTTAAAATTATTTTGCATTCTTGCATGAAATGACAAGGTAAATCGTGCAAGTATTTTAAAAGCCAACAATCAAACATAAAATTTCTACTTTAAGGCCACTATTGACATAGGCAAAAACAAGGGTTTGTTGGACTCTGCAGCTAGTGCTAAAGCTGCATAGTTTTCAATAGGACTACAAGTTTCTAGAATCAAGAAAAACACATTGCTTGGTGTCATTATTGACAAAAACTAGGACATTCGATGCAGCCCAACTAAAATCTCAAAGACAATAGCAGTATTAGGTAAAGAATGATAGAGAATAATTCCTTACATACACTTAACTTTTCTTTAGTTTCATCATATGTATTTTACTGTGCAGAGATTTGGGGAAACAATTACAGTTCTACAACCACTGTTTCTACCTCAAGCGCTGAGAATAATTCACAAAGTTGGCTTCCAGTACCAAAGTACAAAACTACAACTCGGCTCTTTATCCCTTCAAAAATATTAAAACCAAAGGATGTGTTTTCAGACGGCACAGATAATGTATAAAGCATGTATATACAGTATCTATCTACAATTTACAAGGTCTTTCATAACTAATAACGTTGAAACAACTAAGAAAAGCCTTTAAATTGTGTTTGACAGATTTAAAATGCTGATCAAACATTGAACGTTTTAAACTAATAAAAATAAATGATATTTCTCCTGCATGAGGAATCAACATAAAGCTTTATGAAGTTACTGTATTACGCTGAAATGGTACGTTGAGGTTTTATACACTTTTTTATTATTTTAATCTTTTCTTGCTGTTACATTAATTGAATTGTCTTAATTTGAATTTGCAATCCAGCCTTATCTGCACATTTTGGTTATTTGTTATCAAATACAATGAAAATAGTGAACCTTGTGACAACTTCCATCCATTTTCTACCCTTTAATCCATTTCTGGGTCAGGGGGGTGGCAGTCAGAGATGCCACCCAAGTCTCATAGCACCAGCCCCTCACTGACCCTCTGCAGGTGGTGAGTCCACAGGAGGACGGCTGCTCTCTGAGTGTGAGCATAGCCTTGATCTTTCAGTGGGGGCTTTGGGCAAAGTGGGGTTAAGTGTCTTGCCCAAGGACACAATGACAGCAGTCATCAGTGGGAGTCGGTGGAGTTGTGACAACTTAACAAACCAAATCTTTCACTTTCTATATAGTGTGACTTTGTCTATGGTCATAATTCAGATAAAGAAGTAGAGACACACATTTATATCACTAGATTAATTTAAACTCTCGTACTGCTTTGTCATTTTCTGAGAGTTTGAAAACACAAGATGGCCGCCATTATGTCACAGCTTCACCACAGCGCGCGCTCTAGTCCCTCAGTCAGCGTTAGCATCGTAGCTGAGCAGGGAGCTAATAGGCTAATGAGGCTAACCAGAGCCTTCCCCGGGGCCTGGGCACCCCCGGCACAACTCACAGTCCCCCGGTATATTCTGCATGTGTGCTGAGGTGTCGCGGAGCACTGTGTCCGGGAAACAGACCCCAGGAGCGGTCTGTAGGCAGTCCGACTGACAGCCCCGCGGAGAGCACCTGTGGAGGCTCCTCACAGATGCTGTCAGATGTGTGCATGTCATAAGCAGATTACAGCTGTTACATGGAGATAACACGGTATTTGGTGTTTTCTCTAATTGATTTATTAAACATAATCTAATAGATAGACACTAAAATCGTGATCGTATGAAATACAACTATTTACAGCTACATAACTTTTTTCACCAAAACACACCATTACTAATATTGTGTTTACCTTGTCTGTTAATCTCTATAAACCTGACTTTTACTTGTCTTGGGAGATTCCTTTGGCTTCAACAGTGTGGCATTAAATTAAACACATTTACTTCAACAAAATGTCCAGAGTATGGTGTTAACTTTTGTTTCAATTAATCATGAATTATCCAACTCTCGAAATCGTTGCTTTCTCTCATCATTCTTAAGATGATTTTTTTATCTGCCTGTGTGTATTCTATTAACGTAATCTGATTAATCAAAACGTTTTAAATTTCAAGGTGGTCACATTTAAAGTAAACACACAAACCAAATGTTTGTGTGTATATGAGAAATTAAAATTATGTTGGAAATATCATTATGCTTAATTATAACATCTGTAGTGTTTCTTCCCAATGGTCATAACTTTAAACATTACAAATGGTGACATCCAACGCTGTGTGTTGTTCTGACTCCTTTTATGCTGTTCCAAAGTAATTCCTACACTAACAGCTGAGCTCACTTCAGTTTTCCCTGTTAAACAGTCATTATTTTTATTACTATGATTAGTGTTGAGCAGCAAAATGTATCCCATGTTAAAGAGAGGCTAATGAAAAAATACTTTCACAAGTAATTATTTCTTGCTGTACATCTGTTTGTTTTGCGGCTCATGTCTTTGAATGCATGTCCAGAAGATAAATGCAAACCTGACTATATAATGTCACAAGTATGTGGTCGTTTGGCCTGACAGCTGCGGTTTGGATTAGAACGTGACACTGTGTGTTGACTGCACAATGTTGTGTCAATAAGTTACAGTGTACAGTTGTAAAGGTTATCTAGTTTACTGTTGGCACCTGTTAGGCCACTGACTCACTGGCCTTTATGACCAGTGAGTTTCATCAATGACTTCCCCCTGTGCCTGAGCTGCTGATACTGACTCCTCGGGTGTTACCCATTTTCTTTGTGTAGAAACATAACACTATGAAATGTGTATTTCCAGGCTGCAGACTTGAGTAAGCCCATAGACAAGCGCATCTACAAAGGAACGCAGCCCACGTGTCATGACTTCAACCACCTGACGGCCACAGCGGAGAGCGTGTCGCTGCTGGTGGGCTTCTCTGCAGGACAGGTGCAGCTCATAGACCCCATCAAGAAGGAGACCAGCAAGCTCTTCAACGAGGAGGTACTGCTCTGCCACAGCACACACAGGTCTGCCGCACACTCCATGTTCTAACTGCCTCTGTATCTGTCTGCAGAGACTAATAGACAAGTCACGAGTCACCTGTGTGAAGTGGGTCCCCGGCTCTGAGAGCCTGTTCCTGGTGTCCCATGCCAGTGGGAACATGTACCTGTACAACGTGGAGCACACGTGTGGCACCACTGCTCCTCACTACCAGCTGCTGAAGCAGGGAGAGAGCTACTCTGTGCACACCTGTAAAAGCAAATCCACACGCAACCCCCTCCTCAAGTGGACTGTGGGGGAGGGGGCCCTAAACGAGTTTGCCTTCTCCCCAGACGGGAAGTTCCTGGCCTGTGTGAGCCAGGACGGCTTCCTGCGGGTCTTTAACTTTGATGCGGTAGAGCTGCATGGCACCATGAAGAGCTACTTTGGAGGTCTGCTGTGTGTGTGCTGGAGCCCTGATGGCAAGTACATCGTGGCAGGGGGCGAGGACGACCTGGTCACTGTGTGGTCGTTCATGGACTGCAGGGTCATCGCCCGCGGACACGGACACAAGTCCTGGGTAAGTGTAGTGGCCTTCGACCACTACACCACCAGTGTGGAGGAGAGCGAGCCCATGGAGTTCAGTGGCAGTGATGAGGACTTCCAGGATCAGATGATCCACTTGGGGCGTGACCGTGCTAACAGCACACAGTCTCGTCTGTCCAAGCGGAACTCTACCGACAGCAGACCGGTCAGTGTCACGTACCGCTTTGGCTCAGTGGGACAGGACACTCAGCTGTGCCTCTGGGACCTGACAGAAGACATCCTGTTCCCCCACCTGCCTCTCTCACGGACTCGGACTCACACTAATGTGATGAATGCTAGCAGCCCTCCAGGGGGCGCTCCTGTCATCACCACCACCCCCACCACCACCACCACCACCACCACCAATGGAAATAACAGCGGCGCTAACACGCCTGCACTAAACTCTGTGTCCAGCTCCTTGCCACGCTCCAATAGCCTGCCGCACTCCGCCGCTAACAGCGCTACAGCTAACAGCACCAACAAGGCCAGCGCAGGCTCCGGCACGGGCATCATGGACAGTGCCATTGCCACCGGGGTCAGCAAGTTTGCCACGCTGTCTCTGCACGACCGCAAGGAACGCCACGACAAGGACCACAAGCGCAACCACAGCATGGGCCACATCACTAGCAAGAGCAGTGACAAGCTCAACCTGCTAACCAAGAGCAAAACGGACCCGGCCAAGACTCTGGGCACGCTGCTTTGCCCGCGCATGGAGGACGTGCCGCTGCTCGAGCCCCTCATCTGTAAAAAGATAGCACACGAGAGACTCACCGTACTCATATTTTTAGAGGACTGTTTAGTGACTGCATGTCAGGAGGGATTTATTTGCACATGGGCCAGGCCAGGCAAAGTGGTAAGTTCTTTTTAACACTAGGAAGAAGCAAGCAGCCATACACACACAGAGACCTAGAGTAACTATAGTGAAGCCAATTTAGCCAAAGTCACTTATACTGATGTTTGTGCAAAAGGGGGGGTTACAGGAGCCTCAGCAGCAGGAGAACACACACCTTTATTCTGGCACGGAGGGTTGCCCCCACGTGCGTCTCATTCATTTCAATTCCAAAACGCTTCAATGCAAATTATGCGAGTAGTTTGTAAACTATCCCAAAATAGGAAATACGCTGCCAGAATCATTGTTATAAATCAGTTGTAACATATTCTAAAGCTCCTTGAGTTTTCAGTTTGTGACATTGGGGAGTTAAGTATCAGCTGTAATATTATTGTGCAAGATACTTTAAATAATATTGAAAAAGCCACCACTACTGTAAACTAAAATTTGTATTAACTTTATGTATACTCACATTTATGTATGTGTGCAAGATACTTTAAATAATATTTAAAGTATCTTGCACACATACATAAATTTATGTTGCCACAATATAATACTGATGAAGTCCAAAACCAATCTCTCCTTAAACTAGCTTTCCCTGCTTATTCTAAAACTACAAATGTGAAATAGATTATCTTCTGCTTTTCTAATGGAACATCTAATTGGAACGAGCATTGTTGTCAAGAATGTAATGGACAACTGCGTGCCGATAATGCGTGTGTTGAGGCGAAGATGTTTCCTATCGATCGCCTCCTGCCTGCCAAGCCTTAAGGGTTTTCTAAACGTGTTTCTCCACAAACCACAGACCAACACTCTTTAATGGCCCTTTAGGACCAGTAATCCACAAGAGCATAATGCGTTCCACTGTCTTTGACACAGTAAGAAACAGCAGCAAACCTAGCAGGGTCAGCACTAGATCATATACGGAATCTGGACGGAAGCGAAATATAACAATTACCTATTCATGCCTAAACTTAACCAGCCATTCCCATAAAATAACCCCAACCTAACCCTTAACCCTAACCTTAACCATCTTACTCAGACACCTAAAACTTAACCAGTCACCACTTAAGGACTTTTTAGTCTGAAACTAATTCGAAAGTAGGATTGTTACTTCCCGATTTCGTCCCGATTCCGTATATGATCCAGAGCCGACCAACCTTGCAGCACCTGTGCCCTCTATTTCTGCTCCTTTATGAGGAGAATGGGCGCGGGTCCCGTAAGACTCACAGTACCCCCTGGTGGCCAGGAGAAGGTACATCTGGCTCCTACATCGTGGATGTAGTTAAAACAGTGCCTTGTTTTTTTATTGTAATATATTCCATCTCAGCTTTGAGTACCATCTTTGTTCCAACGTTGGGTGAAATAATCTTCAGGCTTGTTGGTCATGAGCACAGTCTAAAAGTCCTTAATATCACAAATTCCTCTCAAACCAAAATAAATGTCTAATTGAGTTGATTTCCCATTTTCCTAATTATTATTAGTTGTAACCAATGAAAATATGATTGTGTGAAAACATTAGAAACAGTAATAATTTATATGGTTCCTGATCAGTTCTCCCTGATGTTCTTTCTTAATTCAATCCAGATAAAGCTTAACAGAGAATTTCAGAGAATTTCCATGAACAGACTTATTATTACAGCAAGACTATTCATGGCTCTGCTCAGTTTGGGTTTTGAACATCTTATTTCACACTAGATGAATAGATTTCTATTTTAGTTGTTGAATATAGAAAAACTCATAGTTAAGATTTATCTATGAATCATTACAGCCCTACACTCCAGGCAAACTTTGAGCTGAAAAGTTACACAACTCCTTCGGCTCCATACGATTGTCCTTTTCAGCCCATTCAAATGAAGATTCTGTCTGATCAGTTTTTTGTATATTCCTAATCTGATGTCTTCTTTATCATTGGTCAGTAATTATTAGCATTTGGTAATAGAATACATTTACCATTTCATATCAATGGCCGGGACATCACATCTCTATGTTGGAACCGCAATAGCATTACATATATTTAATTTCACAGTGAATGGGATTTTCTAAACGACTACAACCAATGACTAAATTTAAAAACTCTGCTTTTAGCTCAAAACCACTGCTAGGCTAACGGGCTAGCGGGCCTTCTACTTGCTATGTGTTGCTTGACTTCTTTTCTTTTTGACATTTCTGTTGCTCCAGTCTGTGCGTGTGTGTGACTTCTCTTTTTCCCAACGCCAATCTTCCTTTGTTTTGTCCTTTTTTTCCAGGGTTTATTGTCGTCCCAAAACCAGGCCAGCTCTCCCAGCGGAACAGTAGTATAGCCTCGAGTGTGCTTAATGTGCTGCTAACGACAAGCCTGCGACCCCCTACCCCCTCTCTCCGCCGCCGGCCGAGCCACTCTTTATTTCCACCTGTTCCCTCCTCTCCTGTCTCCCCCCAACCCCCTTTTTTATTTTATTTACTTTATATTTTCCTTTTGTCTTCACTTTGGTTTCGCCCGGATCAAGCGGCGCGACTGTGTGGGCCGGAGTTTTAACACGCTTTTAACAAGGAACCGGGTTGTTTTGTGTGTTTATTATGGCTTAAAAGACGCAAACTGTGACTTGAGATTATTCTAAAGAGAGTTGTTTGCCGCTTTAGGTACCACACAATCAAAGTGAAATATTGTTTTCATCACGCATATTTTCTCGTCTAAGTTTTCCTTTCCTACTTGTTGACTCAGTAAACCAGGGCTGTCAAACCAGTCCTCAAAGGCCCAGTGTGGTTTTAGTTCGAAACCAAGCAGGAGCTCACCAGACTCCGCCCATTTCCTCAGGTGATTCCAGTTTTAACCAAGCCTTGGGCACCGAAAGATTAGCTGAACCCACCCATATTTGGTCATTTGTCTGGTCCTCCCTGTTTTGGGCAGTGGACGACCTCCCATGATGCTTTGCACCAAATACTAAGAGGACGCATGTGTGGCTCTCGTATATGTGCACTGAGCGACATGGCAGCGTTCTGACCAATTCTCTGGGGAAAATTTCTAGGGGGCCCTCGTGAATTTAGTCTGCAGTACCGCGGGAAGCCCCTAAGCCCATGGGTGTGTCAGCTATTAGCTGAATGGTTTTAACCTGAAGTTTTGAGGAAATGGGTGGAACTAAAACCTGCAGCTACACCGGCTCTTTCTAGAACTGGTTAGACACCTCTGCACTAAATGTTTAGTATTTAGTCTCGATGACTTGATGTTCTATAGTAAAACAAAATTGTCTAAATTGTCCAATTGGAACATGGCAAGTCTGCTACCAAACTAAACTGCTTTTATACAGAGGTGCAATTTCTATTTAATACAAAAATATGTATTTAAGTATTTTTATTCGCGCCAAATCCATGTTTTAATGATGTATAGATGCATCTGGAAGGCTAGAGTCCCTTTGCAAAATGCCACGCACTTAGATTGACACGTTGAACTCAAATCTCTGTACGAAGTGACAAATATTTAGTTTTGTTATGGTGGCCTCATGGAATTCATTGTCGTCTGATGAAAAACAATCAAATGAGTGATTTAAGAACTCAAACCAAGCCAAATTATCCATGTCCCCTCCACAACTCTGACTATATTTACTGTATTATAACTGCTGTCTCTTCCTGCCTAATGTACTCTCTATGGAGCGATAGCTTGGCATGCCAAAACATTATTACAATGTGTTACAAGTGTCTGTGTCTAAAAGCTAATGGAAGATTCAGATATGTGATTTTGCACTGCATTTCCAGGTCCATGTCTTTTGTTTTAAAAGTTGACGTTAGCTTTGCATAGTTCAACAATCATAGACCATACAAGGAGTGGACGAAGAGCTGACGTCCCCTATAGTGTTGGCCTTATCATGGAAGAAGCCGTTGGGTAGCAACCGACAGCCTAGCAACCAAAGTTGAGCCAATTGGAAGTGGCGCCAGTCTGTTCCCGTTTGCGCTACCAGCTAATTGAAGCTGAATTTTGTGGACTGAAAGATGTTAGGGGTCATATCTGGAGTTACAAAGACTTATAAGCACCAGGATCGTATAGTGTTAAATCCCTTGTGACACAAACTGTTGCAGAGTAAGAGGAATGGAGCTAAAGCGAGACGGCTATGACGTTATGACTTGTAACTTAGCCCAGAGAAGTCACTCACCTGTCTCTAAAGGAAGGGAAATATATATTTTTAATTATAAATCTGGCGGCCATCGGCTTTTAGACACAAATACTTGAATTTATGGGTTACAGGGAAAAACCTTTTCTTTTGAATACATTTTTTTCAACCTTTCCTCAATCAATGAGGGATGTGTTTGGTTTATTGCTGTCCATTGTTTCAAACCCATGAGGCTGAAAATGATTAATCCAGCTGTAACCGTGTTCTGTATGTTATTTTTTGTATGTTTTCTTTTGGTGATGTTAGGCTAATTTCCTATGGGGGCTGTTCAGTGATGACGTCAAACTGTGATCTTCCAGGTCCAGAAGTTCACGTAACTGCAACTTCTACTCTTTGTTATGCGTCAGGTTAGCATAGTGGACGACGCTAAACAAAATGGTTCTTAACATAACTTTGGCATAAAAGGATGCGGTGGCTCATATTATGCTAGAGTTGAAGTTTAAAATATGAATAGAGTAAAAAAACTAAGAAAGTTGGTTATGATGTTTTGAACCTGGAGGTAAGACCTGACGTCACACTGAACTGCCCTTCTGAGTGAATGGAAGGACAAGCGTGTGCACTTTTGAAAAAGTGGAAGCGGCCAAACGACTACATTTCTTGTGTGTGGTACCTAGAGCGCCCCCTGGTGTCTGCAGAGGATCCCTGTGCCACTGTCCCTGCTCTCCACTTTGCACTGACCTCCTTGTGCTTTCTTACTGCTCGAAACAGAACGGGGTGAGGCTCCTCCCTTCTGCTCTCCTGACTCTTGGAAAGCTGGATGCTGCAATGCTAGTCTTTTAAAAAGATGTTTGCACTTACATGAGTTTATTAGAGAAAAGGCTTTACATGTTTGACTGTTTCAGCACTCAGACTGCTAATAACAGTAGGCAAAGATGAAAACCTTTATTTTAATATGATTTCAGATTCAAATCTGCTCTGTATCATAATGTGTATAATGTAATTAACTGATTTGATGGCGCCTACGCAAACTACCATAACTCCAGTGGTAGTTTTGTCATTGATAGTTATATTTCTAAAGCCTAAAATATACATATTAATAAAATTAAAATCTTGAATACACTGCTTGTATCTTGTTTTTGTTAAAACTCAATGGATTGAGAATGTGTATGAATGTTAAGGATTGAATTTAAGGATGTGAAGATGTGTCTAACATGCAGGAGGAGTTATTCACACACTATTCATTTCTAAAATTGTTTTCAGCAAAAAAACCGGCTCTTATGGAGTGAGATGTGTTCATTTCTTTCAATAAACCATAATGTGGCAGGTTATAGTCATTCCTACAGGACCACTAGAAGCCTTTTCCAAATGTAGTTTAAATGTTAACAAGACCTATTTGAAACTCACACAAACTGAAACTCCACCTGAAATAGATCTATTCAGCAAATGTGCGCTGGATAATGTGTGTGTGTTGTGCGATATACTTGTCTCTTTTTCCCTATTGAAGACCTTTAAGTTCTTAACAAAAGTCCTGTCAACTGTTCCTTGAGCCTTGTGTTGTACCAAATTCCTAGTTTGTGACTCCTTGCAATTTGCAAAGACAATAAAAATAATTCTGATTCTGACTTGCGGAGTGAATAAATGACATGTGAAGCGTCCAGAAACGCACCATATAAAACTAATGCACTATTATTTGATAAGATGATTAAGTGATAAGATACAACAACCCTCCAAATTATTCTAATGTTTCTTCCCTTTTTTGTCACCACTGCTAGACCCCTTTGTGAGAAAAGCAGAGTACATTAACCCACATAACTGTAGCTTTACTGTTTGAACTTCTCCACAGTTGTGAGTAAATGACACGCACCAGCACCAGCACCATCAGTGAGTGAGTTTAATGAGTTACAGCCTGCAGGCACCGCTCAGACCACACTCACAACATTCATTTGCTCTGAGGCTTTTTAGATGCCCCCAATCTCTGCATGTGGTCGCACTCGGGCTGCACGATTCATTACAAAGACTGCAATTATTTAACTTCTATGCAAAAGAAAACCCAGAGACTACAGTCAAGCATGTGTTGATATAGTGCACATTTTTTTACAATTTCTTTTTCAAATGGAGCGCTCTTGAAGTTGTTGTTTATGTAACTTTGCTTTTTTAAACATACAGTGTATCAAAAATCCCATTGTGGTCAGAATTACATTAATATCAATTAGATATTTTGCCAAAAATGGTGCAGCCCGAGGTTGGACAATATATACATAGAAGTGCTTTTCATAGAGCAACATAAGGGACTAGACAGGGCATTACATAAAGACATCTAAAAGTCCCATTATCAAAGTATTTAAGAGAAAAATATACTTCAATGTTAGCTTGTATGAGTTCTTTAGAAGAATCTCCCCATCCATAGTAAATGAATGAGTATTATCCAAAAGTTTAAAGTTATGTTTGAAGTCACTGCTACATCAAAAACGGCATTTCTTTTTCAAACACACCTCTTACTTGCTTCCCCCCCATCAACAATATCATTTAAACACATTTACCAAATGCCAGAAATAGAGGCAAAATAAAGTGCATACTATACACTACACATTTAGGTCTATATCATAAAAAAGAGCAGCAATTACGGAAATTGTAGGCTTTGAGATGCACTGGTGGTGGTACCAAAATAAAGACAATCCCATTGTTTTTCCCCATGGGGAAAAAAAAAACTGGTTGGAACTCAAAACAAAAAGGCTGGATATTATATATACATTCGTTTTTTCACTCAGTTTTCTTTTCCGTTACCAAAGATATTAGTACAACCTATGTATAACTTTACCAGAGAGGGTCTATTGTAAATAGTTTTGCAGCTTGTTGCTAAATATTCCTGACTAAAAATTTCGGACTGCCCAATTTAAAAGGGAATATTGCTCCTTGAAATTGAAATTACCCACTGTGGGACAAATGAAGCATCACTGATCTTATCTTAAAGCTTTGGTACCAAGCATTACCTAAAAACAATTTGTTTTCCTCAACAAAAGGAGTCTTGAAAAGATAAACATTTGTGAGGACATCAGACCTCTTCGTGCTCTCATTAGATGATTAGAAAACATGTTAGCTTGAGTTAGCTTTGCCTTATATGCAAGAAAAATAGCCTTGCGAGTCACTAACAGACTCTTTGAGGCGAGAGCTGATTGGCTGAATGAGGGTGCTCCACTCTTGTTCACTTTTCTGTCTTACAAATCTGATCCGAAGATGTGACAGAGGTCAAACAGACAAGCAGGTTCAAACCATCTGTGGTTTAAAAGGTCAGACAAATACAAAAACATTTAAAGGTGATATTCTGAAGCTAAACCCGGGTCCTCCATTCTGCACATGCTTTCTACAAACGTTTAGACGGTTTGAATTATGAATGTGCCTTTTACAGGAAGACAGCTGGTCAGGAAGGACTTGTTCAGAGCTTATTCACAGTATTAGGAACATGTACAAGAAATATACTGTAAAACAATGCACTTGTGTTAGTAAAAAGTGAAATTGTGTGGGTCTTAAATCTCATTATTGCTTTTTTTTTTAGGAGGTGCGTAAAACAATTGATATATTTACAAACACAGCTAAATGTCAATTCTGAGCTAAGTTTGTCGACTTGTATACAATAGTGCAAGCTTTACATCTGCCTGAAACACTTTAGCACAGACTGTAGCTGTCAGTGGACCCAAGTCTGTGTGTGTGTAGACAAGAAAGAGATGTTTGTGGCACTAAATACAAATGTTTTTCTCATGTCAGAATGCTGTCAGACATATCGTGGTCGTAACATGGGTTCTGGTGGTTAGTAGCAGTGAATAATAGTGTCTGTCGAGCGCTCTGGCCGTACTTCAGCCACAGGGCCCCGTGTGAAGCAGGTGTGGCGGTTGGAGGCCCCCTACAACCACAAGAACTGTGGCTGCAGGAGCTGTGTGTGTAACCATTGCAACAGTAAATACCCCAAACTGTAAAAAACAACAAAAGAATGTGATGAGATTTGTAAAACAGTGAACATTATTAGCTCACAGCGTCTTTAGTTTAGGACAGAGTCAGGACCAGGACCAGGACCAGGGTCAGGGTCAGGACCATTGTCAGGACCAGGGTCAGTGTCTCCTGCCTCGGTCCAGGCTGTAGTGACAGTTTGTGGAGCCGCTGCAGACGGTGCAGACTCAGCTCAGGTCCAGTGGGCTCCAGACCAGGGAGGCTCCTCAGCTGGCTCCTCAGTAAGCTCCACGTTTGCGCTCCAGTGGGGGTATGTAGTAGGTCTTGTAAGCCCCCCTGTGAGACTCATCCCTGGGCTGCAGAAACAGGAAAGGACTCTGGTTAACTTTTTGCACAAACTTTTTGCACAACTTTTAGGGCCATTTTACTTGCTGGACAAGTAAAATGGCCCTTACGGGACAAGTGCAGTGGAACTTGCCTTGGCCAAGCGGGTGTGGCACTTGGAGGTGATGTTTGGCAGCGTGCCGCGGTGCGTGACGGTGAAGGCGGGCATGGTGGACCCAGGGAAGGAGATCTGTGGGACCACCAGGCTGAGCTTGGGCAGCTCCGAGGAGTAGTGAGGGAGGGTCCGGTGCAGGACGGGCTCCGCTACATGCTTCACGTTGTGCTGGAGGACACATTCACACAGCAACATGACTCATCATGCTTTTACATCATGTACGCTGTGATTGGCTTTGAAACAGGAAGTGGATTTGATTTGTCTTATATGTCAGGATTTAGACTATGACCTATTATTCACGACAGAGTCTCCTGGCCTATCCTGAAAATGAATCAGTAAAAACGTTTTTGGAGCGTTGGCCTCTGATGACGCATTCACTTTGAGTGGGAACTGTCTGATTATAAGTGCTAACATCTCTCAAAGGTGTCTCCACAGAGAAGGGAGAAGTACTTTATATATATATATACTACTTTATGTGTACTTATATACACTCTAAATGTACTTCCAAGTTCATAATAATAAACACTCAATCACACGGGAAACACCGTGGAATATGGACACTGCGTAAGTGTGTAAATGTGTGTTTACAGGTGTCGTCCCGTACACTGAGTGGGGTCTGCCTGCTGTGGCGGCCCCTCAGCGGTCGTCCCGGGCGGCTGGGTCTCCACAGGTGCTCCATCCCTGCACTGTCCAGTCCATCCACGTTCCCCACCCGCTGAAGACTCTCTGCTTTCCTGTCCGCCAGCCTGAACACACAAACACACACACACACACACACATTCATAAGCAGGTGTTACTAGTCCACTGTGGTCATTATATCATATTACAATTGCATCCATAGCACAACAAAGGTTTATATTTGACTATTCCAGCAGTGACCACCGGCCAGCAGGGAGCACAGTCAGCCCTATAAACCACGTCAGTTGGCTGAGTTCACTGAGCCTAATGTCAAGGTAACATTATTGCTATCTTACACATGTCTGGTATAGGAAAAACAAATAACCTAATCTACTAAGAAGACGAGATGTCCCTTCCAAAACTATATAAGGTTTTGTTTTGGTTTAGATATGCTCCACCTTCACCGATGGGCATGAGCTTTGGAGACTGACCCAAAGGATTTCAAGCGGTCCACACGCATTGACAATTTACACCAGCAGTGAAATAGTGCATGTGGCTTGGTGTAAATGATGGGAAGTGTCTGAACTGCAAACCCTGGTGTTGACCTGGAGCGGCAGACCTCCCCCTACAGACAGAATGTGATGAACGGGTGAAGAGGGGCCTGTTGTACCGGATCTCCCTGAAGTACATGTGGCGCAGGGCCGTGTCAGCACTGATGCGCTCGTCGGGGTCGTAGGCCAACATCTGGTAGAGCAGGGACAGGGCAGGGGCGGGGCAGTTTGGGATGAGGCGGGACAGCCCTGTGCCTTTCTTCTGAGGGAAGTTAAAATGCATGGCCCTGGACCTGTCAAAGCACACACACATCAGAACATCCACCTGCCAACAACAGATGCACCTGTTAAAGCTAGGGTACCTAAGTTGTGAACAAATCAGACTCATCAAATAGGCTGAGCAATGTTAATGTTTCTGTCTGAAAAACATTAATGTGAAAACCAGTGGGGGCGGGTCCCGGCTCAAAAGTGGCCAAAATGACGTGCACTGACATGCTTGCAATACCACCCCGGGCCGATGGGGGTGGACCCGGAATAAGAAATAGCCAATGCTAACATATAGCATTGGCAGACCTCTCGAAAACGTCTTTACAGGATGGTCCAAAAGTTGGCTCTTGGCCCAAAGCTCCGTTCCACATGTGTGTCAATGCTGAGGGGGGTGGATTTTTTTGGACCACTCTAGTTTAGTCGCTGTGAATTTTTGAAGTCTCTCGTTTAAATGAATGGAGCTTGCGCTGGCTGACGCATGGACATTTTTTGGCCCATTTGTTTGAACGGCGGAGATAGGCGTGACTACGTCCGTTCAGAGACCCAAAATGTGGTTCAGTGGAGTAAAGCTAACAACCTCCAGCTGAACGCATCGAAAACATGTGAACTGGTATTCGACTTTAGTCGTAACAGTTCTCACACTCCTGTTGCTATCGACAACTCCCAGGTGCAGATCGTAGAGGGGTGCACGTTTCTGGGTTTAACTCTGTCTAACGACCTGAAATGGGTTAAAAACACTGACCGAGTCGTTAAGAAAGCTCGTCAGCGTCTCTACTTCCTGCGAAAACTTTGAGAATTTACCACTAACTCTAAGATTCTGCTTAACTTTTATCGCTGCACCATTGAGAGTTTACTTGTTGGTTCTGTGTCTGTGTGGTTTGGAAACGGGACGTGGGCTGTGAACTTCCTGATCTGGAGGTTCTTTATAAATCCAGACTTTGAAACAAAGCTCTTAGGATTGTCACTGACTCTTCTGGCCACCCTGGGAAAGCCATGTTCCAGCTTCTTCCCTCTGGCAGAAGATATCGCTCTCTGAGATGCAGGACATGTCGTTACGCTAACAGTTTTTATCCACAAGCTGTTATCAGTGTGAACAGAGCACTTTAATGATATGCACTTGTTTTGAAACTGTTTTTAGTCGATCGATTTCACAGTGACATTTGTTTACCGTTTTATTTGTTTTATTTCTGTCTTTTAATGTTGTTTTATGTCTGTATTTGTCTGTGCACACTGGTGATACTGGTGTCACTACAAATGGCAAATAAACTGAACTGAACTGAACTGGTTAATCTATGGTGAAAACTAGTCACAGAATCATTCTGTTTTGAGAGCAAGGACTTTGAATGCCCAGGCTTCAAAGGAGACAATATGAAAATCTACTTTTAATCATGTTAAAACTTTGTTCCTACAGTACATCAAAAACAGACCAGAAGTTGTTTTTAGATCCATTCATTGTGATCCATTCATCACGTAATTCCACCCCTCCTTTCTAGAAAATAGTATGATGTCATAGTGGCACAATGACATCAGACTATTAATAAATTAGTTTTGGTAATTTCTCAATGTACTTTTTTGGATTCACATGTAGTAGTAAGTAAGTAATCTTTATTTATATACCGCCTTTTCACTGCAGATCTGAGTTAATTTTGGGCATTTGTCTATCACTCCACACAGAGATGGGAGCGGGGTCGCCAGTACAGAGGCGCATGCCTGAACTATTGGACATATTTTTAGTGGTAGGGGAAACCGGAGTACCCGGAGGAAACCTACGCAGACACAGGGAGAACATGCAAACTCCACTCAGAAAGGCCCTGGTCCGACCTGGATTCAAACCCAGGACCTTCTTGCTGAGAGGCGAGAGTGCTATCCACTCAGCCACCGTGCCGCCCATGTCTGTGTTTGCAGCCTGTAATCTTTTTTAATAACAAAAAACAACTAAATAAATTCCACATCTCCCTCTAGTGGTAGCATAGGGATAGGGCATTATTTACCCTTGAGACGGTTTCACCATTTATTTTATTAACATGAAATGACAACAATCATAATGTGTAATATTTCTGTGTTAACATTTGTGGGTCATTTTTTCACTGCAAGTATCAATACCCAATGAATGTTTCAGGCTAATACAAACTTCACGGCACAAGATTCAGCTCATAAAGTTCCAGGGCTTCAGTTTTTGTTTCATGTCAAACTTCTAACAAACTCTGACCCTAAAAAGTTTTGTATCTTTTATTTGGAGGTTTTTTTATTACAGTGAAATTACAGTGATGTCAGTTTTAGGTTTGGTTCTTTTTGTGTTAATGTGACTGTGGCTTAAAACTAGAAAACATGTCGTCAGTGTTGTGAAAGGTAAAGGCACCTACCGTTTAAACTTGTGCAGGACGCTCTGGTCGGGGGTCCCCAGCACGTCGTGGATCTTGGCAACTTGGTCCAACTCATTTGTCCCAGGAAACAGAGGGTTCAAACTGTAACACAGAGAAACAGAGAGAGAAAGAGAGACAGATACAGAGATTAAAAGAGAGAGAGGAGAGACAGATCAGGGAGTGACAGAGAGAGAGAGAGAAAGTGAGACAGATAAAGAGATTAACAGAGAGAGAGAGAGAGGAGAGACAGATACAGGGAGTGACAGAGAGAGAGAGAAAGAGAGACAGATACAGGGAGTGACAGAGAGAGAGAGAGAGAGAAAGAGAGACAGATCAGGGAGTGAAGGAGAGAGAGAGAAAGAGAGACAGATACAGGGAGTGACAGAGAGAGAGAGAAAGAGAGACAGATACAGGGAGTGACAGAGAGAGAGAGAAAGAGAGACAGATACAGGGAGTGACAGAGAGAGAGAGAGAGAGAGAGAGAAAGAGAGACAGATACAGGGAGTGACAGAGAGAGAGAGAAAGAGAGACAGATACAGGGAGTGACAGAGAGAGAGAGAGAGAGAGAGAAAGAGAGACAGATCAGGGAGTGAAGGAGAGAGAGAGAAAGTGAGACAGATAAAGAGATTAACAGAGAGAGAGAGACAGGAGAGACAGATACAGGGAGTGACAGAGAGAGAGAGAGAGAGAAAGAGAGACAGATCAGGGAGTGAAGGAGAGAGAGAGAAAGAGAGACAGATACAGGGAGTGACAGAGAGAGAGAGAAAGAGAGACAGATACAGGGAGTGACAGAGAGAGAGAGAGAGAGAGAGAGAAAGAGAGACAGATCAGGGAGTGAAGGAGAGAGAGAGAAAGAGAGACAGATACAGGGAGAGACAGAGAGAAAGACAGACAGATACAGAGATTAACAGAGAGAGAGAGAGAAAGCGAGACAGATACAGGGAGTGACAGAGAGAGAGGGAGACAGAGAGAGAGAAAAACACAGAGAGAGAGACAGTCAAAAACTCTGTCAGCCAGAGAAAATGTAGCTCAATTTACAAATCAGTGATTTTATTTAAACCTTTTACTCATCATCCGATGCAGCGTGTATGTTTACCCTGAGTGTGTTTTTTTATGGTCAGAAAACTAAATGTAACTTTTTAATTAGCCATATCAGGTGCTCTCACACACAGGAATGTTGGTGACACGCATGATTACAGCAGGAAGCACCTGACTTGGCCAATAGAGTTTGTCCCCCCGAGAAGACCGTGCGAACTCTGATCACAGTGAAACCTGAGTGTGTGTGCTCACTGTGCTGTGCTGTTTTTGAGGATAATCCCTATCTCAGGTTTAAACACCATTGTAATGTCACGCCTGAGAGTCCAGTCTGCATCTGTCTGCTTCTCCCTTATAACTGTATTTCACCATTGTTTCTCAAGAACATTCTAGCATAATATGTTAGATTTTGGTAAGCTAAATGAATCCTTAGACATAAAGTTGATACCTATTTATCAATTACAGTATTTGCAGTACTATAAGCTGATTTTCAAGTTCGTTAAACCCTGCAGCCTATATAGCAATGCGGATAATGTATTAATTAGGGCTGTCAAAATTATCGCATTAACGCACGTTAATTAATTGTTTTCATTAATCACGTTAAAAAAATTAACGCATTTGATGCATGCCCATGCGTCCCATAATAACACTCAGAATGCCGCGGACACATGCGTGTGTAAGATGGGGACAGAGCAGGTAGGCCCTCTGAGAAATCCAAGTTTTTAAAGAATACACGCGTGACCGCGAAGCACTTGTAGTTTCCTGAATGAACTCTGCATGATGAGCTGCGGGCGCGACAGCAGTTCCCACCTCCAGCGGCTGTGATCACGGCGAACGGCGCTGCGTAATGGGATCATATCCAAGAACACGCACAGAACTATTACAGAACTATTCTCTCGTGTGCGTACGTGTCTTTGCGTAACCGATGCACACAATATGTAGAGCGCTGAAGCTGGACTGCGGAGCCTCAGTCTCCTCCGTGTCTTCTCCCGAAGCGCACTCGCTAAATTAAAGCTGAGGTACCTAATTTTCCATTCGACCATCAGTTCATGTTGGTTGTGCCAAAAAAAGTAATGGTGTGAGAAAATCAAACAGATTGAATGACATTCTGCATTTCAGACTATTTTGAAATGTCCCTCATCTGTAACAAACAAACAAAGGTTTTGGTCTGAGTCTAAACAGAAAGACAGAATGTTAATAATGTTAATTCCATTTCATATGGATTTATTGTTATAACAAACAAATACAGTACATATGTTCACTAAGCTGTCATTTGTCTTTCCATTCAAACAACAATTTACAGAAAAATATGGCATAATTTTGCCAATAGTTTGAAATGTGATCAATTACGATTAATTAATTTTTAAGCTGTAATTAACTCGATTAAAAAAATTAATCGTTTGACAGCCCTAGTATTAACTCATTCACTGCCCATGACGACAAAAGTCGTCATGTTGAATAGTGACGCTCACTGCCCATGACGAGTATGACGAGTTTTTCGTGTTATTACACGGGAGGCTGCAGTAATGTCTGGCGCACCTTGTGAATGACCCACAATACTGATATATAGTGCAAATGTACCTGTAATGATAAATCACCACCAGTAGGATGCAGTATTGCACCACAGGAGAGGTCATAAGTCAGTGGAGAGGAGGAGGAGGAGTGTGGGGTCTTTGGACAGCGTGCTGCTGTAGCAGAGCGATGATAGCGTAGTATTGAGACAGATCAGCGATCTAGTTTAGCGATAGTATAGCAAGAGTGATGGCGAAAAAGAATAGTTATAAGCAGCTGACACTGCTTCAGGGATTTACTCGCGGATCAGTGAGTGGGGTCGAGAGGGGAGAGAGCGGAGACCCCGGTGGAGGTCCGTCTTTGCAGCCATATTTGCGCGGAGCAAGAGCCCCGAGCAGAGACACACCCTCCGCCTCTCGCAGCGTATCAGCTGCTGCTGTTACTGATGCCTCAGATTCGTTCAGAGAACCTGATCATGATTTATCGGACACACTCACACGCACTCACTCACTCACTCACGCACACAGACACTCACTCGCACACTGACATTCACACACACAGACACTCATTCACACAGACACTCACTCGCACACTGACATTCACACACACACACTCAAATTCACATGCTTCATTCTATTTTATACATCTATAGTTTTATTGATCTTTGTGTTGTTGTTGTTTGACGTTTTGGTTAAATTTTATTTAAATTTTCTATCTGTGAATAAATTGCCAACAATTTGCCATCAAAAGTATTATTTCAGAGTCATGTTTTTATAATTTTTGTAATGGAACAAGTGTGAAGATGTTTTGAGTTGTCACTAAAGCAGCAAAAATGCATCTAAAAGTCTCTTTTCTGCTTGATATGTTCCTGTTTACATACAGCTCGTTTTCTCTGTTTTCTTGCTCAGACCAGGTGTTATGGGTGAAAGTATGCTTTGTTCTATGGCGAATAACGCAAGAACGGTAAGAGGTAGAAACAAACTGTTTTTTTCAGAGTAAAGCAGAGAGGTTAATCTTTAATTTGGTGCCCTTGGTGTTTACATCGTCTAAAAAATGAATATTCTGTGGCACTTCAAAGTTGGGTCAAATCACCTGAAATTGCTGGCAGAATGCACTTCTCAAATCTGAAAATGCCTGGCAGTCAGTATATGTTTATACCCCCGTATAAACATTTATGTGATTTGGGCAGTTGTCAGAGTTTAAGGACTGATAATGACTCCACCCCCTGAGAACTATATTGGTAAATAACCCCTGACATGGAAGCTAACCGCTAAGGTAAGGTATGCTAACATTTTTGCCTCCTATTTACAAAGCTTTGATCATAACATGTCAACAAACATGCGGCTTATATTCAAGTGTGGTCTACATGTGGACAAGATGTACTTTCTCGTCAAATGCAGCTGGTGCAGATTATATTAAGGCACGCTTAGTAGACCAGCAAGTAAATACAAACATTTTCTCAACAGAAAAAGTCTGGTAAAAGTAAAAAGTTGTGAAATGTCTTCATCTCATTAGAAAACATGTTATTGTTTGCATATTGTTAGGAGCCCTGTGATTGGCCGTGAGGGTGGCCTCCTCTTTTTCACTTTTCCGACACTTACCACGAGCACGTACCGGTATTCTTTTTCATACTTCATGCTGTTTATATAATGTTTCGTCTTTACCTTGTGTTGTGCAGCTGTGCCATAGAAATCAAAATGGCCGCTCTCATCGACCTCCGTACCTCATGATCTCGAAGAAGACGCAGCCGGCGCTCCAGATGTCCATCTTGAGGCTGTAGTAGCCGTCGGTCAGCAGGCACTCGGGGGCCCGGTACCAGCGCGTGGAGATGTACTCTGTGTGAGGGGGGGCCGAGTACACGCTGCGGCACGAGCCAAAGTCCCCCAGCTTCAGCACGTTCTTCTGCAGCAGAAGCACAGATTCATGTTGGTAGATTCTATCTCAGCGGGAGGCGGGAGACAATACAAAACTAGGAACAAATTAATATTGCAAATGTTTTCCCAGATCATTATTTTATAGTGATTAAATGTTATTCTCATGTTCTCTCTAATAGCCAACATCATGTGTCATATTGTCACCACTTCTCAGCACTTTTATGATAAAATAATAAGACAACAGTTATATTTGGAGCTTTGTGACAGTTATGAAGCCAAATTAAACTCATTTCAATTCAATCTACTGTATTTGTGTATAGGCATAAATCACAACATTAGTTATCTAGGAGGACTTTACAAGTTGTCGACTCGCCAACACAGACCAGAGAATCAAAGACATTGAGCCATTGGTCCATAAGGGGCAGATGACCAATGGATGTACCATACAGTAAATGTTGATAAAGTCCGGCAAGGAAAAACTACTAAAACCCAGTTGGAGAAAAGCCCCACATTGAGGGAGGGACGGGCTACAGATCCAGGACTCAGGCTGTGGCCTCGGTTCTCATCCTAAAGCGGATATCCTAGCTACTGCACTCATTCCTCCCCCTGTTGCTGCGTGGCAACAGCAATCAGTCAATCACACTCAGCTAGCAGCGCCACACGCCAATCCATATCTTGCATTGCATCACAGGGAGCTTTCATTCAAGCAGCAGCTGTCATTCATGCAGAAACCCTCCTCCTCCCCATCACTGCCTCATCGGCCGGACCAGCTCTTTCAACCTTCTCCTAGCTTCCAACACCAGGGTTTAGACCCCGGGGGATTTCATTTTATGATTTATATTGTCATTTCCCTTTATGCAATCATCATGCACTGCTAGCCAAAGCACCAATTCTTAAACATATTTCTTTCAGCATGCAATAAATGTCCTCTCACAAATATTGTCTTTTATGTAGGTTAATTACCAACCAATACATTTGATTCTAATGAACCCCCTGTTTTGTCTATTCAAGTCTCTCCAGATTTAATTTGTTTCATGTGGATTGGCACAAAAATCACATAGAAATCAGCAGTATACTTAAACAAGAACAGTTACCGTAGTTACCAGGAAAGATTTTTCACCTGCCCTCCACCACAAACCACAACTATTCAACAATATGCTCTTTGGAAAGTCATGTGAGTAAAAGAGCCAGACCTTGATGAGGATGTTCTCTGGCTTCACGTCTCGATGAAAGATTCCACAGCTGCAGAGAAGAGAGTCAAATATGGAAACCATAGAATCGAGAGAGTCACATTTATTTATATAGCTTCATCAACAGACTGAGAGCCTATAGTGATGTGACAACAATTGACACTATTCAGACTAACTCTTCTCATGAGAAGAATCATCCCAGTTTATAATAACAATATGATAATCAGTGTTTCAATCATTCCCACTGTCCATTATGATGCTACACCTACTGAACAACTGTGTGAAATCAAACAGGTTTTATTTCAGTCTAAATTTCCTCTTTATTTGGTCTCACTGAACACACCTCTGCTAAACGAGTAGGTGGGTTAAATGCCGGGTCGTTTTGACCCACCAGCCCGTGTTGCTCAGTGTGTAAGGAAGATGTGATAGTATAGATTTATTGTGTGTTTTTGCTCAGTGGGGAGGCGACTGGTGTTGTCTGTATCAGCGACTCATGGTCCTTTGAAGAATGGAATAAGGCATACCTGTGCATGTGCTCCAGAGACTTGCACAGCTGGTACATGTAGAGCTTCACCGTGTGCTCCGGCAGAGGGCTCTTTCGACCTGCAACACAGGACCATCAAAACCAGTCAGTTACCAGTACCAGGTTTATGTCGCATTTATAGCTGCACCATATGGACAAAGAATCACTGTGGTTTTGCTTTTAAATGCATTTGTTGTGGTTTAAGATTAAATTATTAAATTCATGTAAAATTGTAAATTATTTCCCCCCCAAAATCCAAATAGTTAGTTTGAGGGCACATGTGGCTTCATACATGTTAGAACAGAATATGTTTGGGACACAGAGACATAACAGCAAATCCACTAACATTGGGGGGATGTGTTCTCATTCATAATCTGTGAATTACGGCCAAAACATTTTACATGTTTACAATCTTTTAAGTACAACTGTATGTGTAATCTTTCCATAGAGCAGTTGTTCTTCTTCATCTGATCTGTGTTCATAAAGTAGTTTACAGTCGGTTCATATGTGCCCTTCATACTAAGGTGAGTAGAGTTCGTTTGCTGAGATGCAGAACATCTCGTTTTGCCACAGTTTCTTTCCACAAGCTGTACTTTAATAGTCCTGTACTTTAATAGTCCTGCACTTTAATAGTCCTGCACTTTAATAGTCCTGCACTTTAATAGTCCTGTACTTTAATAGTCCTGCACCTCAATAGTCCTGCACTTTAATAGTCCTAGCACTTTAATAGTCCTGCACTTTAATAGTCCTGCACCTCAATAGTCCTGCACTTTAATAGTCCTGCACTTTAATAGTCCTGCACTTTAATAGTCCTGCACTTTAATAGTCCTGCACTTTAATAGTCCTGCACCTTAATAGTCCTGCACTTTAATAGTCCTGCACTTTAATAGTCCTGTACTTTAATAGTCCTGCACCTCAATAGTCCTTCACTTTAATAGTCCTGCACTTTAATAGTCCTGTACTTTAATAGTCCTGCACCTCAATAGTCCTGCACTTTAATAGTCCTGCACTTTAATAGTCCTGTACTTTAATAGTCCTGTACTTTAATAGTCCTGCACCTCAATAGTCCTGCACTTTAATAGTCCTGCACTTTAATAGTCCTGCACTTTAATAGTCCTGTACTTTAATAGTCCTGCACTTTAATAGTCCTGCACTTTAATAGTCCGGCAGTTTAATAGTCCTGCACTTTAATAGTCCTGCACTTTAATAGTCCGGCAGTTTAATAGTCCTGCACCTTAATAGTTCTGCACTTTAATAGTCCGGCAGTTTAATAGTCCTGCACTTTAATAGTCCAGCAGTTTTTAATAGTCCGGCATTTTTTTTATTTTATTTTTTTATTACGTGATACATAGACATACATAAAAGTGATACATAGACATACAAGAGTGACACATATACATACAAAAGTGAAAAAGGATTGGTACGACGGCAAAAAGAATGTTGAAGCAGCAGCAAAACATGGGGACATACAAAGAGATACAAATATTGAGACAACATAAAACATTACATAATGGTGTGTGTGTGTGTGTGTGTGTGTGTGTGTGTAACATTGAAGCAGCGACAAAACATGGGGACATACAAAGAAGCACAGATATTGAGAGAACATGAAACAATACCATATGGGGAGGGAGGGAGATATGTGTGTGCGTGCATGTGCGTGTAAAAAACATTGAGGCAGCGACAAAACATGGGGACATACAAAGAAAAACGAGTATCGAGAGAACGTGAAACAATACCATATAGGGAGGGAGGGAGATGTGTGTGTGAGCATGTGTGTGCATGTGTGTGTGCAAGTGTGCGTGCTAGGAAAATAAAATAAAATAAAAATAAAATAAAAAGATAAACATAAAGTCAATTAAAAAGATCATCAACACCAACATTGTTTATTACCATTTAAATGGATGTTTTATGAGTTAGGAGATACTCCAGCCTCCACTTTCTTTGCCTGTTAATCTGCTGTCTCTAAGGATTGTGTGTGTGTGTGTGTCTAAGATGCATTAAAAAGGACATGATTGGATTGTTGAAGCAGGTGTACTGCTTCACGTTCTCCTCATGTGTCCTGAGTCTCTTGCGTTGTGTGTATATGTATATTTATTTTCCCCTTATTAAGTTTCAATTTCTTAGTGTGTGGTGCATTAAAAACACAAAGGGTGGCGGTGGCTGGGATCGGGGCTAAGGTGAAATAAGTTGATAACTGGTGTTGGCGGTAATGACAGTCAAGATGGGTTTAAACGGATAGATAGAGAATAAGGGAGAGAGGGAGAAGAAAGAGAGAAGAAAAAAAAAAAAAGAAAAAAATGAAATGAGTGTGAGATATAAGCAACACATGATAAGAGGATTAAAATGTATAAGTATTATTATTTTTGGATAGTGATGGAGAGTCCGGCAGTTTAATAGTCCGGCAGTTTTTAATAGTCCAGCAGTTTAATAGTCCAGCAGTTGTTGACAAATCTCACAGGATCAATCGTTTCCAGCCCTTTTTATTCCTGTACTTTTAAAGGAACAATATGTAAAAATCTGGCCAAAAGTGGTACTGCAGTCACTGTCAATATTTTGTAGTCCTCTCCCACTCTCCCTGACTCAGGTTGCCAGATACACACGAAATTCAGCAGCAAACACAGGGAATTATTTTATCAGTTGTTTGTCTGTCTCCATTCACATTACCAAGAGCCGTGCTAATGTTGAATGAATGTTTCATTATTTTTTTTATTTGGACATTTGAGATAAAAAACACAAAACAAAATAAAAGCAATGTAATTATAGATTATCCAAAATAAATAAGCAATTGTTGTCCAAAATAGGAGTGGGAAGAATGGATGTTGGAACGTATTTCTTCAGCGTATCAACATCAGGGTTTGCTCCAGAGGATTCTCTCCTTTCAATTTTATTTATTCCCTTTTTTTTGACAAACATGTATAAGTCCCACATCAAAAAGAGACTAACATTATTTTAATTGGGTACATGTGGTCTCAAATTATTATTTTTACAATTGAGCTATAATCTGCACAAAAAACCTTCGTCTTTTACCGTTTTTCGAGCAATCTGTCATAGAATGTGATAACATGCAATTAAATACAAAAAGACTCTGCCCGGAATCGAACCCGGGTTACTGCATCATGAGCACGTGGTTTTAACCACTAAACCACCGATTAACGCGGGTCAAATTTCTCTGAAGAACGGACTCAAACCAGCAAATTTTGCATTACACGTAAACTTATCAGCTGTCTCAATTGTTCAAAGGCGTCCCGATATAAATCCTCGTTTTAGTCTTTGTTTTGTCATTAATTATTTGAGAGTCATAACAAGACCTTTTTTAGTTCTGCGCCACATGTTATTTTACCACTGAGATTAATGAGCCGCACGGAGTTCTGGCAACCCGATCACGGACTTCCATGGGACTTCCTGATTGGCGAAACGGCGGAGGGTAGGACATCAAATTCAAAACAATAACAACTTTTACGGGTCGTAAAACTAATTTTGATATTCAAATATCTCGGCTGAACTACTGTTATCAGTTAAAGCTGTATTCGAAAAGAGCATGATTTAATAACGCCTTTTGAAATATGGGGGCCATTTAATGATAACTTGACATGCAAATATTACATACTGCTACTTTAACCTTGTTTTATCTATGTACTTGTCTTGTGAACTCTGGGGACTTTTGCAAATGTATTCCAATGTGGTTTTTCTGCAAATGGAAAATGAAATGAATCTGAACAGGATTTGGACTTCCAGAACCGCACGGTGGGCCACACTTCTCTGCTCTCATCTCTGAGACTTACCCTGGATGAACTCGTAGATGTTCATCTCCATCAGCTCACAGATCAGAGACACGGTCCCACTCTCTTTGTCGCTGCACACACACAACACAAAACACAACTTTACAACCACACAAAGCAGAGTCTAAAGCTGTCATTATAACACTAAACACACGCTGCTGTTTTAACATCATATTTGTTCTGTCTTAGGCAGGTTTGCAAATGGAGACAAAAAATAAATGTTGTAAAATATGACAGATTTCTCACTGAATTAAGAAAAACAAAAAGCCCTGTGCTCAAAATAAGTCTACAGCAGCTTTTTGTTGACAGATCTTAGCTTTACTTTACTAGTTAAATATATGTTTAAAGTGAGATCAAAATGAAGATGTGAAAAATAACAGTCTCTGCAGTATTTCAGTTTGAATATGATTGGATAGGGTCACAAAGTACTAAAAAGTACTGAGTATTGAGCACTAAAACTATTACCGAAACTCATATTGATATTAAAAATAATGATATAGCAATTTTTTATACACTCTAATTCAACTATTAAGCCATTCAAAAATAGTATTTGTGAATAATTGCTGTGATTTCAAAATTCATATTAGTATTTCATTAGTGATATAAAGTATGAAATCGTGACACCACAAGACTTATTTGATTGCAGTCTTTTACAAGTGGAGTTTTCATTGGTTGAGCAAGTAAAAAGTACATTTGGAATGGTTTATTTGTGGCCAGAAAAAAAGATAAAACAAAGAAATTCATTCATTTATTCATTTTTTTTTTTTAAATAAATGATTTATGTAAAAAGAAAAAAAAAAGTTCTAAAAAAAAAAAGTTCTAATGTGCAAGGGCCAAATGTAATATTACTGTATGTAAATTGTTACTGAAAGAACTGCTGAATGAATCCATAATACAAGCATAATAATATTAATAATTAAGAGATAATAATTGCAGTCTTTGCTAATTGCATCAAAAATGTGTTTTCGATTGGAGTTTCGATTGGAAATCCGTTTTCGATGAACGGAGCAGGCGTTGAGCAGGAGATACTCACTAGACGATCTCGTGCAGCTGGATGATGTTGGTGTGTGGACTCAGCCTCTTCATGGCCTGCACCTCCCTCAGGGCGTTGGCTTGTTCCACACTGAGCAAGACACCATCACATCAAACACAAATACGTATAAGGATTGATTTTCATGCATGCTTTTTTGTATCTATAATTCACTTTTTATAACTTGTTTGCACCATATACCAAAGCAAATCGCAAGTTTGTGACTCCCTCTCACTATATGTTTCAAATGTAGGCTAGCAGGCGTGGCTCTGTATTAGAAGGTAGGTGCATTCTACTCACCTTATACCCCAATACTCTTGTTTATCCAAATATTTTCTACATTCTACTATTTTGGGCCTCGATATTTATTGTCTGTACATTTTCTTTGTAAAAGTAGAGAGAGCTTTTATACTTAAGCAGTAGATGGTTCAATACAATCAAATATTACTTACTTAATTTTCATTCATAATAATTCAAGCTTTTCTTTTTTTGAGACATTTAAAAAAGTTCTTTACTGGGATTATTAAGTTTTGTTGTATTAGCATCCGTGGCATCAAGCAGCTCTTTATTGTCATGATTGTCATTTTTTAGATCCTGTCTTATTTTGTATTGTGTTCTCCTGTGTCTTGTTGAGTTTTACTTCCTGTTGTGTTGTTTGCCTGCCCCGCCCTGTCCCCGTGCTCTTTCCCTCTTACTGTCAGTCCATTGAGGTTTGTTCCGTGGTTCTTGTCTCCGTCCTCAGTTCCTTTGTTTTTTGATTTTTGTTTAATAAATGATATTATTTTTTCAGTATTGTATTTTGGGTCCTTCCTCCTTTCCACCACTTAACAATTGTCCTTATCATGTCATGAATCAATATCTCGTCCATCAGGATGAGTGATGGCGACAGAGCGCTGTGTCATCGGAGAAGTGAGGGCAGAAGTGATTTCTGGGTGGTAGGTCAGGCCCGGGCGCTGACAGCCTGACACCGTACAGTGCTGTCATGGCTCAGGTGACATGTGTGCGTTCAGACACACACTAATGTGACATCATACCTGCTAATGGACTGCTTCATGGTTTTACACGCATAGAACTTTCCATCTTTGAGGCTCTGGGTTTTCACCACCTCCGAGAACGTGCCCTCGCCGATCTTTTTGATGATTTTGTAGCCTGCGGGAAAAGCAAAACAAGAGAATGAAACTGTATCCTTCATTTGTAATTAGCGAAGATGCAATCTGCTGAGGACAGTAAATAATAGATCCAATTAAAAACAATTCAGATTATTCACAACTTTACAACATCAATGATGAAGAGAAAAAACAGCTGAATAATATTGTGAAGGTTAAAACAGCTTGACCAGCCCGTGTCCAACTACCGTTAATGCATCAAGAAAATTCCTTTTCTTAGACAGGGCATTTCTGTGTGAGATTTGCATGTTCTCCCTGTGTCTGTGTAGGATTCCTCTGGGTACCTTCTCTGGCGACCACACTTCCATTTCGTGCCACACGCCGTTGTGGAGTGATAGGAAAACTGTCCACATTGTAAAGTGCTTTGTTCAGATTCTCAGTCTGTGAAAGGTTCTATAAATAAGGACTACTTACTTTATGTGAGCAAAAAGGTCGTTGTGTGGAACAAAAAGTATTGGTGTATGATTTGTATTTTGGACTACAGGTTACACACAGATGCATTTTGAATACAGTAATATTGAAACACAGATAATATAAGTGAACCAGACTTGGTCCAGTCCCTCAATTTAAAAGTCCTTCTTTGTGAAGGTGGCACATCACCGGCTTGATCCTAGCAAATTCGAGCTAAAATCATATTGTGGAAGATTGCAGGAGAGGGAATACCATTTTGTGGAGTGGCATGTTTTGGGTGGGTTTCCTCCAGGTGCTCTGGTTTTCTTCAAAGCTTCACAGGTAAACTCCTCCAGTACGGTCCTAACCAATAGCATCAACAGCTTCACACTTAAACATGTGTTTCCCAATCTGAGGTGCACAGACCCCTCATGAAATTACAGGTTATTACTGGGGATACTGGAAATAATTTTCAGTTATTGCAAGCTGTGATGATAACGGCTGAGATACACTAGCCCGAGGGTGAATGTCTGGAGGTGTTGGAGGGAATAAAAGGTTTGCTCTGACAAGTTTGTGGGACAATTTCAGCAGAGGAAGTCAGAGGAAGCCGTCCAAACCAGTGACAAAACCCAACTGTTTTCAGAGAGAGGAACTGGGAACGAGTCACATGGATTTGATCATAAATAGCAACGTTTATTATGGTGTGAGTTACGTGTTAAGTTACAAGTTACGTACTCCGGTTTTAACGGCTATATTTCTGTATTTTATTTATGTGCAGTAAAACACACATGTATTGCGTTTACATTAAGATAGCACAACTTTAAATACTTGTGATATTTTACGAATTATTTTCCTTTTTCTAAATAATAAAAAACAGTTCTGCAAAAGTATTCTATTCTCGCCTCCAAACTTTCCTCGCCTCGTCCAAGAAGCGCCCCTCAAGGTTAGAGCCAGCCCCACAGAGCGGCCCTTTGCCCGGCGCTCACTCACAGTGCATCCCGCTGTGGTGCCTTCTCTGCGGCCGCATGTCTGTCACTCAGTTATCCGCTCTGTCCGTGTCCACTCAGCGGGTTCCTGTTCCACATTCTCCCCGTGAGGACATCCCTCACCCCGGGAGCCGCTGCCGTTGGACTCGTTAGCTTAACCGTTAGCATGCCCTGTGTGTTTGTGCGCGTGTGTGTGGAGACTAGAGCACGCAGCACCATGGTTACCGCGCTACTCTGAGTTACGACTAGTTCATAAACATGTGTGAATAATAATAATAATAACAACAACAACATAACAATGATAACAATAATCATACGCATAATCATAAACAAAAATGTGCGAACAATTAGGCCCCGTCCCACACTACACTATATATATATATATATATAAATTAGACTAGAACAGATTTATTTATATTGCAAGCTTCAACTAAAGGCTTCGCAATTTTAAAAACACTTGAAAATTCTATTCAATTCTATTCAATTTATTCTTGTATAGCCCTAAATCAAAATGACTTGCAACATCTACACTGATCCTTTTTACATATATTGTTAGACTGTTGAAGGATGTAGAAAGCTTACATTGTCACACAAATTGAATTTTATTATATTTCTTGGCTTTAAATTTGAATTAGTGAAATAACAGCCAAATAAATGTAACACTGCACATTTTAACAATAACTTTATCAGCTATTTGTTCATACAAAACATCTTATCTTAGTATTTTTATGAATGAGTGGCCTTTTAATATGTTTTAATGAATGCTTGCTTGAAGATATTACAGAGATTGCTATTATATGCGGTACATTATAGTATATTTTGGTCCAAATCGGCATAGACTACACAGTTTAGACATATTTTTGCTAGTTCAATTTTATTTAGAGTGAGAGCTTTGACTGTGTCCATGAATTAAATGCACTTTGGAAATTATTTTATGTTTTAAGTTAGATCATTTTCATGATCTGCATTTTATTTTTCAATAACAAATTACATTTGTTATAAGTTTACACTTATTTCAGCTCCTTTTCATAAGATGTTGCACTTTCCTGTTGATATGGTTGATACTCATACAACTACAAGATGGCCGTCGCCTTTCCAAACAACAACAAAGCCTACGCGCTCTGCTAGCCTTTACATTATACAACACTGTGCCCTTAGCTGCCCGTTGCCTTGGTAACGGAGCACGCCATCGCCCTCCGCGCTGACCTGCGAAGGAACCCGAAACTCCAGACCGCTCTCCCGGCTCCTTTCGCTGATCTTAGCCAGAAAAACAGCACCGAGAGGCCCGCCAGCGCTCTTAAAAAGGCCTTTTCATCTGTCTGCCAGTGTGGGGGCCGAAAAAATTAGCTATAGGCCTCGAAAACAAGGCTTTTTGTCTCAGTTACCTTCGTTCCAGAGGTGTTTGGTCAGCTCGGGTTTGATGCCGTGACACTGGCAGTGGTTGCAGTCGCCGGGCTCATCCTCCACGCTGTCCCCGCTGGAAGACTCGCTATTCCCGGGTGTGTTGCGGGGATTTCGCAGAGCTGCACGGTTTTTAATGTCAATCAGCCACTTTGAGTAGTGCATCGTGAGCGCACCGTTACAAAGCACAACACAACAATCTTCTCAATGGGTTGAAGCGATCCATTTTTCAAACGCAGGATGTAGATGACACTTTAAAAATCCAGATTTCGCACAATATTAAATCAATCAAAGCATCTGTCCATGTTTTCACCTCCAAGAGAAAAAAGGCGTGGATCTACACTACGTTTGGTCCATGACCGCATTCGAATTAATGAAAAAAATACCATCTTCCTTAAAACTATTATTTGAATTTTAAATGTTTGTTCAAGTAAAATCCAAGACATCTTTAAGAATTTGAAAAGTAATTTCAATAAAAAATAACGCCATTAAGATTAGTAAACAGGATAAAGAAAGACTAGGAGGATACGGATCTGATTTTGGATGTGGCCTTTTTCTCTTTCCTTCGAGAAGTGCGCATGCGTGGCAGACCCGTGTGTTGTGCTAACTTTTACTGGCTAATATGTGATTTAACGTGTTTATTTTATATTCTTTAGACGTTTTTTGCCCATATAATAGACCAAAAATGAAAAACCGGTTCACCACGGTGGATATCAGGGCTGTAATCGCCGAAATAAACGCGAAGTATGTGTCAAAGTGTTGAATGATGCTAATCTGATGTAGCCTCAATACATGTTATTGACTTAGCTTCTGAAAGGAAATACTTGTGAATCTGTCATTATTATTATTTGTCTTTTGTTTTGCAGTTACATTGGTATGAGAGTATACAACGTGTATGACATCGACAACAAGACCTATCTTATCCGACTACAAAAGTAAGATCAACTTTGGCAGATGTTTGTATTTAATACTTGGGTCCATTATATGATTTGGAAGAAGTGGGAACTCGCTCACATTTACTAACTGTTTCTCTTATCTTCAGACCAAATACACATAATGAATTGTTTATTTTCACAGTCACAGCATTCCAAAGAGCCTTAAACTAAAAATTATGATGGGGTCAATCTAAATTAATCTAATATATTTTTCCCATTCAGGTGCTTAGAAGTGGTGATATTATTTAAAAAAAACATTCGCATGATGTTGACATAAGAATAATATGGCTTGGTTTGTGAATCTAATAACGTTCGACTAATGATCTGGAGAGACATTTCTTTCAAAAATGGCTTCTTTCCCATAGTCTTGTCTTGGCACCTGCCCTCTAACTGAAATACAATTCTACAACATTAACAAAAACCTCAGTAACTGGGAAAGCCAACACATTCAACTCACAATATACATTTGACCTGAAATCATTCATTGACAGCTTGAGGTAATTTTACGTCTTGGTGTGAATCACCTCTGATCATGTGTATTCTTAGGAAAATACATCTCTGTGAGACGCTGTGGTTCAGAGCTGAAACTTCCCAAACTCTTTTTCAAACTACCACCAGTATCATTGGAGCTTTCTTCAAGTATACAGTGACAGCCGACAGGTTTATACAGAGGAGATGTGGTACTGTAGTACTGTTGTCAAAAGTAATATAATCAGCTACGTATAGGCCTGATATTGAAGTTAATGATATTGAAACGACTGTTTCCCACTGACAAAAGTACAACACAGCAGGAAAATCCCAGTAAAACAATTGTGCATCCTGTGGAAGGGCACTGGCTGAAAGGCTGAAACTTCAACAGTCCCTTGGAGTTTTTGTTAGACTTGTATTTGAAAAATGAAACGAGATGAATAGATATCACGCTGTAGTTCAAAATGTATTATTCTGCGAGGGTTAGGGTAAGGTGAGGTTAACTCCTTTTAAAAGATTGCACTTCCAAACGTGATAATTGTGTTCCCAGGCCAGACTTTAAGGCCGTTCTGCTGGTGGAATCCGGGACGCGGATCCACTCCACGGACTTCGAATGGCCCAAGAACATGATGCCTTCAGGGTTTGCCATGAAAGTGAGGCCTCCTTTGCATCATGTTTTAGGCTCTATTCAAACATGTCTGTTGTACTGTGTGTGACATATATTTGTGTGTGTGTTTTTGTGTTTGGTTTTCAGTGCCGGAAACACTTAAAGTCACGGCGGCTGACCCAGGTGAAGCAGCTGGGCATGGACCGAATCATAGACATCCAGTTTGGGTCAGACGAAGCGGCTTACCACCTCATCATAGAGCTCTATGACAGGGTAAGAAAGACTGTGCTACACCTGTAATTAATGACTATTTTGATCAATCAGTTGTTTAGATTCCGATTCCAGATTTTTTATTGTTGAATCTATGTAAGGTTCTACTAAGATGGTTAACTTTTTCAATAATCAATTAGTTGTTATTAATTAAATTTAACTTTTACAACTCTAGTAAGAACCATGTAATTTGTATTTTTTTCCATATTTTTTCATAAAGGACAATTCTAGTACCCCTTCTCTGAACAAAGCGATGACACGAGGTGTAATAATTTGAAATAATGTCCTAATATGTGCCAAATGGGACCACATGTGTCCACTGTCATTCTACTTGGTGGAAACATGTACAGTATTTTATCACTGAGAACATTTGAACCCTCAGAGACTTTTGACCCTAATATTCTTACACAAGTGGTTTATCTCCAGATGTAATCATACATTTATTAATACCAGAGTATACAGTTTTTTATACTGATTGTTTATTAAGCTAAAGATAGAGTTTTTGTTGTTGTTATATACTGTAGTTGTTCTATACTAATATTCAGCTATTTTGCATGCTCTTTATTCCTACTGTTTTGTAACTTGTGATGCAAAACTGACATTTCCCCACTGTGGAACGAATAAAGTATCTCTTAAGTATTAACGGCTGTGTTTGCTGCCCGTTGCCAGGGTAACATCATCCTGGCGGACTTCGAGTACACCATCCTGAACCTGCTGCGCTTCAGGACGGCGGAGGCAGCGGAGGCCGAGGCCGAGGACGTGAAGATCGCAGTGAGAGAGCGTTACCCTGTGGAGAGCGCCCGCCCTCCAGAGCCCCTGCTCAGCCTGCCGCGGTCAGCCCAGACCTGCCACACCAGCACCATGACAGTCACACATTTATTTCATTCATTATGCTTCATTTATGTGTTTATTTAAAACATGTGCATACATATAATTCAATACAAAACATTACAAAAGATGACCAAATAAACAGAATCACACAGTTTGAAAAGGGTCTTAAACATCTTTAGTATAGTATATGACAACAGAGAACAGAGTTTGAATGCAAAAAACGCATTAATAACAAACACATAGATGTCATTGGTCCATAGGGAGAGGGTTGACCAATGTCCATAAATGATAATACATTTGTTAATAATATTGTTTTTACCCCATCCCTACACATGCCACACTGCGTTGTTTGTAGCACTTTTTGACACACAAACATTCCTCAATATTTGCATGAATGAAACATCTCTAGGTTTGTTTTTCATTATTAAATTGTTCAGTTGATGTCACTAAGGTCTTAAGGCAGCGGTGTCAAACTCATTTTGGTCAGGGGCCGAGCAAAAAAAACAAGTAGGAGCTTATCAGGTCCAATAGAATACATTATAAACGTTTTTTAAATTATTAAGTTATTTTGATTACTTTTACTTATCCGAACATTTTTGAGAGAAAGAGAAAGAGACCAGAGAGAAAGAGAGACCAGAGAGAGTAAGTAAGCTTTAGTTATATACCGCCTTTCACAGACCAGAGTCACAAAGCGGTTTACAATTGTTTTTTTTTTGGCATTTGTCTCTCACTCCACACAGAGATGGGAGCGGGGTCGCCGAACAGGAGGCGCATGCCAGACCTATTGTACATATTTTTAGTGGTAGGGGAAACCGGAGTACCCGGAGGAAACCTACGCAGACACGGGGAGAACATGCAAACTTCACTCAGAAAGGCCCTGGTCCGGCCGGGATTTGAACCCAGGACCTTCTTGTTGGGAGGCGAGAGTGCTATCCACTCAGCCACCGTGCCGCCCGGAGAGACCAGAAAGAGAGAGTCCAGAAAGAGAGACCTTCCTTAGGGTAATTTGGAAATGGCTTTGTGTCTTATGTTACAGACTGACAGAAATCCTGAGCCAAGCACCAAACGGGGAGCAGGTGAAGAGAGTGCTGAACCCACATCTGCGTACGTCTTTTCTCTCTCTCTGTTTCTCTCTCTCCCTCTCTCTCCCTCTCTCTCCCTCTCTCGCTCTCTCTCTCCAAAGCCAAAGGTATTCTGATTGGAACGTTCTCCGCTTGCTCTCTCCTTCAGCCTATGGAGCCACTCTGATAGAGCACTGTCTCATTGAAGCTGGACTTCCCGGCTCTGCTAAAGTCGACATCACAGAGGCTGCCCAAGGTAAAGACAAGGTTATGTTTCCTGTCTTATCTCAACCTCCACTCCTGAGTTTCTTGACACCAACTCCAATTTACCGTTATTTGATTAAACAACAAGCCTGTAATCCGTTTGGAGTAACTGGATTTGCTTATTTGTTGGGTTTGTTTGATGGGAACAAGTGCATTCCATGAGTAGACACACAACATTTTAGTCAGGGATAATTTTAAATGTCTGTTCCTAATTGGGCATTAAGACACAATAAAACAATGCCGTTAATAAAACTGTTTATCGAGAAATGAGACAGAGGCCACAGTGATCCCACGCACCTGTAACCCTCAGTTTATTTCTGCGTTTCTCCAGATAGAACAAAAGAAGACTTTTTATCTTCTTTTTATATGATGTGTATCAATGTGCATCAGAACAGAGATGTCATTACTAGAGATATTAATGACGCCGATGCATAAGATATAGATTCTAGGTAGCAATGTTTAGTAGCAGTACAGATATAACGGCAGTCTCCATGGCCTTAAATCCTTTGATTCTGATTCCTTGAATATCCTTAATGTTTGTCGTAAGTCCGAAGCATGCAGGTCAGATTCCACAAGTTTCTACTGTACTTGAACTGGTCTGTAACCACCTAAACCGGATACTACTGAGACAAGAGCACATGAAAGTCACCGGCTGTAAAACAGTTTGGTTCTTACGCTGTCTAAATCACTGTTTCTCAACTAGCCCCTGGCTAAGCGAGGGCAATGCAGTGAGGACTTGAAAGTTGTTCTGACACACCAGCCCGCGTCTCTCACAGTGTGCAAGGAAAAAGCAACCCGAATGTTTTATCAGTGGGAATGAGTCTAAAGACAAAAGGTGTCTGTCTCTGGAACAGTTCAAGTCCTCTTCTGCCCCTGGGTTCTCGTGATTGTAATGCATATGTTGATAATCGAGATGGAGAAAAGTCGAGATAACATTTTTTGGCATACAGCCCAATATATGCTGCATTATAGGTAATAATGCATCGGTTTTATATAGCACTTTAATGGACACTCAAAGACGCTTTACAAGTCATTATTCTTTCACTCCAAACACGGTGGTGATAAACTACTACTGTAGCCACAGCTGCCCTGGGGCACACTGACAGAAGCGAGACAACCAGTATGTGTTGTCTCGCTTAGTGTCAGCGGCCCCTCCGACCACCACCAACTATTCACACACACCAGACTCATTCTAGGCAATGGGGGTGAAGTGTCTTGCCTAAGGACACAACAACAGCAGAGGGAGTCGGTGGAGAAGGTCCCTTGGTGGGCTCGAACCCACGGCCTTCAGGCTCAAAGGCCAATGCTCTACCAAAATGTGCTACTGTCGCCTCATATGTGTTGTTCTCAGCCTTGAATAGAATCATGGGAATATTAACGTTGGCTTTTTATGATTTTGTATCATTTAAAATTTCCTACATTGAAAATATAAAATGCATGTCTAAACAATCAATGTTTTTGTGGTTCTTTTGAAAGACAAGTTAGATGTATTCAAGATAACACATGTAACTTGTCTTTCAAAAGAACCACAAAAACATTCCCTCTAATGGTAGATGTGGTCCATTACACGCTGCCTATTTATTGAACATCCAACATGGTGCGATTTAATTAAGGTACACTTTTTTTGTAAGACTGCTTTATCCATGACGTCTTAGTCTGAAAAGTCACTGTAACATAATCAGAGTTTGAAAGTAGAGTATTCAGAAAGAAGGGGAGGAAACGTGTTTGTCCTAATTTGTGCTTGAAGTGTCTGGATAGCTTGGACGTGGGCGAGCTTCAGGTCTGTTTTTGATGGTTAGATACTCACGAAGGAGAATTTTGCTTATACATGTGTTCTTTATAGTATCGGTAAATGGTTTGCACAGCGCATTTCTCCTGCCTGTAGTTGATCAAACGGGTTATGGTTGTAACTTGCTTCTCTGGTCCTCAGTGGCACCGACGATCCTCAAAGCTCTGGAGATGGCGGAGGTCTACATGGAGAAGACGGCTCACTTCGACGGCAAAGTATGGCATGTGTGTTTAGACAGGACCAGTACGTGGGCCACACAGCTCACCACACACCTGTTCTGTCTTCCAGGGTTACATCATCCAGAAGACGGAGAAGAAACCAAGCCTGACCCCAGGGAAAGCCGCCGAAGAGCTGCTCACGTGAGGACTTTGCCCTAGCACCGGCCACCAATGCTGTTTAGTCTGTCTCTGCGTATAACTATTGAGACATTGGAGACCTCATAGTGACGCATAAATATTTTTGTATTTTTTTGTTTTTGAAATGAGAGAAGTTTTACCTTTACCTCTCAGAGCAATCATCGTCCACCAGAAAAGGGCCAGTTACCATAGCAACACACTGCTAACTTGCAGCAGTTAGAATATAGTAAAAAACTATTGGAAAGCCTCGTGTATTCTAAGTTATCTTCAGCAGTTATAGCCCTTATTAAAAGTGAGTAAAGGTAAAAAACCTTATAAGTACTGCTACTTTTAATAAAACATATTTAGGGGAAATTTTTCAAATTTCAATGGTTTGAATCTGGGAGTTCTGGTAGTTTCTGAAGTCTGGGACTGTTTTTGGCTCTGGAGTGTGTAGGAGAAGGCTTACTGTCAATCATGTTATGGAGCAACAGGGGGACAGTGAAATCTCACAGCTTTGCACATGATTGCGTTTCTCCTGATTCCTCACCATCTCGTCCTTCAGATATGACGAGTTCCATCCGTTCCTGTTCAGCCAGCACGCCAACAGCCCGCACCTGGAGTTTGACTCTTTTGACAAGGTGAGCTCTCCCTCGCCACACTCACATGACCTTACATGTTAGGTGACACTAACATGTAAACGTGTGGCAGGCGGTGGACGAGTTCTTCTCTAAGATGGAGAGCCAGCGGATAGACATGAAGGCCCTGCAGCAGGAGAAGCAGGCCTTCAAGAAGCTGGAGAACGTCAAGAAGGACCACGAGCAGAGGCTGGTGGCTCTGCACCAGGCCCAGGTCAGCTGTGTGTGTGTGTGTGTGTGTGTGTGTGTGTGTGGGGCTGTATTTGTATACGGAATGTTTATGTGTATGGTGGGTGTGTACTGTGGCTAAAATGCCATGGAAGCAATTAAATTCAATCACAACAGCAGTAGTCTTGGACGACTTTACAAAGTTGTTGATTTGGCAACATCAGATCAGAGAATTAAACTGTTCAAACACTGTAAATGCAATAATAACAAACACCTAAATGTCCCTTAATGTCCCAGATCATCCCTGTCAGACCCTCCTGCACCATCAAGGAAAATGTGAGAAATTTCAGGGAACCAGCATTTATTAAGTTGCCAGCCTTCCTTAGAATCGAGTCCTATTCATTTCCATAGAGGCCGAAGAGACTGGCAGTGGTGGGGTGGACGTGTTGAGGTTAACAGAAGGGGCCACAATTTACCCCGGTCTGATTTAAACCATGGCAGCGTCTGGAATAGCCCTCACATGTCGTGCCTCCAGACCTGAGTCCAGACCAGTCCTGTGTTTATGAGTTTCTCTGGGTCCTGGTCTGACTGAGACACAACCTCTTTAGTGTGAGGTCTCCAGGCAACAGGACACAGCGGCCCAGGCCTCGCTGCTGCTGGCCTGCTCCCTCATGCTTTACTTCAATCTCATTAGGAACATTCTCCTTGTTTAACTGTTTGCCTGCCCGGGGACTTCTTGTAAATCCCTTGTAAATCCCATCCATATCTTTCATGATTGAATCTTGAAATAATTCAGAAGTCATATTTATTCTTGGTTTAATGTAGTTGAGCCTCTAGTACTGAGTATATTGGACTTTGCATTACCAGACTCTGCTGAGATTATATTTATTAGATTAGATATTATTTTTTGAAACCTGTACAATTTCTTTTCACATACATCAACATAACCACAGATATCCAGCACCTCTCTCCCATCGTACCCCAGTCTCAGCATGTGCTCTGGGCCCTGTGTGTCTACTGCAGGAGGTGGACCGGGTGAAGGGCGAGCTGGTGGAGATGAACCTGAACGTGGTGGATCGCGCGCTGCAGGTGGTCCGCAGCGCTCTGGCCAATCAGGTGGACTGGAACGAGATCGGCCTCATCGTGAAGGAGGCGCAGGAGGCTGGAGACCCCGTGGCCTGTGCCATCAAAGAGCTCAAACTGCAGACCAACCACATCACCATGCTGCTCAGGTCAGATTCAGAGGCGTTCCCAGGTCACTGAGAGACATGGCCCCTTCAGTGTGTCCTGGGTGTAACTCCAGGTGGGAATGGGACTTGCCCCGAGGATGTCGTCCAGGAGGCATCCCAAACAGATCCTCTTCATCTGGCTCCACTCTACTCCTCCCACGTGACAGAGCTCCTCACCCTATCACCACACTGCAAAAATTAAGGTCTTAAATGCTTGAATCAAGTGTTTTTATCTTTAAGATCTATTTAAGATTTGCCACTGGGACAAGCAAAAATGTCTTGTTTTAAAAAGATACAAGACAATTCAAGAAATTTCTTCCTTGGAATGAGAATAATTGGCACTTAATATTTGACTAAACAGCTTGTTCCATTGGCAAATCTTGTTTTAAGACAGTCAGAATACTCAAATTAAGATTAAGAACCCTTGATTCAAGTATTTATTACCTTATATTTTGTATTTTTGCGTAGTATAATCGAAACAAACACATCACTCTAATACAACTTTGTGTTTTGGCCAAAAGACAACTATGAAATTATATATTTAAAAATGCTGTTTATTTAATGATATTTAATGCTAAAATACATGCATTAATAGAATAATTACAAAAAGTAGCTATTGTCAAATCACTGGTTTGGTAAATTCCCTTTTTATCATCACTGATTGTATTTTTTCTCCCCAAAGAAACCCGTACATAACCGAGGAGGATGAAGAGGAGGAGGAGGAGATTGTGGAGGAGAAAGGGAAGAAAGGCAAAAACAAGAATCAGAAAAAGCCTCAGAAGAACAAACCAGTGCTGGTGAACGTGGACATCGGGCTCTCAGCCTACGCCAACGCCAAAAAGTATGAATATTTACTGCTCTTTGGTAAAAACACATAAACTGCTGCTGGATGAGAAGAAAAGGCTTGTTTTAGTTATTTATTTATCTGTTTATTTGATAGGGACAATGCACATGAATGAACATCAGTATATAAAACAAATGTAGATGTGCCGGATTATAGCTGCAAAGCTCGTTTTCATCCGTAGTCCCTAGGCATGAAAAGGCCTATACCGAGGGACTACGTTTTGTCCCGTTGACCAATCTAACAAATGAGAAGATACGAGTACATTTACAAAGCACTTGGGGAAACCGGATCGCTCGCTCACTCAAATTTAATTAGATTTAATTCAATTCAATGTATTTGTGTATCACCCTAAATCATTACAGTAATCCTCTGGGGACTTCACAAAGTTGTCTGTTCGTTCAAAACAGATCCGAGAATCAAACCGTTCGAACACTGGAAAATTCATTAAAAACAAACGATTGTGATTAATCTTGCTACTGGCTCGACAGTTATTTATTTTTATTTTTTCAACCTAACAACACTTTATGACACCAGGTACTACGACTGCAAACGGACGGCCCAAAAGAAGGAGAAGAAAACCATGGAGGCTGCGGATAAGGTCAGTTTGGCATCAGAGGGAGCCACTTTATCCAACCAAGATCTGTTTTTCCAGCTTCAGTGAGGAACAATGTGGTGGTTCACGATGTCAGCCATCAGTCCCCATGCATTATGTAATTAATAACATACTTTTTTTTTTTTTAAGCCAAAAAGTGTTTAAATTGACTTGGCAACTGGCTTAAATAAAAACATAATTTAGTTAGTTCCATTAGTGACTCAACTTGCAATTAAAATATAATCCATATATAAGATAAATTATCCTCAATGTATTTTCTCCCAAGTCTGTGGTCACCGCTCCTATCTATCACCTTCACATTCCAGACCCCAAAGCCAAAGATTACATACTCAACAACACAAACTCTTTACCCCCCCTACATGTCTGCCTCCCTCGGTCACAATTGAAAAACTCACCCTAGAGCAGCCGTAAACCTGCTCTCACGTTTAAATGCCATCTCCATCGCTGCGCCTCAGCCATCCATCGGTAGATAATGATTGATGCATTGGACAGCCCATGTAACGGTGCAGTAGGATTTTAAATATATTATGTTATTCGTTTGCTCATATTTTGTTTTAGGCCTTTAAGTCTGCAGAGAAGAAAACCCACCAGACGCTAAAGGAAGTCCAGACTGTGACCACCATTCAGAAGGCCCGCAAGGTGTACTGGTGAGAGACTGGTGTTATTATACTCAAGTCATGCTGGAGATAGTCTTGCTAATATTTTGTAATACATTCTATGAAGATGTTCTCAGGGGGCATCGCTTGAGCTTTCTTGTGGTCAAATGTATATAAATCCTATTTGCATTTACCTTTGGAGATTTATCCAACTAATTGAGTTTCTGTTGATGTTTTAAATAAAAGCATCATTGGTGTCTCTCTGCTGCAGGTTTGAGAAGTTCCTGTGGTTCATCACCTCCGAGAACTACCTGGTGATCGCGGGACGGGACCAGCAGCAGAACGAGATGATCGTCAAGCGCTACCTCCGAGCAGGTGGGTCCTGCTAACGCACATATAAACACGCACTAAGTGAGGTCAAAGGGGACAAAGGCATCTGCTTAATTGTTTCACATTGTAAAACATGAAATGCTAATGTAAATGGTTCCATTATAATTTAAGGGTTATCAATTTATTCAATACTTGAAACGCTATCAGTAGTGCTGATTCTAGTTTTAGAATCATATATATATATATATATATATATCTCCTAAATATATGAATTCTGTTTTCCAGGGGACATCTACGTGCACGCAGACCTCCACGGAGCCACGAGCTGCGTCATAAAGAACCCCACAGGTGACCCATCCACTGACTGTCACGTGTGTCAGGACTCGGGCTGGTCTGTTCTGGGATCTCTTTTCCACTCTACACTTGTTCTGAACAGGTTGCTGTCAAAATTCCTTCATTACTGGATGCGTTGCCTGTGTTTGAACACCAAACGTTTCTTTGCATTGCTTATGTTTTATTCCTTCTGTCACCTCCACTAGAAAAATACATTATTTCCTGATCTAAAACATGTACCTAATGCCATCATTCAAATCAGCTCCTGCTGTGATCAGGGATTTGCACTATTGTGATCATTGTGATTATCGGACTAACAGCAGTATGTTGTGCCCAGGCGAGCCCGTGCCTCCACGCACCCTGACGGAGGCAGGGACCATGTCCGTGTGCTACAGCGCCGCCTGGGACGCCAAGATCATCACCAGCGCCTGGTGGGTCCACCACCACCAGGTAAACACAGTCACACTGATGTCTCTGGGAGCAGCATGTCGACCACTACTGCAGAAAAGCTGTTGTTTTCCTTTAATCCTGCCTGAGCAGTCAGGCTCTTGTTCATTCTGACACTTGTGATCAGATGTAGGAGGGTTTTAGACCAAGGGGATTTGATCCCAGAACCTGGAGTAGAACATCTTACCGACCAATCACAGATAAGAACTGAGAACGAGGAACTCGCCATGCATCCAAATTTTAGTTTCTCTTTCCTTTTCGTTATTATTAACCTTATAACTGATCTTCAAACGTCACATTTGAATCTCTGGACGATGGAGGTTTTCTTGCTCAATTCAGAAGCAGCAAAAAAATCCAAGATGGCAACCTCCACAGGTTTCTTGATTATTTTAAAAACAGAAACCTGTGGAGTGCACGTGTGAGCTTCTCTTTGTTGTTTACACACACAGCAAACATTTTTTAAGTCTTTAACTTCTCAACAAAACTTCTGTTTCATTTCTTTCTTTCGGATTGGTTCTTTAGCTGTCAAACACGTCCAAACATGGCTCAGTCTCTCGTCTGCCTGCACCTGTGATATTGTACCGTGTGACTGTGTTTGTATGAAAAGTATCTCAGTCCCCGTTTGTTGCAGGTGTCCAAGACGGCGCCCACCGGAGAGTACCTGACCACTGGGAGCTTCATGATCAGAGGTCAGTCGCAGCTGCAGGCCACTCCCACTGTCTCTACATGTCTCTTTCCCACTGTCTCTACATGTCTCTTTCATTGTCCTTTTTAGGAAAGAAAAACTTCCTCCCTCCATCCTACCTGATCATGGGCTTCGCTTTCCTCTTCAAGGTAATTAGGCGACCTCTACATTATTTGTTAATGATGTCTTAACAATTATGTTGAATTATTCAGCGTGTTAGTCTTTGTCTAAGTCTAGTATTGGTAGAAACGTCCTGTAGTTTGAACGTATAAAATGTGTTTTAAATAATTCAAAAGGTTGTGTTTTGATCATTTGACATTTTCACAATATCATACTTTGACAAGACTCTTTCTTTTACAAAGACAACATAAACAAAATAAAGTGATTATTTATTAAACTAAAAAGCTTTAAGACATGTTTAACAAGAGCCAAATGTGTTGTAAATGATCTCTGAGCCTCTTGTGTCGCTCATGGACCAGCAGGAGACACTGGCTGCTGATGAGACTTGACACACTAACGTCTCTGTTCCAGGTGGACGATGAGAGCGTGTCCCGGCACAGAGGGGAGCGGAAGGTGAAGACGCTGGAGGAGGACGTGGAGGAGGTGTCGTCCAGGACCGAGGAGCTTCTGGAGGAGGTGGAGGAAGAGCTGGACGGTACACAGCTTTATGGAGTGGACTGTGTTCCCCTTTTCCCGCCGTCCTGAGAACCTTCTTTTATGCATCATAAGTCTAATTCCCACTGAATAAAAAACCCTGGTCGCCTTTTCTTTTCACATGCTGGTGGGTTGAAACGACTTTCCTCTTCACCCGCCTCTGCAGGGTTTTTTTTTCCTAAGTGTGTTCAGTGGGAACACTCCAACCAAATATAGCAGTAATTTAATGCAGTTCCATTCTTTAAAAACAAATCCAAACCTCAATCAGTTCAGATCATTAGACCATTATACATATTACCTGAAAATCCGATCCAAATCCTCCCATAACCTTTTCAGTTATGTTACTCACAGGCAAACAGACAAACGCTGGGGATCACTTTACCTTCTGGGTGGAAGTAATTTGACCATTTTGTTTTACAGCCTTTTGCTTTCATGCGGGTCAGTCACAACGCATTGGTCGGAGAGCTGAATAAGGGTCCTCTCTTTTTCACTTTTTTGTAGGTATAGAGGCCAAAAATATATTAATGTTAAAACTAGTGACGGAGCCAAACTGTTTTTAGAGAGAGGGACTTGTTAGATTTGATCACATGAGATTTGTTTGTGGTTTGAAAGTTACGTACCCCAGCTTTAAAACTTCTAAATCGTTATTAAACATATTTCTGGATGATTCTTCTGACTATTTATTATAGCGATGTTGTCCAGATTTTTGGAGCAGTGGAAGTACTAGTGTTGTGTTGATGTGATGAAGGTGGAGACAGCAGCAGTGGGGAGCAGGACAATAAGATGGCAACGGAGGTCAAGACGGAGCCAGAGGACGGCCCCAGAAGAGGAGAGCCAGCGGAGGAGGAAGAGGACGAGGAAGATGATGATGATGATGATGATGATGATGATGAGGGGAAGGAGGAGGAGGAGAAGGAGGAGGAGGAGAAGGAGGAGGAGAAGGAGGAGGAGAAACGTGACCAGTCCAGGACAGAGGAGGAGATCAGCTTTCCAGATACCACTATCCCCCTCACACATCTGCAGCCCAACAGGTCAGTGTTTTGTTACTATTACTCTTACATAATATTATCTGTGACACCTGAGGCTCATGTTATATATTTAGAGCTTTTGAAATCCCTATATTCATTTTAGGAAGATTTATAGAAGATGTATTAATGGCATATTCAGCCAATCACACGAGGACTGCACGTTTAGTAGCAATCGAATCAAAATTGCCAAAAATCAGAATTTCTTCCCAATTACAAGACTCAAGAATATACAGTATTTCTTCATTTTAGACATTGTTGTCGTACTACAGTTTAAACCAACCTGAACCCTAACCCAAAACTGTAAATTTTTTGTGTTCTTTCAAATGAATCCCTTATATGTTGATTTACGCATGCTTCCTTTATAAACAGTCAGTGAAATCACAATTCTGTTGCTCCAGTCTCTCCCACACAAATATTTTACTGTGCACTTGACTGATACTGATACTGTTTGTAGGAATGTGCCAAACCCGAGCTTTAAGACTGAAGCTGTGCCTAAGGTAAGACAACGTGGGGTTTAGTGCAACTTTGAAAATGTAACTAGAGCTAAGACATTATGTTCTTGACTTTATAGGTTGAAATGGACTCACAAGGAAGAAAACACATGACTGCCAAACAGAGGAGGTGAGAGGGGATTGTCTAGTGTCACAGACACTAAAGAAAACACTTGATTCTCAATATTATGATTTTAAAAAGTAATTTATTTGGACAATAAGCAGTATTATAATGTCATAGGTCATTTTAATGGTCCCACAAGGTTTGATACTAGCTCTGAAATGGATCCAAATAATTCAAAAACTTCTCAAAGAGTTTTCTAGTATTGATACATTCTCAATTGAGGATCTGGTTTTGATGCTATTTAGGGTTAGCCCACAATGTGTCAAATAAAACGCTTTCTTGCCTCATGTAAATGTAATTCTTACTTATAAAGTCATGTATATGTCTTATGGTGATCTTGAGGGGTGAAGAATGTTGTGTGATTACATGAATTTGGTCCTGGATACTTGCAGGTTACCATGGCAATGTTCACATTGATTCACTGTGTATGGTTTATGTCTAGGGAGGAAAAGAAGAAAAAGCAGAAGCAGGAGGGAGAAGGAGACACATGCGAGCTGCAGGAGTCCAGGGAGGGAGCAGTCGGAGAGCGGAGCGTGGAGCAGAGGAACCATGGGGGAGGAGGAGGCGGAGGTGGAAGTGGAGGAGGAGGCGTAGGAGGCCAGTCACAGCAGCAGCAACTCAAGAGGGGACAGAAGGTATGACCACAGTGCACCAGCTCTACTTGCAATCATACACAGCCCATAAATGTCATCTCGCATAAAAATAAATCATGTTAACATAATATTGACAGACTAATATATTTATGGGTTCTTACTTTGAATGCTCAGCAACATCACAACAGTATTTTTCTTTATATATCCTCTATTGGTCCTCCTAATTGTTAACCATTGTGGTGATATGTGACGTAAGGCTGTCATACGTGCTCGTCAAACAAGACCAGAGGGATTGGGAGATTCTTTCACACGATGGCGTTCTTTCCTAAAATTTGATAAAATCCTAATATACCTTTAAGAAAAGCTTAAATTAACTCATGGAAAGTGTAGTGTTTGAATGTGCGTATTTGTTTGTGTAGAACAAACTGAAGAAAATCAAAGAGAAGTACAAGGACCAAGACGAGGAGGACCGCGAGCTCCGGATGCAGCTGCTGGGGGTAAGACCAGGCCACAACGAACTTAAAGACTCTTTAATCAGAGGTCAGAAATGTGACCACTGACCGTCTGCTCTGTTGTGTTTGTGTTGTACTGTATTATGATATGTGTTTTAATTATGTTTTAACCATGTATTGTTTAATTTTTATGTAAAGGCCCAACTAGGGACGGACATTGAGAATTAGCTTTGGCTAAAATGTTGTAGTATGTAACATGAGCTTATGTGACATACTTGTCCCTATTCAAATAAACTTAAATAAATAATAAACAAACCCTTTTCATCTTTAACATAATTCTTTTTTAGTGTTAAACAAGATTCAGTCGAGTAATTATTCTCATTGGTGCTTCTTTGCCTGCATCTCTCCTCAGTCTGCCGGGAGCAAGGAGGAGAAGGACAAGGGGAAAAAAGGCAAGAAGAAGGAGGAGCTGGTGAAGAAAACGGGACCTCCTAAGCAGCAGCAGAAGCAGCAGCAGAAACAGCCTCCTAAAGCCAGAGCTGCAGAGACTACGCTAAAGGCCGAGTCCATAACAGAGCCAGGAGACGGAGTGGACAGGGCGGGGGGGCAGGAGGGAGGGGAGCAGGACGACAAGGTGAGACCGCTCGACTTATGACGTCACACTGTGGTTTGTAGAGATGTGCCTTTGGTTTTTTATTACAAACCTGTCCGTCTCTCATACCTCAACACCACTTTTCCTTTGGGTCCTGTCTCTGTTACGGTCTGACTGAGACTTCTGTTTTCCAGGAGGAGGATGTGGACCAGGACAACCCCGGAGCAGAGGTACCGTCACTTCACTTAATAGCGATCAGATAGAATATGGACGAACTTACACAACCAGACCACTCTTGTCTCAGTATACATGCAGACTCAGACCTCTCTTGTCTCAGTATACATGCAGACTCAGACCTCTCTTGTCTCAGTATACATGCAGACTCAGACCTCTCTTGTCTCAGTATACATGCAGACTCAGTCCACTCTTGTCTCAGTATACATGCAGACTCAGACCTCTCTTGTCTCAGTATACATGCAGACTCAGACCTCTCTTGTCTCAGTATACATGCAGACTCAGACCTCTCTTGTCTCAGTATACATGCAGACTCAGACCTCTCTTGTCTCAGTATACATGCAGACTCAGTCCACTCTTGTCTCAGTATACATGTGTGTGTGCAGGAAGCAGAGACCCTGCTCAGTTCTCTGACAGGACAACCCCATCCTGAAGACGTGCTGCTGTTTGCCGTGCCGGTGTGCGCCCCCTACACCGCGCTCACCAGCTACAAGTGTGTGGACAGTACACAGCACTCCAAACTCACACGCACACGGAAACAAAGGGATACATGGTTTTCAATTAGTATTTTTGTCATGTGTTTGTTTTTGGTGTATGCGGATCCATACGGATCCGCTCAATTGTATCTGAGCTTTCGCGGTACCTGAACATCCATAATGTTTCTGCAACTCAGTCCCTAAATATTTACCAAAATCCTGGTATGTTGGTATCACAACCAGATGTATTGTATCAGCAACTGTATTGGCAAGTATATGATTCCAAAACTTCTTTGATCAAAATGATTCCAAAATGATTTAGTTACATAGACTGTTTTTCCGGACATTCTAGAATAATAACCACATTTCAAGTAACTAAGTGGGACCGCATATCAGTATGTGGCGTCACCACCTGTTGGGCTAAGTATTTAAACATTACAGACAACAGAGGGTTGTTTACTTGTCACATTGGCAGAAGACAAGCTTTTTTGGCCTTTTTAAAACAAAAGTACAGCCTTTAAGTTAGTTTGGGGTATTTGTCAGTGTTTCTAATAATCCCACCATGTTGAATGTTAATAATACAAACAGTATGTGATCTGTTGTGTTGCAGACACCGAGTGAAGCTGACCCCAGGGGCCCAGAAGAAAGGCAAAGGTGAATATTGAACCATTGAATAGATAGTGCACTTGTCACAAAACTAAAATGTCACACATCTGCAGCTGCTCGCACGGCCGTGTTGAACTTCATGAAGTCCAAAGATGCGTCTCCCAGAGAAAAGGACCTTTTCCGCAGCGTGAAGGTAAGAGATTGCATTAATATACAACTATATATTTCTGCACTAGAAAATACTAACCCTATACTATTTATTATAAAGGCAGATATTTTATTTTATGTTATTCAGTAGAGAGTTTTGTATAGAGCAGTGTTCATTTACCTTGTGCTGTGTGCTCATTCCTACTGTTGTGATGAAAAACTGAAATTTCCCCACTGTGGGACGAATAAAGGCTATCTTAATCATATGAACTGTATCAGACCCACACTGTGTCCTCTCCTCACTCCAGGACGCCGACCTGTCCAGAAACATGCCCGGGAAAGTTAAAGTGTCAGCTCCAAACCTCCTCGCTGCCAAGAAGAAATGACTCAAATACACACGTTCTCACCCAGATTGTAATTAGATTTTTGTTCATAATAAAAACAAGTGACTTTCTGAAGCTGGTACAGTGTACGCTTTATTCACCATACAAAATCAAACATTGTCCTTTTGTGCAAAACATTCGGTTTAGTTTAGACTGTAGCGAAGCAAAGACACGTTCAAACATATGTACATCCACACACACAACATTCAAGTTGTGTTTAAATAAAAGCATATTTCTGGTAAATTTTGATACAAATGTAAAATTCTTAAAAGGAGATATGTAAATCGTGACAAATCCTCTCATGTGAGCGTTTAACTGCAACACTCATTCGTTTATAGTTCCAGACACGCTACTATCAGGAACCTCTGCCATAATCATGTCCCCCCACCCCTTCTGTCTAAATGCTACAGCCTCAATCTTGTTATGAAATATCACATTACTCAAATGTGGGAGAAGCATGGGTTCCACCAAGTTTTCTTCTGGACAGGTGTGAAAACAGTTGTAGAATTAAAGCTAGGGTTCTTAACTTTTTCATAAATTCTACATGATCTTTCCTCTTGCTTAAGTAAATGGTTTGTGAACAAATCAGCCTTCCGCATGCTTATTTCACCCAATTAAAAAAACATCTCTTGCATACATGTAAGAAAAAGCCCTAGGAGTCACTAGTTGACTGAATGGGCTGACTGAGAGAGCGATGTTTTTACTATATAGCTCTATCTCTAAAGTTAGGTACCCCAGCTTTAATGATGGTGGCCTCTCTGCAGATGCAACTCCTGGTGATGTCACATTCATGTTTCCAGTGTGAATGGACAGTTAAATGCCACACTGCGGAACATTCCAGGCCAAAGGATCACTGAAACTCTTTGTGAGAAGCCTTCCATTTTGGATTTGTGTGTTTGTGATGTCACTAAGAACAAACAGACCAGTTTATTTTTTCAAACTTTAAGCCAACGTTAGCATTCATGAAACAACCTTGTATTTAGTCACAAAGCTTAAATATCCAGGATAAACAGAAAAACGTGGAACATTTTATTAGATTGCAGTTTTCTCAAGAAATTGTTGTCCTAATATTAAGTCTTTATGTTGCGATCACGAGCAGCCCTCTAGGCCAGTCCAAGTCCAGTCCCATGCAGACTTCTCTGTGGTAGTCCATCTGCCCCCACATCCCCCACACTCACAGACCACCGCAGCAGTCTGACCTCTGCAGGTGCTCCCTGGATGAGGCTGTGGTCCGCGGCGTCAGGAGCCCAGTGTGTTGCTCTGCCTCGTCCTCTGCTGCACCAGCTGCAGCAGGTGTTTGGGCAGACAGTCCCAGGACCGGGACAGCAGGTCGCGGTGAGCAACGATGGAGTCCACACTGAACCTGTGAGCAGAGGAGCAGAAGGACAAGTGAGTGTCAAGAGCATGAGTTTTTATAAAACTACAAAAACCATCTGTTTATATTGTGCTGATGTTATTAGAAGAGTGCTGAGCACAGAAAATGTGGCAGGACTCTATATTTACAGCTACAACGGGAAAACTGAGTCAAAAGATGGAAATGACCCTGTGCTACAATCTGGCAACATGCACTGTCCAACCACTGGGTTTTATGAGTTTTTCCTTGCCGATGCAGGAGGGTTTGTTGGACAGTTAGTGTCCAACAAAAAGGATGTGGTGATGATCAGGACACAACATGTATGGACATTTATCAACATGTGTTTAAATGTGTGTAAATGTGTTTAAACTGTTGATTCTCTGACTTGTGTTGGTGATTTCAATGGTTTTGTTAAGTCCTCTGAGATGACTTCTGTTGTGACTTAGGGCTATGCAAGAATAAATTGTATTGTATTGTTGTATTGTAAATAAACCAATAAATACAAATACAATCTCAGATGTCAAATTCAAAGTTGTCTGTTGTTTACATCCAATGTCATATTCAGGATCTCCCCGAACTCTGCTACGGTGAATCAAAATTGTTGTGCATTCCCTTGAATCCGACGATACATAGGTCCCAATGTACCAATACAATCAGGCGAATATTGCAACAACAATAATCCAACTTTGTAAAGAGAAATAATTTGGAATAACTGAATTTCTTGTGTCTCACTAGTGAGATGATGATTTTTTTTTTTAAATATGTCAGTGTTCTGTCTAATATAAACATCAATGATCACCTGAAGAGCGACTTGGGCTGGACGTAGAAGGTCAGGAGTTTGTTGCTGTGAGCCTGTGGAGCACACTCTGGTATTAGCGCACACGCGCACACACAGACGCACACACACAGAGTCAGTACTCTATACTCACAGCTCTCTGGTGGGACAGCAGGTTGTTGGCACATCCTCCGAACACAAACACCTCCCCGTCTTCTCCGGGACAGGCGGTGTGCCACAACCTGAACACAGAAGCATTTCAATGACACGAGCTTAAACAAAACGACACAACATGACACATGGCCCAAACATTGTTATGCCTTGAGGATCCAAAACCCAGTGTGGAGCTCTGTACCTTTTGTCTCGTCTTTATCCATATATTGACATTTCCAAAGTTCAAACTATATTTATAATAATTGGCACGTGTCGGATTATAACCACATCAAAGCACAATGTGTCCTTTACATCCTCAAATCCATCGACAGTAACTTGTTCTATCACTGTTTTTCACATGCTGTATTATTGACCTCTGTAGCATCTTTAGATCAGCTTTTTCAGACAAAGAAGATAAAAAGAAAGCACTACCCTCACTCAGCAGAGTCTTTAGGCCAGTATGTAAGACAGGCTTTCCAATAAGACAAATACAGATGCGAGAAGCCCAACATTTCTCTCTACTTTTTCTGTCCAAGGGTGTTCATAGGCCGCAAAAAACAGAAGCCTATAGTCCCGCAATTACGGTACATGTATTTATGAAAAATTAAAGTCAGGTACCCTGACTCTAAGCAGAAGTTAGTGTGAGTTACCTGGGCTTATCACTGTGGCTGTGTTTGAATGGCTTCCATTCGTTGCTGCTCACACAGTACAGCCAAGCATCACCTGGACACACACAGACACGCACTTTATGAATTGTACTGATGCAATGATACAAACGGTTCATATTTTGCAGACCTTCTGTCACAAACACATGCCCCTGCTGCTTCTGCCTAAATGTTTCCGTCTCCTTTTATTTATATCTTGATATTGAAGCATATACAGCTAGCTAAGAAACATAGCAGCTACTCATAGTGTATATTTTGTGCGCTCCCTGTGTGCTACTGTCTTGCGCTGCAACATTGAAATTTCCCCACAGTGGGTCGAATAAAGGGGCTTATCTTATGATGAATCCTCATGTGTTCTGCCTTTTAAATAAAAAGTATTCACTCAGTTTTGAGATTTTCTCCAGTCAAATTAGCTAGATAATGTTTGATAATGACATGAAATCAAAACAACGGAATGTCATTTCTTTTGACCATATATTTTCAGCGTGAAATGAGTGCACATTCTGAAACCAGATTGCATGGACTGAAGAAGAGTGATGTGGACTCACTCAAGGTCTCGCGCTCAGTGGTGAAGCCTCCAAACAGGAAGATGTGGTCCCGGGATACTGGGGTGAAGGAGTGCCATGAGCGCCCCACCGGCCCCTGCGCGGGCACACACCTGAGGACACACACACACAGCTGAGGATACACACACACACACACACACATCGGAGGACACAAAGTTACATTTCCTGGATTGTCACTGTCCTTGGACCCTCCTGTATTAGCAAAGAACCACTCATACCTAGCATGGTCTTATCATATAGTACAGGTTTCATTTTGTACTAAGGGAAATAATGTGCCCTGTGAGTCACTATTGGATGTTAAAAGTACACGTTATATACGTTTTGATGTGTTTGAAAGTATTTTATATTGGAAAACAAACAATATTGTTGAGTCCCTGTATGTGGGACTTGTGTAGAAGGTGCAGAGTGCTTACAGCTCGTGCCACTCCCATGTCTCCAGGTCCAGGTAGTGCAGGTCGTTCAGCCTGTAGTTCTGTGGTGGAAACAGAGCGTGAGGAAACATCATGTGCAGTATTTTGCCCGTTCACACAGTGATCTTACTTTGAAGCGGCCTCCGAACACATATCCTCTGTTCCCCAGCGTGGCACAGGCGTGAGCGGCCCGCGGCGACGGAGCCGGGCCCTGCACACACGCACAGAAACGCCAAAACAACACCCAAATGAGAACGGACATGATTTTACAAGCACTGAATAAAACTACAACGCTAAAATTAAAACACAGTAACTCCAACAGACTTTAGAATCAAGAAAGTTGGAAAACATTGGAAAAAAGTAAATTTGTCTGAGCCACTTATTTCAAGAAATCTGTCAATGCAGCAAGACATGGATGACAATTTCTTTCACCCTTCATCTAAGTATGAATAAATATTAATTATGGACCTGTTAAATTGAAACTCTGGTTAGACCCGCCCGTACTCTGTCCTGCAGCTTCATGATTGGTACATAAAAGTACAGTGTACAAAGATCAGAAAAATATATAATTTATTAAAATGAAATGCAATTCAGAATGGTTACGGCTCACATTAAATATCTTTATTATTTTAGTTCTAGTGTAGTAGATACATTTGTATACTGCTGCCCAGGAAATGCTAAAAATAATCCACTATAAACATATACAGCACAACATAATAATGAAATTGTAGACTTTCCGCAGTCTGACTCTGTACTGACCGTGGTGATGGGCTGGCTCCAGCTCTGGGTCTCCAGGTCTAACACGTGCACGTGGTTGTTCCAGCCTCGGCCCGGACTGTCCCACTGCACGACACAACCGCACACACTGCTCACTATTCACCAACACGTAAACATTCATGTGCTCTAGAGTGAGAATATTTACTCTGGAATGTCATGATTTATAATGTGAAGTTTGTCAAATAGAAAACATGGATAAATGTGTGTAGTGGATAAGGAGAAGGTAACCACAGTAATTGGGAATAAAAAATCTCCTTGTATCTGCGCTCCATTGGTAAAACTAATTATGAAAGTGCGTCATCTAAAATGTTAGCTGATCTAGTGAGGTGGGGATCTACCAAATTCTTTTTTTGTATTTCTATAGTTAAAATTAGCGTGCTACATTTTCTTCCCACATCCATCTCCAGCCCATTATTGACACAGGCTTCACAGTGCTGTTACTAAATGTATGCATAATTAAATAAATTATTTGTTGGAATTGCTGTCCCACTATGTCCAAGTTAACGCCACCTTTTTGCTTCGGTAAATATTTTAGTTTGTTTTACATTTAAAGTGTCTTTTTATGCTGTTGTTTCTGTGATATAGTCTGCATCTTCATATTCTATCCTTTGGGGAGTGTACAGCTGTTTTGTCTCTTGTAGTTGTAAATGTACAATATAAATAAACTTGACTTTGACAGTTTCTGGAAAGGCAAAAGGCCACTCCTTTAATCATCCACAATGCAACGAATTAGCTGCAGGTGAACTGTCACTTCCAAACAGTAAACGATATTCTGCATTTGTGTCCCCGGGACTAGTGAGTGTACGGGACATGTATCGGACAATACTGTACCCCGAGCGAGGAAGACTCGTCGTATTCAAAAGTGCCTCTGTGCTCGTGGGCAGCGTAGCCGTATCCACCGAAGTACACGATCCTGCGGGACACAAACAGGTGAGACGCTGAGGCTTGGTGCTGGCAGCGTTCAGACGTGGACAGGCCGACTCACTTGTTCTTGTGGACCCAGCAGCCCAGCTTGTCCTTGGCCGAAGGCGGGGTCCCCTTCAGCTCCGTCATCTCCTCCCAGGTCAGGAGGTAGGTGTGCAGGGGCAAACGGTAAATCTGAACCACAGACGCATGTTGATTGATTTATTGAATTTATTAGTTTGAGCAGAAATACACATCTATAAGTATTTGCAATATCTATCCATCTAATTTAAACATAACATCACAAAAATGCACCATGTTGGTGTTTCCTCTGGCGTTGTGGCCTCCGAACAGGTAGAGCACGCCGTCCACACAGGCCGCGCAGCTGCCGGACATGGAGGTGTGCAGGTTGCCCCCGGTAACCAACTTGGTCCTGAGTGTGAGGAGAGGGAGAGCTGAGAGGGAGAGCTTTATGCTGAATGTTCCCAGGTGTAATTAGAATAAATGGGTCATCAGAGTCATAAACTGTTTGGCAACAGCTTAACGAAGAGTGAGGACATTAGTTTGGGCTCAAAAAGGTTTCTCAGATTATCATCGAGAGTTTTAGAGAAACAGGGAAAAAAGAGGTTTGTTCTCTGTTCAGTTCTAATCAAACAAAAAACCATTTAAACAGCGGTTGGATGAGAACAAAAGCAATCAAGTATTCTGAAAATTTTACGTATTATACTAAATTAATGGCCAAAATATCTCAGAGATGACACGTTACAAAAGGACAAACTATAGTTCACCAGAAACTTTACCATTCTCGGGTCTCCATGCCGTACATCCAGATCTCATTCCTGGGCAGGTACAGGTCAAAGAAGCCATGGCTTTGACCATTCTGGGAATATAGATGAAACAATAAATGAACAATGCACGTACTACATAGACTTCAAATCAAAATGCATGATAGGAAATACAAAGCACGCGATACAAACTAAATGTTAAAATACAACTTGAACTCATACAGAATACATTTATCAAAAAAACACACTGTCAATATGTGTTATTACTGTAGGAGAGGGTTAAGGTCCTCCATTTTCTTCTTTTCTGTCTGAAAAAAACTGATCTAAAAGATTTTTAAAAATCTATGCGTGTGAAAACTAGTGATCAAACCAAATTGTTTTCAAAGCCAAACATCATTTGATTAATTAGGCATCCCCCCGCACAAACTCAATCCCCCCCCCCATAAATTTTCTGTACCTTCTCTCCTCCTATTAACAAATACCAGTGTTGACTTTATGTGAATGAGGCAGACAGAGGTGATGAGCGCTTGGGGAGCTCCGCAAAGTATAATATATTGTTTGTTCTCAAAGTTTATATTATAAATCGCACAAAAGACAAGCTGTTGCTCTTGGATCCATTTACTGAAGTAAACAACTCCAGGCCTGTTTTTGAGAACGAACAATGTAACCTGGGCTCACCTTGTATCCTCCCCACACATAGAGGGCGCTACGGTCCACTACTGCCACATGGCCGCTCCTCTCTCCAGGGACGTCACGCTCGAAGGGCTCTGAGGCCTCTGTTTCCAGGGCCCGCTCATCCTCCACCTCCACCTCCACCTCGTCCACCTCGTCCACCTCCTCCTCCTCCATCATGCCCTGCTCTCCACAGGGGGGCTGGGGGTCTGGGTCGGCGTTTCTTTCTTTTAGAAGCTCCTGGTGGAACACACAGCAACACGTTTAGGACTTGATTTGAATACTTTATTTTGAGACATACAGAAAGCACTGTACTCACACACAGGGGCAACAAGAGAATACAGAACAAAACAAAACAAAGTTACAGGGAAGATGTGTACAACATATTATTATTTAAAAACAACAATTCAATGATACAGTGACAAGAGATAGATTTACAGAAAAACTAACATATGTTTGACTGCGTTAAACACAAAACAATGCTTTGGGGTCGCACGCCCAGAACACCATTATAACAAGTTCACTTTTGCAGCTCAGATGATTTAGCGGTCAGCTGAACTTGAGAATACACAGAGTATACACATTAGGGCTGTTTAGTATTTCGATAACGATATTATTGCAATACTTTTGTCTTTCACATTGCAATCTGCATTGAAACGCAAGAGACAAATAACAGAAAATAAGCACAACATTATATATTTATATACTTTTATGTTTGTTTGTTGTTCTTGTTGAATGTTGACGTGTCTGTCTGTTTTGTTGTCTTTAATAAATTGCGCATCTTTTGGATATGGATATTGCCCGCACCAACATTGCGATAACGATAGTTTTTTTGTTATATCGTGCAGCTCTAATACACATTTCAAATGATTGTAATTAAATTTAGAGCCTTTAGCTTTTAAACTCCAGAACTAGACTGTACAATAAGTGACTTTAATGACCTGCACTGCTATACTCACTTTTAATTTGTTTATTGTACATTAAAATATAGTCTCTTTGGTGCAAAATCTTTTTATCTTTTAACATGTCAGCACACTTTCTGTCTTTTTGCACACCCCAAGTGATCCTATCTATGCCAATTGCCAAATGTAAATGTCTCCGTTATGAGATCAATAAAATCTTATCTTACTATGGAGGAAACTTCTGTTCCACGTCAAATAGGCCGACACAGCTGTATTCAAGACCAGACTGAAAATGTCCCTCTTTGATTTAGCGCCATGTTGCCCAACCTTTTTGAGCCTTGGCAACTTTTTCATTAAAAACAATTACATGGCACACCACCAGCTCAAACCGATGCAGACAAGAAACTCTGCAGCTTTTCAACAAATCATTCTCATCAGATAGAAAATCAAATAAACTGAAATCCTCTAATCGTTCCACATCAGGTGATATTGGATCATTTCCAAAGGTACATCAAACAACATCTCAAAGCACACCAACAAGCCTTTTGTGGAGTTTGCATGTTCTCCCCGTGTCTGCATAGGTTTCCTCCAGCTTCCCCTACCACTAAAAATATGCTCAGTAGGTCTGGCATGAGCCTCTTGTACGACAACCCCGCCCCCGTCTGTGTGTGGAGTGAGAGACAAATGGCCACAACAATTGTAAAGTGCTTTGTGACTCTGGTCTGTGAAAGGCGCTATATAAATAAAGAAAACTTACTGATTTAGCAAATGGCTAGTTCAGGTAAGAATCACTTCTGATGGATCGCCCATTGAACGGCTTTTAATACTATTATTATTTGCCCATGCACCAATGCATATGTGTGCAGTCTACTGTGTACTGTTTTTCATCCACAACCGCAGTTACTTCATTTTGAGTTGCTTTTGGTCCAGAATAATGTAAAATACTTCTGTTGTTTCAGGAAGTTATTGTTTGTTAAATGAACTAAAATGATCGTCATTATGATGTAGTTTGTGTGACAAAGTCTACTGCTGAAACATGTACAATATCTAAGTCAGACTGACTTCTTCACAGTCTTTGTCTGATTAGAAGAACCTTCTAAGCCTTAATCCTAAAGAAGACATAATGAACTTTTTTATTTATTAGGTAGTTTTTGTGAGTGGAATAGATTTTCAAGTATTTGCTTGTATGACCTATAATTTGAATAAAGATAATGCATAATTCAAGAAAATTGAAATAAAACATCAAATATGCCTGAATTTAAGAATAAATTCCAATTCAAAGAATCCAAATCTATTCCTCCTGCGGCCTGTGACTTGCTGCTGATGGAGGGAGGGAATGCTGCGAAGCATACCTCGAACTCGCCCACCTCCCACTGGGCTATGGCTGCTCGCCTTAGGGCCTGCACCCACCACAGCACCAGGCCACACGCACTCTGATTACGTGCCTCTTCCGTCAACACAGACCGATCCTGTGAAGCAGCGGACTGTGACCACATTGAAAACACATAATGAAGACTGACAACATGGATCTATGGTTGTTAAATATTATTTGTAAAGAAAACACTTTATGTGGTAGCTTTGCAGGCCACACCCACTTTCTTACAGTGAGGCCCTAACGAGATCCTCCTTGGGGCCCCAATTGTAAACAGCTTTGTGACTCTATTCTGTGAAAGGCGGTATATAAATAAAGATTACTTACTTACTTACATATATGGGTTGTTAAGACTTTCGCTCCTCAGTAACGCCTTTCTGGGCTATAATTCTGGCCAGAACAGCTGGTGGACCCCAGGAAGACTAGCGACCACTTGTGGAAGCGAATGGGGATCCAAATAAATAAATACACAGAGCTTTTGTGAGTGGATTTTGCACATTCTCCTCCTGTCTGATTTCCTCCAGGTGCTCAATACCACTACAAGGGCAGCACAGTGGTCCAATGTGGAGCACTGTTCTTTACAGCAAAAAGGTTCGGGCTTTGATTCCACCTCCAGACAACGCCTTTGTGTTTGCATGTTCTTCCTGTGTCTGCATAGACCAGGTGCTCAGTCTCTCGGTCTCCCGTACCAATACAAATATGAATGAGTGTGTATTTCTGAGTGACTGACTACAGATGGAAATGAACTAGCTCCTGCTGTTCATTAGTCATGAATCCCATCTAAATAAAATCAACACCTAAATACAATATAGGTACAAGTCTCCATGTAGCCCAGACCAAGGCTGGATTACCCCTACAGCAGCAATGACCATAGACATAGTATTGACATGAAAACACGGCTTCTTTTTGTCGCCATTACACTCACTCGTATATATGTATATTCACTACACTGGCGTGGAACTCAAAAGTATGAAATGCTAATTAAAGTAAGGCACACCAGCTTTAAGGCTGGTCTGTGTGATGCACGTAACTGGGTGTGTTTCTATCTAGACTGAAATGTATCTGTGGTCATCCAGCATTTTGGCAGCATTTTGTACATCCACAGAGGCTAAACAATGGCTAAGATAATGGGATGTTTACAAAAGCGATGACTATGCAGTGGAGAAATGCAGGAGTGTCACCCAGGCCACTCGGTCGTCCTCAGCTGACTGACCTACTTCCCGCCTGAGTCTCTATCAGGTCAACAATCCAGCGACATTAGACTCAGAGTAATGAGAAGATGTTGTATTAAACATTCACAAGCAGTTAACGAACAGGATGTGGGCAGGTTTAGGTCACAGATCCATGGTTTAGGCCACAGATCCATGGTTTAGGCCACAGATCCATGGTTTAGGCCACAGATCCATGGTTTAGGCCACAGATCCATGGTTTAGGCAGGAGCAGCGGGAGGAGGGTGTGATCAGCTGTGGCTACAAAGACAACAACAGTCGCAGCGTGCGCGGAAGACAAATACACAAAACAATACGATAACGCTTTATAACACACACGAATGAGACGCAAACTTACTCACAGTGTGGTGTTAAATGTCCCAGAAGGGTTTGGAGTCGGCCTGACGCTTCGGGTTGTTGCAGAAAGAGGAGATTGTTTGCGGACGTTTCTATGCGCGAAACGGTCCCATATGTATGACGTCATCAGCATTCTTCTTCTTCTTCTTTGTTTGCTTAACGGCGGTTGCGAACTAGTGCAGCGCATTACCGCCACCCACCAGATAGATTGTGCATGTGTCACCTCTATGGCTTACAACTTCCGAATCAGTTTCGTAGCTTGCAAGCTACAGTTCCTAAAACAAAAAAGATAACTTATGCATGCATATTTTAAATTCTTCTAACGAGTCCAGTGTGTTTTAAAAAATCAAACAAATATGTTATCACTCTATGGTCTGATTCTTTAGATAATATGTCTTTTAGGGTAAACTTTTCCCCACAATCCTCTATTTTCCTTTTAAGTAAAATCCTGTCTCTTTTAAACTTTCTGCATTTGATTAAAATATGTTCCACTGTCTCTGACACCTTACAGTCATCACAGTTTCCTGACGGATGCTTCCCTATTAGATGCAATGTGGTATTAAGACCAGTGTGCCCTATTCTCATTCTCGTTAAAATTGTTTCTTCCCTTCTACATCTCATGACCCGACGGCCCTGACCAACCACAGGAGTTATCTTATAAAGACCCCTACCTCTGTTTTCTCTCTCCCATTTCTCTTGCCACAATCCTTTGACATGCTTTACTATGATTGACTTTGCCTCTGATTTCGACACTTTACACTTTACAGATACAGCTGTTGCTTTCAAGGCTTGTTTAGCAAATTTGTCTGCCAGCTCATTTCCCATCAGACCTACATGAGCCGGAACCCAAACAAATGTAACATGTGTTCCCCCAGTCTCAATATTATGCACCAAAGTTAATATCTCACACACTATGTCATATCTTTCACTTACATTACCAGATTTAAAATTCTCTAATGCTGACAATGAATCAGAGCATATTACAACTCTTAGCGGTCTAATTTGTTCTACCCATTGTAGTGCCATAACAATAGCGATCAACTCTGCTGTATAGACTGATATGTGATCTGAGGCTCTTGCAGAAAACTTTATGTCAAACTCTGGTACCACATATGCTATTGCTACTTTCCCTGTATCTGGTTGTTTTGATCCATCAGTAAAAATTTGCACATATCCATAGTGGCTATCCACATACATCATAGCCAACTGTCCACTATCTCCCTGAAAGCTTCTCAACTTGTCATGCAAGGACGTGTCTGCATATGGAACTGGCAGCAGCCATGGGGGATGCGGTGGATAAACCACTGATGAGCTTAGTTCCAGGTTGTCTATTGCAGCTTGCTTTGCCTTTTTGTGTATACTTGTACTGAACGACTCTCTTTTACATTTTGCTTGCTCCCACGTTTGGACGAGGACACTTTTGGTTGGATGATCTTCCATATGTGTCTTTAAGTGAATATAATATGACAGTGATAATTGTAAACGTCTCAGTTCAAATGGCATCTCACCAACTTCGACCTGAAGCGCTGGCATCGGGGAGGTTCTCATTGCCCCTGAGCAGAGTCTTAGGGCAGTCCCCTGGACAACGTCAATCTTCTTCAGTTCAGTTTTAGCAGCTGATCCATAAGCCAGACATCCATAATCAACAATAGATCTAATTAAACCAACATATAATCTCTTCATTGAAACTAAATCTGCTCCCCATTCCTTACAGCACAAACATCTAATTACATTGATAACTTTCTTACACTTGCCTATTACCTTTTCAATATGGTTACGCCAAGTGAGTTTAGCATCAAAATGTAACCCTAAAAACCTCATACAACTAACTCTTTCCAGATCTCTACCAAACATGTCAAATTTGAATTTCTCATCGATCTTCTTAAGGAGAAAAACACCACTTTTGTTTTCTCAACAGAGAACCGGAATCCCCATTTCCCTGCCCATTCTTCAACTGCATCAATTGCTTTTTGAAGACTCTTAACAGTGAACCCAATGTTTTTTCCCCTCTTCCAGAGAGCACCATCATCTGCAAATATTGATTTCCCTATACTCCTGTCAATTGTTTGATATATATCATTTATCATAATAGAAAATAAAATTGGTGAAATAACACTTCCTTGGGGCACACCATTATCAACCATGACACACTCAGAGTAGCAATTATTTATTCTAACCTGAATTTGCCTATTATTCAAAAAGTCTTTGATCCAGTTATATACTCTCCCTTTTATTCCCATTTTCCTTATTTTGATTAGAACTCCATCTTTCCAAAGCATATCATATGCCTTTTCAACATCAAAAAATACAGCTGCAACTATTTCTTTACACGCCTGAGCCTTCCGAATATCACTTTCCAGCTTAATAACAGGGTCCATAGTCGACCTTCCCTTCCTGAATCCACTTTGAAATGGTGACATCAAATTTCGTGATTCAACATAAAAAGTAAGCCGTTCCACAATCATCCTCTCCATTACCTTACCCAGATGGGATGAGAAAGCAATTGGTCTATAGTTTGAGGCCATAGTTGGATCTTTCCCTGGCTTTCTGATAGGAATAATTACAGCCATCTTCCAGTCTTTTGGACTTTCCCCTTGTTCCCATACCTTGCTAAACAGCTCAAGCATCACATTCATACCATTCTTACCAAGATGTTTTAACATTGCATAGCTTACCTGATCTTTCCCTGTAGCTGTGACCTTAGCCTTATTTATAGATTTTTTGAGTTCGTTTATTGAAAAGCTAGCATTCAAGCAGTCATCACCATCCTCTACGCACTCTAACAAACACTGGTGTTGTTGCTTTGTTTCCTTTCTTCGATTCCTTTCCGCTTCAGTCAAATTAAACCCACTATGGATCTTGGCTATAGTTTCTACCATTAGCGCTGCCTTCTCTTCATCTTTCACAGCCACAGTATCATTGCTCTTAAGGACTGGATAGCTCCAAGATTGCCGTACTCCACTCATTTTTTTAACAACCCTCCAGACGTCATTTACAGAGGTTTGCCTCCCAATTGTATTACAATACTTTCTCCAGTACTCTTTTTTAGTCCTCCTGATTATTTTCCTGACCTTGGCCTGCTCCCTTTTATACTCCATATACATCTGGGAGCTTAAGCTCTTCACAAAATCTTTAAACACTTTATTTCTTCTGTTAATTGCTTGTGTACACTCATCTGTCCACCAAGGAACTGCTTTCCATTTCCCATTTCCTACCTTTGTCAACCCAATTGATTCCTTTGCGGCGTCTATTATAGCTTTTGTCACATTCTTATTGAACTTATCCACATCATCCATTACCTCAACTTGACCCATGTTCCTATCACTTATAACTGTGAACATTGCCCAATTCGCCTTACTAAAATTCCACCTCTCAAAGGAAAGTTTTCTAACAGTGCCATTCATGCTGCCCATTCTACTCATTATTGGATAGTGGTCACTTCCCATTGTTGATTCATCATATACTTCCCAGACTATTTGGTCCGCAAGAGACTGAGGTACTAAAGTTAGATCCAATACCGATTGCACATTGAACCCAATTCGAGTAGGTGACCCATCATTCACACACACCAATTCTTTCCTATCCATGAGCTCTTCTATTACCAACCCATTGTGGTCCGTTTTTTCCCCTCCCCAAAGGACACTATGTGCATTAAAATCTCCAAGCCATATTACATTCCTTCCTCCTTGACAGTCAATCGACTCTAACGCATCCATCTCAAGTCTTTTACAAGGGTTATAAAAATTTACTACCGTTAGACAACCCTTTTCCCACCAAATCTCGACAGTTAGATATTCTAGTTGTTCACCCTTACCTAAAACTCTATAGGGAACCCCTTTCTTGATAAAAGTCGCACATCCACCCCCACTACTATCATTTCTATCACTACGCTCACATACATACCCATTTAAGACAAAGCTCAAATGAGGTTTCAGCCACGTTTCAACAATGCAAATAACCACTGGCTTGACCTCTAATTCAGAGATAAATCTCTTGAACTCCTGTCCATTTGCTATCAAGCTTCTAGCATTCCACTGTAAAAAATAAATGTTTTTTTTTTTTTTTTTTTTTTTTTAGTTTTTCCCTTGTGACGCAGGCGTGAGCTGCCGTGAAGATTGCGACCCAGCTACTGGCTTCCCAGATTCATCTTGATTCTTAAGTTCCTCATGAATATTCTCCCACTTGACACCTTTAATACCCAAATATTTCGCAGCACTTTATACAACAATAGCAGTTTTCTCAGACTTGTGTTTTGCTTGTGACGTACAATTAACAACTTCTGCAATAAAGCACAGGAACTCTTTCTTTTTTACCACTAGCACCTCATCATCAGCCCTGATCCTCTCACTTCTCGCTGTATTTGGCCCAGTCGGAACTCTTCTGGCTGCCTCAGCATAGGACATCTTCCCTGCAGTCCTAATATGCTGGATTTCAATTGCCCTCTTCCTGGCGACACACTCTCGGTTCCCAACACTGTGCGCACCCCCACAATTTGTACATTTTCCTGGAACCCCAGTTCCACATGCTCCATAGTCATGCCCTCCTCCACACCGTCCACATGTCTGTGTGCCTTTACAGTAAGCAGCTATATGTCCATATTTCTGGCACTTGTAACACCGCAATGGCGGCGGCACATACAGCCTTACACTGAAATTTAAATATCCTACAGTAACATATTTCGGCAATACTTCTCCTTGAAACTCCACCATTACAGACAGACTCTCTACCTTTTCTCCGGATCTCCATGCATTAAGTCTCTTTAAACTCAATACGCGTCCTCCCTGAATGTTATCCTTTAGTTTCCCCAAGTCCTCGTTTACAGGGATACCATAGATCACACCCCTACAGGTCTCTCCCGTTGCCACTCTTTTCTTACTCTACAAGACTTCTTTCTTACAGACATTTTTTATCTTCAAAGCCTTCAACTGCTGGCTCTCATCTTTACACACTATCATTAAGTCACCATCCGAATGCACTCTAGCTCTAGCAATTTCACCTATTTTCTCACGCAAATATCTGCTAAGAGCGATAGGACCTACCGTTTTAATATCATGACCCTCCTTAAACTTAATCAACACTTTAAATCCTTCCTGGTCCACTTTCCGCTTCACCACTCGCTCACTCATGTCCTCTGACTCACTGCCATGACTTAGCCCTCTCTTTCTGTTACCACACATTTCACCCTCTTCCATGCTATCCTCACTAAACTCCAGCAGTAGTCCCCCCGACCCTGCCATATTGTGATCACTACCAATCTCCTTGGAGATTGGTAGTGATTTTCCCACACAGAACTGTGTTTTTGGGTTTTGTTTTCAAACAATTCACGAGACGAAAAAAAGAAAAACGCTCAACTCAACACCACGGGGCAGCGCAATCAGGCACTTCCGGCTCCTCCCGTCCCGACTCCGTCATCAGCATTGGACGCGTATTTTAGATTTTATTTAAAATTATGCCAGCCTTAATAATGTCAATGTTTTAAAACAAAAATACTATAAAATAAAAGGTAAAAAAGTATCCCAGTTATTTTCAAATAGCGTTGTACACTTTTCACTGCACTGATGTTATATAAAATGGAGTAATATACCGTACAAACAATCAGGAGGATTTCATTTCAATGTAAAATATAAAATAAATCTTCAAATGAGGAGAATCCAAAAGGTGAATCTATCTACTGCCTGTACTGGGATAACTGGTATGGCACCAGTTATTCAACTGTTCATAGTTGAAGTTGAAATTTCCCCATGGGTCAAAGAAAGGCTTATCTTATATTATGATTATGGAAAAATAACATTCACGCAAAATGTAGAAAAAATAGTTTTAGTGATTTCTTCAGTTATGTGATTTTGTATATATATACAAACAACTAATATTAGACAAAAAGTATCTTGCTTTTTATTCTATTCATTTTACTCTTTTGATTTTCTGATTTTTTGTTGTTGGTGAATCGACAAATTTGTAAAATCCTCAGAAATAACTGCTGTTGTTATTTAGGACAATACAACAAAAGTTGTATTAGCATGGACTGTGTTATATTTCTTGGGTCTTCATGATGTACATCTCTCCTGTATTCACGTCTTCTTTGTTCTTTAAATGTGTCGATTTATTGAAGAATAAGAAAATACTACAAATACAATGTGGAGTACATTCCTCAGTGTAGGGAAATGTTGCAAAGCACTATTTTAGAAATCTTAACAAGATAAGTCATATCGTTCTGACAGTGGCTGTATGAGATGCAGATGACAAGGTGTCCTGGATCTGAGATATCCACACACGTTGTCTACACCCTACCGACACCCAAATTTAACTTGCAATATTACATTTTTTCTTCAAAATATATTTGTATAGCATAATGTGTACAAGGCATAACTCAAGGGTGGTGGACAAGAACAGTTTAAAAACATCGGTCAAATGCCAACATTTGTTATTACAAATCTGTATTCCATAAGGACTGGTTATGGTATGTAGGATTTGTGCCTTTCTTAATGGAGGACAATGTAGTAAAAAGTCTGCTCTTTCACATCTATACATGATATACTCATATTGATTGTGTTTTATTATATTTAGACAAAGGAAGCATTTAGTTTTGTTTTTGTTTCAACTGCAGTTCAGAATGAAAGAAAGAACTCTCACCAGACCATCAAGGAACACTACCGTGACGCCGGCCAGTGTCCTCCACACCTTAAGTCCCACCATAGTACTACCAACCACGCCAAAGGCCCAGCCAGAGAGACAACGCCTTCACCCACCACTGCAACATCAGCCCCTAAAACACGTTAAGTTTTTGGGATATTCTTTTTTGCTTTGAACACAGTTTGTGTTGTTCCATATTCCACAATATCCAATAGCTTTAGCAATTTTGATGCACCGTGTATTATGCGCACTGCTCTCTTTACAACACACCAGAGGTTGAAGTGCCGAATAATAATTATTACCCCACACCTCAACACAGTAAGTAAAATACGGCGAAACAAGTGAAGAGTAAAGTGTTTTCAGGGACTTTTTTATTTATAAACTGCTTTGCCTGATTTATCACTGATATACTTCTTGATATTTTTCCCTTCACATAACTAATGTGAGCTATTAGACCAAAAAGTTTTTCATAATATTTCTATGAATCCTTTAAAAACACTCAATGCTGAAAGAATGACTACATTTCTTAACTAACACCGGCGCGCCGGCGGCCGTTTTTATGTTTTTAAATGTTCTGCTGGCAATAGCAGATGTATTTTGAACACCAAACCCCAAAAGCTGTATATCATTCAAAAGATATAACACATAATGTGGGCACAAAATAAATCAATTCCAAAATAGTTTTTTTCCTTTGGGCTTGTGCTGTACAAATAAATCAGCTCTCCTCCCAGCTTGCAATACATCATTCTCTCTGGAACAGTCCAAAGGAAAATTATATCCACTTGTATTTCCCAAAGTAAAATCCATTCTGCAGAAATAATCCAAAAATGTGCATTTATCTTTAGCGAAAAAAACGAAAAAAAAAGAGCACAGATGTTACTCTTTCACTTTTAACGGACTTTTAGCTTTGTTTTTCACCCAAACATCTGGTATCTACGTGTTCCTTAGCTCCTTATCTTTCAAATGAGACTACTCCCGAAAAGCTAGACCAATTTTTGGGTCTGCAAGAGCTCCCGCGAGTACAGCTAGTGCCGCTGTTTGCGCATTGATCACTGATCTTTGTTGTGATCCCAACTTGTTTGCTTTTACTTCCGGGATTTACGATTGACATGTCCTTGTAGCCAATGAGGACAGCTTTCGAACAAGGGGTGGGACAATGGTGTCCTGTCTTATGTAGGGCCTGGACAATTGTGCGTAATGGAAGCCAAAAGACGCTCTCGAAGCTGCAATGAATTTACACTCATAAAAAAATAACTTTGACATTTAAAAAAGAAAAACACACATAGATTAGTAACTTATAAGTACCAATAATAAAAAATATTGTTTTTATGATGATTAAATGTAAGTAAAGATATTTGGCACAATTTGGCACACTTGTGCCAAATTGTGCCAAATGTGCACTACTTGATGAAAAGGAGAAACTGCATAAAAACTATAAAACTTAGAAGTCTGAAACTTTAGACAGTTGTTGTCAACAACACAATGAACAGAGGGTTTGAATATTGTGAACTTACAATGAAGTATGCCTTTTTTAGGGCCTTTAGAAATTGAAAATGTTAGGCGAGGCTAAAAAAAATTGGTTGTTTTCCCTAACTTCAAAGGATGCAGAGGAAAATAGGAATGACAAACATTATTTTAGTGTTTTTTTACATAAACTAGAAGGCTCTAGCTTTAAAATTATGCATCACACAAGCATGTGAGATGTAAGATGTGTTTTTAAATAAGCAAAGACATTTGGGTATGCCAAACTTTTGTGCACAAGCCAAAATGAGGCGGGTGTTAAGAGGTTAATGCAGCCTTCAAAATGCCTGAGTTTTTACCAATTTTTTATTTTTGCTATTTTCTGGTGGATTGGCGCCTGCTGTCAATAAAATAGTATTATTGAGTGCAGAAAAAAAGATTTGACACTTTCATTCGATTAAAATACATCTGTATTATAAAGATTGTAGAAATACATTTTTCTGCACATTGGAGTTTTGTTGGATATCCTACTTGTGATGTCATTGTTTACAAGCAAGAAGTAAAATCATACAATTAGAAGATGGACAAACTCTTACATATAATCATCTTAACTGCGTTTTGTGAATATTAAAATGTAGCTTGTCACCAGTGGCATTCCAGGGGTACCCTGGGGCCCCAGGCAACAGAGTCCTTGGGGGCTCCGATACAAGAACGTGGCAAGTTTTGCATCAGACGAGAAGTTTTTATCTGCCAACTCGTCACTGGGTAGCTGTTGTAGCCTGTACAAGTTGACCGCTTGTGTCAAATCAGTCAGCCCTCGGGGGCCCCCTGCCGGCTTCGGGGCCCCAGGGCCTGCCTTGCCTAATGGCAAGGGTCGCCTCTGCTTGTCACATGCACTTTAAAGCTGGGGCACTAGACTATGAAACCACAACAAACCGCTTCTATCACTGGTCAAAATGACCCAGTTCTGTCAGGAGCCAAACTTCCACCAATCTACTATCAGAAGTCAATTCTTCCAAACATTTACCTTGTGTATGAAAACCTCTGACTCTCTGATGTTATGCATCAAACATTAAATAGATTCTCATTCAATCCTATTATATTTTGAGAAGTTTTCTTGTAATAAATATGAAAAACCTGCCTCAGTGAATGTAAACTTCTGGTTGACTGTATGAATGTGTGACTGCCCTCTGCTGGGCTGATGTTACACTGCACTTCAACACAAACATTCTGATATTTAAATAAGAAATGAATCTCAACAACAACTCAAACTGAATCTGACTTGTTTGGTTTTTAATGTGACTACATATGGATTCCCTCAGTGCGGTCTTCTGTTGAACTTTCTCCGTCCCTCGGTCCTTTGTCCTGGGCTCGTCTGGAGTCATCCATCTACACACTTTCTTCCACTTTATCCTGGGCCAGGTCACGGAGGCAGCAGTCTGAGCAGAGAGGCCCAGACTTCGTTCTTCACCTGCTACAGCTGGATGAGGTGATCCCAGGCCAACTCCTCACTCTCTCTTCACCACAACAGTCCCATAGAGCGACCGCATCACTGCAGACGCTGCTCCTTCCATCACACTGAACAAGACCAGAGATACTGGAACTCCTCCCCTTGCAGAAGGACCCCTACACCACCTGGAGAGGGCAAGTCCTCTTTCTTCGGTCTACACACCGTCCCCAATCAAGCGCTCTGATCTGCAGATTTCTTTTCCTGCACAGACACAATAAGACAGGACAATTACACTGTTGGAATCTCAATCCCCATGAAGATCTACTGCTGTTCTTAGCTCTCACTTGTGTTGGAGATTCTAGTCTCGGTGCCTCTCAGCAGACATGGCTCTCATCTTATCTCCTCTGGTGTACCGCTGGGCTGTGGTCAGGTGCCAAGGGTGTTGCTGTCCGTGGTGCTGAAGTCTTCTTTGTGCCCAAGAGAATTGACGCAGGCTTATTTCATGGGTTAGGAGTGTGCTTGGCTTCTGTCTTATCAAACCACTGGTCTCTTGGGTCAATAGTGGGTGACTAGTGACTGTAAGGGAATTGATGACTCGTAGAAGGGGATAGCAGTTTGTGTAGTTCTAAAACAGAAATAATAAAACCATATTAGATCACCTCTAAAAAGGAATTCAAAGATATTTAAACACAGCTTTCTTTCTTCTAACCTGTAATTTCAAAATCACAGGGTCGAATGAAGCACACACACCTCACCGTTGGTCCAAGGCCTTCAGGAGGTCCTCTTACTTGGGATGAGTCTGGTCTCTTTGTAGCAGGCTTTGTTCCCCTCTTCCTCTGATGTGGACAGCAGCATCCACAGGTCCCTCTCACAAGAATAGATCCTACATTTGGTCAAATACAAGTTTATTCTAATGTACAACTACAAAGTGAACAGCTGTTTTCTCAGATATTGACTTACACATGTGGATCTGTGTTCTGTGGACTACATTTGGCTGGAGCTGGAAGTACATTGTAGTCATTGTAGTTGAAGAAAACGTGGCAGAGATGAAGAGGAGGACTTTTCCAACACTGGACTTTGGTTCTTGTAATGAAAACAAATTCATAACAGCTTATTAGCCGAGGGCGAGGTTAGTATGGAGAAATATCAGACCGCGGCCTTAATGTACAGACCGAGCCGTGGCGAGGTCTGTGCAAAAGAGCCAAGGTCTGATATTTCTCCATACAGACCGAGCAAGCAAGGTTAATAAATGTTTTATTATATGACTATTTTTAATGTATGCAAATATTGATCTCCGACTTGGTTTTCCTAATTGTGTTTTTAGCTTTCTGGTCTGTAACGAAGTTGTCAATCTCATCTAGTCTGTTAGTTAGTTATTTTGTCTTCGTTATTTTCTGTAATTTCTTCTTCTGGCTCGTCAAACTCGTCCGGATAATAGAATTCACTGGAGAATGCTCACAGTTGTCGCCCATTATTTCTTTTTTACCGAGGAAACTCAGGAGAGATATCAATTGTGATACGCACTGTTCGGACCAATTGTCATGGTAACGGTCTAAGATGGGAAAATATTAGACCGGTAATCAGCCAATCAGAGCGCGCGTACAGTCCAAGTCATATAATAATTCAGCTTATTACATGATCATTTGTGTCCACATCAAATCTACTTTGAAGATGTGCCTTCTCTCACTCCCTCAAACGGCTCTTGTTGACATGGAGGAGCAGAGGCTCTACTCAGGGGGAAACAAATTTCGACTGCTTGTCCTGTGGGTTATTCATCAAAGCTCATGATGAGCATACGTGAGGGTGGGAACATAGGTCGAGTCCAAAGCTTTGACTGCAGACGCTGCTCCCTCTTCACCACAACAGTCAGATACAGCGACAGCATCACTGCAGGTCAAGTGTGAACCAGACCCAGACAATCGTCACATGTGTTCTTTAAATAGCTTCACATCCACATTGAGGAAGGACCTGTCCACTACCTAAAGAGGACAAGGCATCTTTCTCCGCAGCAGAGGACACTGACTGAAGACCTTCTCACTTGGGACCAGTTCAAAACTCTTTGTAGAGCAGGATTTGTTCATCTCTTGCTCGGATTTTCAGCCGCATCCACCGCTCACACTCTCAAGGATACATCCTACAACTGGACAAATAGAAATTTGGTGTCACATGATGATCTAATGTGCAAAAACCGCCTGAACGTTCATTATCTCCAGATGTTGACTGACGAATGTGTGTCATCTGTATTCCTTGGACTATCAGTGGCTGGAGCTGGAAGTACAGCAGTAGAAAAGGTGGCAGAGATGACTTGGGTCCCTCTGATGAAAACACATTCATTCAGCTCAAGACATGTTCATGACAGCACAGTGGTTGAGTGGGTAGCACTCAGGCCTCACAGCAAGAAGGTTGTAGGTACAAACCCGTGTCGAGACAGGCCTCTCTGTGGCTGGAAGGGTTTCATCCGGGCGCTATAGGTAAAAATGCTCCCGCAGCTGTAGTCTTGATCAAGCTGAACATCGACATCTGCAGATGGGTCTCTGGAGGATTCACTGCGGCAACCACTGTGGCCCAAACACAGAGGTAATTTGTCTCTACGGGGGACAATAAAGTATACCATGTTTTAAGTCTGGCACGTATCGTGCAACATTACCTTACTATTTGCCCACATTGTCCTGTATTCAAACACAAAATAAACACAAAAAACACAAAAACAGAAACTAAAAGTCCTACTCACCAGTTCCTCATGGTCCATGTCATTTGCCGGGGTAAGAATGTGGCCTCTCAGTGTGTACAGTGAGGATCAGGGCTCCCTCTAGTGGTGCTTCACTGCAGTACAGTGTGGATGATACCATGGATAGCTCCATCAGGGACACATCTATCTGTGAAAACACACCTAATCCTGGAAAAGACTGAGCCTTTCATTCATGAGTTCACTACTTGTTTCAAAGATACTCACTGGGACATGGTGGATGCAGCAGACTCCTGTATCCAACTGGAACACAAATCTAGAAACATACTTATAACATATTTCATGATGACACAGGTTCAGTGAAAGCTGTCACAGTGTGTTTCTTATGTGCTCATGACATGATGAATATACTATGACTTTAATAAGAACTCTGTGTCATGTATCTGTGTGCCTTTCTCAGTGGTGTCAAAGCTGACAGTGTCTTCACTGTTTGTCTTGTCTTCAGCCCAAACAAATGGACTTGCCTTGGACTGCACTGTTTTTATCTAGCGATATTTGGAAACTCAGGGTCATTTCACATGACATTATTCTTTCACTCCTTACACAGGGGTGATAAACTAATAACACACACACACACACACACACACACACACACACACACACACACACACACACCCACACACACACATCCAGGTGTCTAAAGTCACAGCATCCGCACCCCTTTTAAAAGACACTGACAGCTCAGTGTTCTCATTCACACAGGGCACATGGACTTTAGTTCAGACTTTCTCTTTGTCGATGTTTGTGATATTCACTGTGATAGAATGTAATCATAACATCCAGTTCAATACATCCTACAGTACATCATGTACTCATGTACTATCAGTGTCCCGCTCACTGAGGCGCTGAACCAACTCAAATCGCCACATGTTGTGGTCAACACATAAAGTCAAATGTTGTACTGTGCTGTGTATGTAGCTGTGTGCGTGGGAGAGGGAGGGAGGGTGAGTGAAGGAGGGACAATGTACCTCCATTTTGTACAAAAGCCTTACCATCAATAAAATTGATCTTTTTGAATTAAAACAGTTGATTCCTCAACTAGACTCCCAGGGGGAGAAGAAATAACTGAAGAAGAGCTCATGTGTATCATTGGAATGATTTGACAAATTAAGTAAGGCTCAAGAGATCAGAGCACCAAACCTGAAGATGGCGCTCTTCTCTCCTAATGACCCTCCTAAGCACTAGAGCAGGGGTGGCCAAACCTCCAGTAAGTTGCAATTATAAGGTTTATTAGAGCAGACTAGTATGAAACCATCCTAGTCACACTTGAAGGACACATACTGGTTTGGTCTTATCTGCCATTTGAAGATAGATAAAAGTGGCTCCTTCTAAAGCCACCACCCCTTCATGCCCCAAATTAGACCCTCTGATGGTCCAATGTGGCCCTCGGCCCCCAGCTTGGCAGCCCTGCTCTAGAGTGAAGACAAGGACAGGCGTACTACATGTATGCAGGAAGCCACACTAGAGTCATATTTCATCCATTTTCAAATACAATAAAGTCATTGAGTCATTTTAGAGTTGTTCTGGTAGTTTGTGTCTGTTCTGTTCCTACATAGAATTTCTTTGCCTTGATTTAGAACAAAAAACACAGCAAAGCAGTGGGTATCGCACCGGCAACCATCAATAATCAATCAAACTTTATTTGCATGAAGCATTAAGGGCTGGTTATTGGGCGACTCCCCAGAGGAGAAAGCAATGAGTGCTCTGGAGGACAGAGTGAGGCTGCAGTACTCGGCTCACATCGACTTCATTTGTTTACTTACTGCTCATGCTCAGTGTGTTTTTCTAGAAAGACTGCTCAGGGATTCATGTGTGTGGAAGTCCTACAGAGTTTTCTTTGCTTTCTCCTTTTTCAAACAAACTACTGACACTAGAACAAGGGTCTTCAAGCTAAAGCACGGAGCTCCCAGTGGCTCTGAGCGCTCTCAAAGTGGCTCTGTTCAGGAAATCTTCAATCATGGTTGAATCCTGCTGTGGAACGACTCAGTATTTATCATGTTCTGCACTAATACACGGAGAATGTTCTAGACACATCTATGGCTCCCTTTTTTTGTTTTTTTCAAAGTTGCAGTAAAAAAATCAATCAATAAATGGAGAATGTTCAGAGGTGGAATGACCTCCTCTGTGACCTCCTCTGTGGCCTCCTCTGTGACCTCCTCTGTGACCTCCTCTGTGACCTCCTCTGTGGCCTCCTCTGTGACCTCCTCTGTGGCCTCCTCTGTGACCTCCTCTGTGACCTCCTCTGTGACGTCCTCTGTGACCTCCTCTGTGACCTCCTCTGTGGCCTCCTCTGTGACCTATACCATACCATACCATAACATCATAGGTTAACATGGAAAAAAGTTACGCGCGTCTGCTGCACGTATAACGCGTACGTGCTGTAACGCGCGATGTGTAAATTAGCAGTAATATATTCTTTTACAAAAACAAAATTGAAGACACTATGGGCATGGTAAAACAGTAAAGCACATAGAAGCAGCTCATGTTTTTGAAGACTCAAACGATTTTAACCCAGGAGGAAGGTGAAAGATCAAAAGGATGTATTTCTGCCTTGACAACACTGGTGAGGGGTGCACAAGGTGAAACAGGTTGAGAACCACTGGCTGCAGGAGTTAATACGCTGCAAGGCACATTAAAGGCAGTTGTTTTGAACCTTCAGTGTATATGGAAGAGGCGACGGGAGGTTAGAGTAGAACAACATTTTGTGGTAATGATACCACTCTCTTCTCTCTTTTTATGTGGGTATAACTTCCTCACACATTTCCCCATTGTACAATGGTAGAACGGAACAGAGATGAGGAAAAGTACAGAAATGTGGTCTCTGCTTTGACCAGCAGGTGGCAGCACAGACCACTCATATCGCCAAGGTCCAACAGTGGTGCGCTGTCATGTAAGGCCGTGTTAGTGAAGTATGTTATTTTAGCAGTGAATGTGTTATAACGTAAATAAACCAGACAGCTCCTTCACTGCTATTTTACCCTCAAAGTAAGTTAGTAAGAAATAGTGTATTGCCATTCCTTTAAAATAAATGTTTTGCCAAATAGAGATAAAACAAAATAGAGGTAAGTACATATAAGGATTTTGGCTTGATGAAAAAACATTTATTTTTTATCTTTTCAAAATTGTGTTGAAGTTTATATCAAGGACATGATTCTGTTAGTGAAATAAATCCTGATTTCCATTGAATTATCCAATAATCTTTTCTTTCTGTTTTAGATTAATATTATTTATATGCAGCGTCTTCATTGTTTTATCACAGTTTCACCAAAGTCCTCATTGTAACTTTATGAAAACGCATAGATCATAGAGTATAGAGTAATGTTGTTTTACATTTATTTATGTCAGACACACCGGCCTGATTGTCCAACATGTTTAGGGTGAGCATGAAAATACTCACAAATGCAAACAATGTTTTATCTCGTATTTTTTAAAATACAAAATAAATACTTTGTCGTTAATGTGTTCCTCTGAAGTGGCATACACTGTTAATTGAATATGTAGGATAACATACATCCTACTGCCTACCGCCTCTGTCCATGGGTCCATTTACAGAGATAATAATACAGAGGACATAATTCAGAGGGCTGCAAATAATCAAACCTTATCCAATAGGTACATTTGCTGGATCTACAGCCTGTCTGTCTGTGAGAGTGGATCCCTCTCTCATTGTGGGCCTCCCTCAGGTTTCTACCTATGTTTCCCACTGGGTTTTTGGAGCTATTCTTTGCCAATGTATATGGTCTAAGGAGAGTCGAGATCTGGGACATTTACAAACATTTATCACCGTTTATGGACATTGGTCATCCTGTTCCCTTTGGACCAATGTTATCTGTTTGTTATGATTGTGTTTGAACTGTTCTCTGATCTTGTTGCGAGGCGGTAAGAAAAACCAAGTGCAGACAATAAAAAAGACAACTCAGGATTAACTGGGCGAGGGCGGATGAGTAGGAACAAGGGCAAGAGTATGAACAGTATCAATGGGCGCGGAGTACAAGGACAGGCAGAAAAAATACACATAAGATGTAACAATATACACATTTATGATCTGGAACCAGGGAGCTTGAATCCTGTTGAGTGCAGAGTGGGTCGAGCTGTGCAGAGCAATTAGGAGCTCCCACACACCTGTGTGGACCCCGACCAGTGAGGGTGGGTCCCGGCTCAAATGTCCAAAATGACGTGCGCTGACATACTTGCAATACCAAACCGGGCCGATGACGGTGAACCCCGAATAGGAATTTTTCAATGTTATTGTAAGTATCTGCACGAAAACGAAAACGACTTTACAGGATGGTCCAAAAGTTGGCTCTTGGCCTAACACGTGTGTCAATGCTGAGGGGAGTGAATTTTTTTGGACCAGTCGAGTTGAGTCGCAGTGGAATTTTGAAGACAGCAGGACAGCAGGACTCGTTAAATGAATTGGGCTAGTGCCCCATTCATTTAACGAGTCCTGCTTGTGCACGTCATGTCATGAAAGGACAACTCCACAGGGACAGTGTACTTCATCACATTGATAACAATCCAAATACATATGGAAATGATTAATTGGTCCCTCAACGCAATTGATTCTATCTTTTCAACACGTAAGCGTGGGTCTGGAGAGCCCGTGTGCCCGGACGGGACTTCACCAGCGGGGTATACGCTTGATAGCTGGAACAAGTTTCAGCCCCTCTGTCTGTCGACCCTGTCTATTGAAGATTCGGAAGACGTATATATCTTTGGCATTTTGGTGGTGGGAATCCTCCTGTTTGGGATTGGAGCGGTTCTCTTCTACCACAAATTCGGAGGCATGGCAGTTCGCAAGATTCACGACCTGCTGGCCAACAAAATTGATGGGATGTACAAGGAGCTTAACCGAGTCGTGGTTGAGAGCGCCGTGGCTGGACAACGGAGAGTGGTGTTGGTGGAACAGTTGATCAAAGATCTCGCAGCTCGTTCACTCGATGGGCATAAAACTCTGTGTTTCCGACTCACCCCCTCCCTGACCCCGCCCCCCTCTGACAGCCACATTGGGCCGGCAGTCGGAGGGCTCATCCCGAGAAAAAAAATCCGTGGTTTATTCAAAGCACAATGTGTCTATCCAACTGTCTGTGTAATCTGTATGTTATTGCTCTCTGCTGTTTATTCTACTGTTTGTCGCATGGCGCCGGAAAGATGGCGCCGTGGCAAGAGCTCTGGTGTGTGTCGTCTTCTCTGTCTGGCGCACACCGGGGTAGTCTTGCACAGTTTTCCAATGTGGTTTTACTGCAAATGGCAAATAAATGAATCTGAATCTGATATATTTGTAATGTAAGCATGGCTTTTACCTGCGGTCTTAAAGATCAACTAAACACCTGTCCTTTTTATACCACTGGTGCAGAGAGACGTGTTGCACCAGTCTAAGGTTGCACCCCTGAAACAGGGAGAAAAAGATCACGAGAGTGACTTATACTTGTTTTCCTCAAGCGTGACTTTAATGCAATCGAGTCAAGAATAAAAGCATTTACAGCGCTGAAGAACGATTGGGCATAACATGGTCTCTACAGTCTCAAACGCACACAAAATAACCACTAGTTTCTGAAACACATCTTTGAACAGGAAAACGCCTTACAAAGTACACCCTGACCCATAAACTGTGCTCTTTACCTGAAACAGGGAGAAAAAGATCACGAGAGTGCTTAAAGCCTAGTGTATTCTCGCGTGGGGGTTACGTTGGACCTTCGCACCTTCGTGGCTCGTCCACTCCCCCTTACATAGTTTTGAAGAGAATATTGTAATCCCACAACCAACTCCTGTGGTGATCTCACAGGAGTGTCCTGAGAAACCAAAGCGGTCCCATTTACGCTGCTACTTTCTCCTCTTCAGAACAAAAACATTAGCAAACCAAGCTGTTTAAGGTCATTACTCACATAATTTTGAGCTCACATAATTTTCGAGGGTGCGTGGCAGGCCATGCAAGGGTCTTGCGGTGATTCTTGCGTTTCGCAAGTGACGTCACGTTACCACAGTAAGCACTGTGCTGCGCGACTATACACTATTATACACTATTAGGCTTCAAACTTGTTTTCCTCATGCGTGACTTTAATGCAATGAGGAGAAACGGCGGAAAATCCTTCTTGTGGCGCCCCCAGGCATGACCAGTCGATTGAGAGTCATGAAACATTTTAACATAAACTGTCCTTATACTTTCTTTTAAGGTTCTGTAAATTGTTTTTTATTCTGAACCTATTAACTATTTTAGATTTTAAAAAATTCAATTACCTATGACAGACGCATGTCACACACACCAACTGACGTCACACATCACTCCAGAGCCAATGGAGAGACCAAGCACCAGATTCAAATGTAGTGCCCCCAAAAAGGTAGAGAGGGCGCAACACAGATGGTTTTAGGCTCAAAAGAGAGATTATATTAAATTTGCACTAAAATGTCAAAAAAAAATACCAGGGTATGTAGAGAACTAGCCTGGCCTTAGCCATCCGTACACTTCGCTCATTCATCTTTTCACTGCATGTAACGTCTGGGTCTGGTCCCCGTGGTAGCGATTACAATCGGCTAAATTTTGACCGACAAATCAGCGAGCGCGGAAGGTCGGTGTTGTAGGTCGGTGCCGGTGACGTCAGGAGTTTGCGCAGAACGGGCAGGTTGTAGTTTGGCAGTGGCAAAGAATGCAATAGTAAAATAATCCGGTCTGGTTCTATCAAGAAATTTAAGCAGAAGCAAGAGGAATGTATAGCAAACGTAACTGGTGGCAAAGATTGTTTGTTGATTAGCGGCAAAGGAGATGGCTAGGCTAAATGCTAACAACAGACTCGGGCGCAGTACATACGTCACGGTAAACTCAGATCCAATCGTTTCAATCTGCAAAAGGAGTTAACCCCTCCAACCTGCAAACGGAGCTCAATGGAGCACCTCCAGACCTTAGTACGAAATGTCATTTGTACTATGGTGTGGTACGACCAGGCTAGTAGAGAGCACTGTGAGAAACATATTTATGCAGTTTATCAGTTGATTTGGTGTTTAGTTGTCTTTAAAAGATATCTGGCAGCTATGTTTCAGTAGTATATCCGGTTTACATGGTTACACACCTCAATTGCAGTACACAGGTTTACACACTTCTTAAATGTAGGAAGTTTATAATGAATTATTTATGTTTTAGTCTTATAAGGAATACTCTTTTAATACACTAGCTCTGCTTAAGTACAGCCAAGGTGGAAGCTCCATCATTGGGGGCTCAAAGACGAATATCAGAGGCGCAAACAGCATCAACAGATATGAGGGGGCTTTCACCTGTGATGTGGTGAGTCTGGCAGACCCGGCAGATCTGTCAGACTCACCACATCCAGTGAGAACAGTTGATAAGAGATACGTCACACCATCTCGTGTCACCTCTGACGAAGGCGGCAGTCAATGGCTCAAACATATTTAAGCAGTACGAGCTTCTTTACATTCTTCTTGTTCTATGAAATGAAAGTGTACAAGGCGACTGATCGGGTTTTCACTAGAGCTCTGTAAACGCACCCATGATGTCATATAGAGTGAGGATTAGCATCAGCAGTATTGGTCAATGCAGCTGCAGGTAATCACGCCCGGATCTCCTCTCCATCAGCGCACAGATCGATGTGTTTATTTACCTCGGCCTTCGTTGGCTGTTCTCTGCGAGGGCTTTGGGCCGTCCTCTAGCAAAGGTTTAATTACACTGCACACTTTCTACACCAAGTAGAGGGGAGAAAAAAACACTTCTCAGCAGTTTAGAGCAAAGAACAAAAGGGGAAGAGACGTCTTGTTTTGGAGCTACATTGTTATTTTCACCCCGAGTAACAAAAATTGACAGTAATACATGGATCACCTTGCAGAATATACAGCAGCACTTCACGCAGGCTTTTTTAAAACACATAAACAGGTCCTACAGGCTTGACCAGAGGGTATATACAGTTCATCCGTAAGTATTCAACCCCCTTCACTTCTTCTACATTTTAAAGTGGGTACAGCCTTATTCCAATATGTATAAGACTGAGTGAAAAGTAAGGTTTTTTTCTGAGTCTTTTCTATTTGTCACGTATTCAAACCCCTTGCTGTAAGCACTTAATACTGAGCTAAGGTGCCGTGGTGAATTATGTAGTGTCTAACTTGATTTGGAAAGTGACACTTATTTAAGGTCCTATTCAGCCTACTGTGACTGTCAGAGCAGAAACCGATCCAGGAGTTTAAGGCACACGTTTAAGGCAGGGTAGAGAAACGTTGGATCAGAAAAGGAAGTTGAAGAAGAGCACAGTGGTCTTTATTATTTGGAAATGAAAAAGTTAAAAACTACCAGGACTCTCAAACATTACTCAAATTGGGCAAATAGACATTTTTTTAGACTCTTGTTTCTCCCTCGTGTGACTTGCGTGTAGTAACCGTGGCACGGCAAGGCAAGTTCATTTGTATTCATACTCAAGGCATTTCGAAATTCTTCACAAAACAAGATTAAAATCTACTTTACCTGAACCACATGTAAGAAACATTATAAAATCATAAATTCAATAGTGTTGTGGCCAATTTAGTTAACTACTATTGTCCTATCTTTT